ATATAGATATTCGAGTCTAGGTGATCAGCCGTGCTTTGTTCCATATCCGATGCGTCTCCATTGCGCATATTTTACATTCTCACTGCCATGTGAAGAGTCGATGGAAGATAAGAAGCGAAAATGAGGGGGGGTTTATACTCGCAGGTGGAGATGTGCTTCCCTACCCATGGGATAGCTTCATAGTAACAGCCATGGGGCATTCCAGTGTTGCTGACCTGACAAATAAGGCATATACTTTCCTTAGATTCCATATGGTACGATTCCTAAATAAATTATAAAAATAAAAACAATTCAATATTTAAAGTATGTAAGAATGTAAGAATCTAGACTCTTTGTCTTGCTGTCATGCTGTACCTCGAATCCACACGCGATTTCAATATCACCCAGAGTTTTCGGAGGAAACATTTGCCATCTAATAGACATCACATATTTGCAATTCAACTAGCAACTAGAATAGTCGTACGAGTCCCTTGCGCGGTGTATCTGGGGATCGGATGGCAGCTCATTGAATTACATATTTCATGCATTGGAACCCCACGATCTCAGACACCAAATCACCCTGCATAGACGCTGGATAGATCAGGTGCATGATGCAAGCTTCGGGGCAACGTTTACGGGGTATACAATATGTGATCAATATGTGATATATCCGATCTCGGCAGTGCAACTGCGCCTCGTGAGATTATCTAAATAGCCAAAGGGGCGGTGAAGCCGAAAACTGGGGAGGCTTACGGTGATACGTTGTTTCTAGTAGAGTTTAGGCTTGATCCGTTTCGGTGCCGTGTAATCGAGAATAGAAGTTATCACTGGTGGAAGAGGGAAAGTCAGCACATCATACAACAGGGTTTATGTTCCAGTAAGCGCCGAGAGAGGGGCATATCCCAGAAGAATCAAGATAAATGGGAACGGAAATAGGTCCCTGTCCTAAAAATATTCGCCACATGAATAGTGGAAACCCATAATTGATTTCTATTCGGTCGCATATATGTAGTGAGTCACGGGTAGGCAATGCTACCCAGCGATGTGAGCGCCTTAGGCTACCCTAGTCCGGATTCCGCATTGATGATCTCCGATTTGGAAGGGTGTGAGCTGATAAGGTAGGATGTCAAGGTCCCCTGCCAATAATAAGCGGGTTCATCTGCAGCTAAGGCTGGGTGAGTCTCGAGACCAACAAGGTTTTCTTTGAGGGGTCTTTGCACTGCATGTCGAAGGATTGGGGAATTCGTATGGGGAGCCGATCAAAGCAAGATCAGCAGCCACTGCCGATTCGGGCACCCTATAGGGGGAAATAGAGGGGAATGTGCCTGGGGAGGCAAAGCCAATGCACAGCCTGCAGTTAAGGGATCCCGAAGGGCTGAGAAAAATTTCAGCTTTTTCAAGGGGGATTTACTGGAGATTTCCAAGGTTGGATTGTAGATGTGTATATCAAAAGGCAGATGTCATCAAAGTATGTAACAATCGTCATTGTAGAGTTAGTAAAGTTCTAGTACAACAGTAGAGATCTAATAATGTTCGACGTCAGTTTTTCGAATATTTTGGTGGGCCGTTGAATCCATATTTTCTTGAGATCTGCGAGTTATCATTGGATTTGAGGTTATTGCCACTCTGTTAGCGCTTTGGTCTGGTTGGTGCGTCGATGTAACGGTCTTTCCATATATTACAATACATTACTGTAATTATACATATTAATCACTTATTCAGCTCTTTTAAAATGGTAATGACGGTAACCCGTATCCCCCCCATAACACTCCCCTCTTTTTCTCCTTCGCCTCTTCCCACACACTTCTCATATCTCAACCTTCCCTCCAATCTTTCCCTCTATTTTTCTATTTTCTTCTATTTTTTTTGTAACTTTCTATCTCACTTTCGGGTGCTGGCTTCTTACACAATGTCTGCCTACTTCTACAACCAACAGCAACAACACCCTCACCATGCTCATATGCAGGCAACAAATACCCACCACGGGCGTTCTCGTCGTGCCCCAAAGATGGCATCGCAAAATGCCCGTCAGTTTCGAGGAGTCAAGAGTATGCGGGAATTGGCGGAAGCTCCGGCTGTGACAGCTTTCCGTGCAAGATTTGAGGCTGGTCGTTCCTTTGATTTGGATGACGACCTTGAATTCTGCCCGGGTCTTCTGACTGAAGATGATGTACGTTTTGATCGGCGAATTTTCGAACCCCTTGCTCATCACCCCCTTGAATATCGTCAATCTCAATTTGGATAAACCATGTTTTAAGGAGACAAGTCTTGCTGACATGTTCTATTTGTAGCTGCACTCGATCCACTCCGCCTCCGACCGCTCTTCTCTCTCCAGCGGCTCGCCGGATACCTCACCTCTGCAGCACCAAATCCAACCGGTGCAGCAGGTGGCCCCATCCATCTCTTTGTCTCCCGCTCAAACAAACTCATACGTTCACCCTGGTGTTGCCGGCAACCCTAATCATGTCAACTACCAGCAACAGCAACAACCTGCGAACCGGACCCGCAAGGTCATTCCGATTATCAACCCCTCGACTGGAATGACCCTGTCGAGCCCACCTTCATCGATCACACCCGCGATGATGCAGAATGCTCAGCGTCGATGGTAAGGGTGCCATCTGCCAAAGTCGTAGGCACCCTACATCTCCATTCGTCCATTGCACGTCCTTTATTTCAGCTGTTCTGCATCATCGGGGTCCCTTAATCGCAGGTCATAATGTTTTTTTTCTCCACTTGCATTCTTGTTCGATACGTCTATTGCATTCGACACGACACTCAACTTGGAAAAATATTTGTTTCCAATACGGCGACAAAACAAAAATTCGAAAAAATTCGAAAAACAAAAAACCGACCTGTACATACCCTCTCCTCTTCGCCGATTACGACCACCTTCGCCTCATATTTTAGATCCTTTGCGATACTCTTAGCTTGTTGCGAGCGACGGCGCCTGCGATACAATACCTTGCATCCTTTTCCTACGATACCTCTTTCGTCTCTCAGGGAGGGACGAATACTTTCTTCGGCCTATGTTTCTTTTTTCCGGTCGGGCCACCGATGATGTACAGAACACACGTGCAGTGACATTGCTACTTGACGTTGCATGTCCATGACCTTTGGAGTTGATTTACCTTTTTTTTTCTGGGAGGGTTTTGCGTCCAAACGACTTTGCCAGATACACCTACGCTGTGGCACTTTTCTTATTTTACTTTCTACGATCTCTTTGTTTGGGTTTTTTTTTACCGGGGCGGGAATGGATATCATTTTCAAGGATCTAGAGGCGGAAACGATACACGTCTGCATTGCTTGGGCACTGTTGAATATCTTGGGTTGTTTTTTATTGCTTTGTTGCCTTCTACTTTTCTCATCTTTTACTGTTTCTATGTACATGGAATTTGGGGATTGGTGAACAACGCTTCCTTGCCACTGGTATGTGGCTGGTTGGGTCTGGTAGCGAAACCATGGGATGGGAGTTGTTTCTGTTTGAAATCGATATCCTTGGGGGTCTCTCGCGGTATGCGAGTCTAGACCATTATGCACTTTAAAAATGCTTTCATTTTTACTCTCCTTTTCATCTCTTCTATATCTCTTTTATTACCCTTTTGGGGACTCCCGGAGAGTTATGCCATTATATGACATTTATATTGATTTTTGCATACTATCAAGTTCAAGCAAATTTCTGTATCTTAAGATAGCGAGACTATCTTGTAGATCGTGAGATTTGCATGTATGAAGTATTTTCTTGGCTAGGCATGTAGATACTTCAAGTTTTCTACACCGAGCCCATAGAACTACTAATGTTGATGTCATTCTAGTTTGAATGTTTGAATTAAAGTTGGGAGATAAGATTTTATGTTTTATATTTTATTTGCAGATTATATCAAAATGTTTTATATATATTATCACCTGTGGTGCTGGAAAATATGTCGGAAAATATATGATGGTGGGAGTCATTAATAATGCTTTGAAGAAATGGGGGTTGTCTATTGAGGCTTATATATGTACATCCCTTAACCTATAAACCAACTATACAAAAGTTATGAGCAGATCTTTAATTAATATCCAACAGTTTGATCGGCCGAAGATCAACGGGAGGCAAAGATGCCATTGTTCTACTGAGGACGGAGTACTCGATATGTCACCACGCAATGCCATGGTTCCAATAGGCAAAGAAGAAAGGCTCAAATATAAAAAAAGAGCTAACCACACTTAATGTGCTACAGAGAGATCTCTATAACCTTTTCAGTATGTTTCAAGTGTGCCGTATACTCTGCATGATTGGGCATCTACCCGCTGGCCCTGTTTCAGGATCGACAAACGACATCCTCACCTTCCACAAGCTCGAAGGTCTCAGGTGTCAAACTCCACGCGCCCAGGGGAATCCCCCCACTTATCTAACACACGTAGTAACAGACAAATTATAGAGTACCCTACTATTCCCTACATAGGTACGGAGTATATACTCCGTACCCCCGTGGGCCCCTTCTGATACACGGAGTATAGTTCTGGTCTGGGACTGATGGCGTCTGTGAAGTATGCCCAGCTTGGGCCAAGTGTTTTGAAGTGAAGCACCTGCCTCCGATAGGTGGATATAGACAGCACTTGCACTACACGTACTTGGCTTTCGGGTCGTTCTTGCCATTGTCTTTCAATGAAGTTTCACTTTGTCTCTTGTGTTTTTTTCTTTATATTTTGTTTTCTAGACTCTTTGTTTTCTTCCTTTCTGCATTGTTTAACACATTGTATTGTTCTTTTCCATTCTTGGTTGCGGGTATTCTAGTCAGGACTACTGCCTGCTGACGTTCATTTTGAGACATTGGCATTGTCCTCCCATTCATTCAGAACAAGTCTGCCCTTACAGATCTGCGGAGCTGCCAAAAAATCACCTTCTTTTCTTGTGTCTTGGGATTCATCCTTGTGTTCCCTTGGCCATTGCAGTCTTTAATATCAATTACTCAGGCCGGCCCTGATCTAATCACTCTTTTTTTTCGATTTTGATATCCCCAGTTGCGACTTTGGGCAACATGTATTTCACTCTTTTTCTTGCCGTCTTCTTTTCGTTGAGCTTCAATGCTCTTTCTATGCCCGTGGCTCCTTCAAATCAACTTCAAGGCCGGTCCTTTAAGGTGGAGAGAGTTAAGCGCAATGGCGACACTGTCCATGGACCTACCGCACTGCGTAAGGCATACCGCAAGTTCGGAATTGATGCAGCAGATCTCAATGGTGTGGATGCTAGCGACTTCCAACCTTTCGACACTAAGCATACCCCTACCGCATCTGTGAAAGTTGCAAAGGAAGATGGAGTTCATTCTGAACAGACGGGCGCTGTGGATGCCACTTCTGTTGATGGAGACGTGGAATTCGTCTCGCCGGTCAATATTGGAGGCCAAACTCTCGATTTGAATTTCGACACCGGCTCGTCTGATATGTAAGTTTTGTGTTGTTCCTTAGGGAGAATTGGCTAGCTAGCAACATCTTTCCATGTTCTAGCTCATAGGATGAATTCCAAACTTACTAATTACCATATAGGTGGGTGATGAATTCGAGACTTCCCAAGTCACTGCGAAACAGCCGAGAAGTGTATGATCCGAGCAAATCCACCACCTTCGAAGAGCTTGCCAACAGCAAATTCGAGATCAAATACGGTGACTCATCCTATGCCAATGGAGGCGTAGGCAAGGATGATGTCTCGATTGGCGGTGTCAAAGTCAATGGTCAAACATTCGGTCTTCCGACGGATATATCGCAGACATTCGCCGAGGACACCAAGTCTAACGGACTCCTCGGTCTTGGATTTTCTTCAATTAACACCGTCACGCCAGTTAAACAAAAAACATTCTTCGACAACATCGCCCCCAGCCTCGGCGAGCCAGTCTTCACCGCTCGACTGCTGAGCAACGGCGTTGGAGAGTATGAATTTGGAACAATCGATCGCAATAAGTACCAAGGCCTCATGGCCAATGTCAGCGTGGATTCATCCAGTGGATTCTGGTTGTTCGACTCGGCACAATACGCTGTAGGAGGAGGTCCCTTCCACCCGGTCGCCCAGACACCCACTGCCATTGCTGACACTGGTACCACGCTCATGTTGGCCAGTCCTGACCTTGTGGATGCGTATTATAAGCAAGTCAATGGCGCATTATTTGCCAATAATGCCGGCGGGTATATCTTCCCCTGCACTTCGAGCTTGCCCAGTCTATCTGTTGCGATTGGGACTGGCCATTCGGCTACCATTCCTGGATCGTTCATAAATTGGTCCCAAGCTGGAACCAATACAACTACTGGCGAAACATGTGAGAAAATATTTCCCCCGTTCAAGCCTTGGAAGAGTTGTGAGCTAACCAGTTTTTCAATAGTGTGCTATGGCGGCCTTCAGTCGAGCGGAAGTTCAAGCATGGCGGTCTATGGCGATGTGTTCATGAAGGCACTGTTTGTGGTCTTTGATCAACGGGGGCCTTCTCTGGGATTCGCGGCGCCTGCTTAAGCAAAAAATTCTGAGATCTATCAGCTCCTCAAGTTGTGTGATAATGTATAGATTAGAAAAAAATGAAACCCATAATTCTACGTTTTAGTTGGCGATGGAGAGAGGAAGAAATTCCATTGTAAAATAGTATGAACTGGGAAATTTTGATTTCTTCATATTCTCATGAGTATGCGTTTAGTTTTATTTTCAGATACCGGATACCTTCACATTCCTTACCGCACAGTGGCATTAGTCAAGCTCTTAACAGTGCAGACACCACCAGAGGCAGCAACCAGCTTTCCAAGGGCGGGCTTGCCCTCCTGTCCGTGGACGGAGGGAACAGCGCTGCTATCAAAGGCAACCTCACGGTCCGCAGTGGTAGTGAAACCCGGCTGGAAAGTCTCCCAGACCTTCTTCTTGGGGTTAAGCTGCTTCTCGGGCTGACCATCATTCCAACCCTCGAAGCTAATGCGCTCACCGGCAGGAGCATCGGCAGGCGGGCTAACGAGCTCGACAGGACCGGCGTGCGAGTCCTCACCCTCCGCAACACGTGGGGACGCAGCGAGAACCATCGCGCAAGACTTGACGCCGCGCATAGTCACAGGCTTCAGGTTGCAAACTGCAACGATCTTGCGGCCCTGCATTTCCTCGAGCGGGATCAGCCCGTTAAGTCCGGAGCACACAGTTCGGACGGTCTTGCCGGTCTCCTCATCGAGAGAGGTGTTGTCGCTGCCAGGGGCGTCGCCGCAGTCGATCGTGGACACGTACAGGGAGTCCGCGTTGGGGTGGTTGATCGCGCGAAGGATGTGTCCGACGCGCAGGTCAATCAGTGATGGGGCAGGGGGGGCAGCGGGGGCAGGAGCGGGCTTGGGAGCCTTCTCCTTCTTCTCCTTCTTTTCCTTCTTGTTGGTTTTCACGGGGGCGCCGTCGGCGCCGGCCTGGGTCTGGGCCTTGGCGGCTTGCTCAGCCTTTCCTTGGCCGATGACGAGGGGCTTGGACTCGTTGTTGGCGTCTGGGTTCTGGGCGTTGGCCTTCTCACGCTTCTTGCGCTCTTTCTCCTCCTTGGGGTCGACGGGCTTGGGAACGAACTTGACGTCGTTCAGGTCGATGGCGATCTTCTCCTCCTCGGGGATTTGGAGTGAGAACAGGCGGCCGTTCTGCACGAAGTCGACGTGACGCACGATGTGGTGGTAGCCCTTTTCTCCGGTGCGCTCTTCGGGTGTCCACTTCTCAACGATAGGGGCCAGGAGAGCGTAGATGGCAATGTCGGCGACCGAGGGCTTCGCGCCAAGGAGGGTGGTGCGGGTGGCCAGGTGGATGTTCAGCTGGTCAAGGATTCCGACGGTGACATCCTTTTGATCATCGGCGAGAGAAGACTTCAGGCCGGAGACTGTGTGGAGCCATTGCTTGATGTCGGCTTCCTCTGCCTCACTGAAGGTGACCTGGGGGAAGATCTTGGCGGAGGCGTGGAGGTAGTCGGGCTCGGTCGAATCGGGAGAGATTACGGCGGGATACGACCGGTAGAGAAGAGAGAGGAGAGAGGTCTCGGGAGCTGCTGCCGTCGCCATGGTGTATGTTCGTGGAGGGGTTGGGAGTGGAAGAAGAGAAAATCGAGGAGGGGCACGGATTTGTGTCAATTGGACCCGCGGGGTCAGTCGGGCCCGCAATAGCGACCTGAGAGAATTCAATTTGACGATGATCCCTTTTATATAGGGATCTGGTGCAATTACCTGTTTTATTTAATATTCAAATCGCACTTGGATGCTTTTTTTCCCTCCAGGTGGCCGTGCTGCGTTGCTGACTCAGCGGTTGCCATGGCCCTGCCCATAGTTGGTAGACAGACCTCAGGGCTGTTACTGGATGGAGGATTTGACGTCGATGTCTCATCGTCTATGTTGAAATCAGCTTGGAAAGAATTTGTCGATTATGACCTCCTGATATATCATTTGGGAACTATATCCCCACGTGGGAAGACTACAATGTCAAAGTCAGCTTCTAAGGAGACTATCCTCAACAGCAGAGTCATATTCAGCAGTTGCTCTTGCACTATTTTGCCTTGGCTTATGTTGCACAGAGACCCGCCAGCTTAGCAAATCGAAGGAATGGATGTACATCAGTTTCAATGTGTACATACCCGGTCTCTGACTCTCTGTTGACAAGCCAAACCAAGAGGACAAGCAAGTTCCTACCAAAAACGCACCATATATAGCATGGAACAGAAACAGTGCTCTGAAGCTGCAGCTTTTACCTGGATAAAAAAAATCTTATTTTTACAGAGATTTTGATCTGTTGGTCGGAGGAAGTTCAACTTCCACTTCCGCAATGATAGTTGATTTTTAGCTGACATGAAACTTCTGTTTTGCTTATTTCACTACGAACCATCAATCACGGCATATCAACAAACACGGAAGCAGAAGATAGTTTGAGATTCAACTCATACCGGGAAAGTCTTCCATTTGATACGAATACCTGCAGCCAACGCTCGCTGCCGCGCTGTTTTGCCTTCGCTCATTCCAATATCTGGATTGGCACCAGCTTTAGCAAGCATATCAATGGTTTCCTTATTTCTCACATCAATCGCTTTCAACAGAGCTGTTTGGCCTTGACTAGTTTGCTTGTTGATGTCGAGTCGCTTCGATTGTAGCAAAAGTTCAACTGTCTCTTGCTGGTTAAGACTAACAGCAAGCAATAATGGAAATTCATCCGCTGGGCCAAGATTGGGATCAAGCCTATGCTGCGCTAGGAGAAGACGAGTCATGTTACGCTTGTTGTTGCCGATGCAGCAACAAAGCGGTGTTTTCCCCAGGCTGTCCTGAGAATTGATATCGGCCTCTTCTGGCATACGAACAATTCTCTTTGCAAATTTCAAAACCGGTACATTGCACCAGCATGAACACTTCCAACTTGCAGCAACGCTCAGTGGCGTACAGCCATAATTGTCGCGCTCATCAATCTTGACTCTTCGGTCTGCAAGAAGAACATCAACCAGAGTGTCCCAATCACTAGACTTGGACCCATCCTTGCGCTTGTGTTGTTCAAATAGCTTATGCAAGGGGGTGCGACCACGCGCGTCTTTTGCATTGGGATCTGCCCCAGCTTCGAGCAATGCCCGCAGGGTTTGGGGTTGGTGATACAGGCATGCCAAATGAAGCATCGAATCCATTTCTTGGAGAGACCCCACAGAGTTCGGGTCGGCTCCATGGGAAAGCAACAACTTGACCTCCCGGTACACTCTTTCTTGTTTTTCCTGCGAAACATCCCTTCCCCATCCGTGGCCGGTATCTACTATCGATGATTTGATCACATGGGACATCCAAGAAGAGCCGTCTTCAAATCGATAGTTGGGGTCAGCCCCCCACTTCAAGCAGGTTTCGGTGGATCTCCAGTCGCCTCTCTCAGGTCTTACCCAAGTTTCATACCGCATGTGATGTAGGGTTCTTTGGATGATTTTCCTCAATGCGCAACCGAGGATGCCGTCTTTAGAAACTAATAGTTGTATCAACTGAACATTTCTGTTGTTCACCAAGGGATACAACTGGGCTCGGCTTTTATTCCGCGCTGTCTCCGGGACATCGGAGACTGCTTCGATCGCCTTGATGAACGCAATCTTCTTATTCCTTTGCAGGCTGTGTTTAAGTGCACGCAAGTCCTGCATACCTCGCCGGCGTAGATACCTACTCAAGAAGTGATAAAGACCACGATTCGTTCGGCAAAGATTGTAAAGTTCGTTGTCTGATAGGTTACGCCCAATAAGTATAATGAGCTCGACGGGTAGGTGAAGGATTGATTTCGCCCCAAAATATGACGGGCAACTTTGCTTCAGTAGTGGCCAGGCTAGATCAGCTGTTCTTTGAATCGATTTTTTCACTCGGTACTCTTTCTGTGCCCATATCCTAGGATAACAGGCAAGATTATTGTCCGATTGAGCTGATTTTGTGACAGTAGACCTGATCTCATAGTTCTGCGCAATAAAAGTAATCAAAGCTCTCTGGTCGGGGTGCAAAAGAATCCATGATTTCTCTGTCTGAAAGAAGGTTTCGAGGCAGTGGGCCAAACGGATCGCTTCTGGTGGCAGTTTTGGAAGACTTGATGTTGCCATGTTGCCAAAGAGTACTATGTATGTCTGCGCTGGATGCTGTAAAGGTGAAGGACCCATGTTCTGAACTCTATAAAGAAACTGTCATAACATAGTAATGATGAGCTATCCTTAATCGATTATTATCTCTTTGAATTTATCGATATTGCCATTAAACTGACTTTTTAAATTAAACCATTCCAGCAATGATCAAGCTAGCAACCTGGATCCTATACCAATATAGCAAAAAGACAAATTTGGCTCTCAACTCCTTCTTTCCTTTTTCTCCCTTCTATTCTACTCTTCTTCTCTTGTTTGCACGCATTAGCTGTTCGGGATTGATGTCCGCCTCGAGGATCTTTTCCCGTGCAGTCAGACCTGTGCTATCTCGAATATCCAGCTCAGCTCCAGCCCCGATAAGCAGCTTGATTATAGTCCATGAAGTTCGCAATGTTAAAGCGAGACGACCATTGCTGTCTTTCTTGTTTGGGTCGGTTGCCTTTGTGCTTAGCAAACTTCGTACCATATCTGTCATTTGATGCGAAACTGCGAAAAACAAGGGCAGGTACATAGGATTGAGATTCGGGTTGATGTGACGCTACGATAGCAACATATTGGCGACTTTTATGTTTCCACTCTCCACTGCATGGTAAAGTACCGTTTTCCCATCATTATCTTGGGAATTGATATCCACATTGGGATTTTCAAGTACGCGTTTCACAAACGATGCATAGACAGCTTCATTACGGCTGGCAGCAATGCTCAATGGCGTGCGGCCATTATCAGCACGATGATCGAGCTCAATGCCTGGAGCCTGAAGAAGTGCATTGATTGTCTTTTCACAGGGAGTGGAGGAGCAATAACAGTTGTTTTCACTAAGGGCCATGTGAAGGGGCGTTTCTCCCCAGGGGTTAATTGCGTTTGCATTGGCGCCATAATTGATCAATTCTGTCACAATAGACGACTTACCCGCGTGCTTGCACAGGGATAATACTGCCACATGAAGTGCTGATGTTTCATTAGGTATGTGAATATTTGGATCAGCCCCGTATTGGAGCAAAAGGCCAACAGCATTGACTCTTTTTATCTGTTTTGAATCATAGAGGCTCCTCCTATCTGTAGGACAATACTTCCCGGGGTTTGGGCAAAACATATGTGAACCACAGGTAGCGACGAACAGTGGAATGCGCTTAGGGAATGGGTCATCAGTGAAACCATTCGGATTAGCCCCGACTTTGAGGACCCCTTCGAGATATGCATTTGTTGGGTCCTTTGACCAGTCTAGGCTGTTCAACAGCGCTTCTGCAAGGAATTGACGATACAATTTCCCAATATACTCGTTTTTGAGAGCCATACACTTCAACATATCGATATTGTTGTTGTTTATCACAGGCAACAATCTCTGTGTGGACTCAGATACCATACTTTGAGGCATTTTCGAGAGTCTTTCCACTGCCTTCTCGTAAACTGTCAGCTGGCAGTGTTTCAAGCTCCATTCCATGGCCATGAGAACTCTATCCAGTGGTCCCCAGAGCTCAATACCTATCAGCTTGGAGAGACGGCGGTTCTGCTGACAGAGCCTAGCGAGAGGCTTCTTCGATGGTTGAGCTGCAATGAGCTGCAACAACTCGTTGGGGAGGCCAAGTATCGATGTTGTGAAGACTGCTTTCTTCCAATTATGAAAAGCATCTGTAGTGAAGAAGAGTTGCTTGGCGTCTTTGACAATGGCTTTTGTTGTCTTTCGCGCCCGCTTCTTATAGGTTAACCATAACTTTGGAAAAGGGAATTGATTCGACGCAAGGTTTCGAGCAGCGGAAATAGACATGCCAGAGCTTTTAGTGATGGTCTGCCCTGGCTCAGAATAATTCATGATGATGAAATAAATCAAATCCACCTCATCGGGCTTGATTCTGAGGGACAATTAAGGGTTTGCGTTGAGGTATCCAATAACGCTACATACTGCTTGGATTGTGTTGCTGGTCGTGGAATCCAACACCAAATTGGGCGACGACATAGTGTAAAAAAAAAGGATATGGATATAGTGAGTGCGTGTTTGAGGAAGGTATTGCTGGTAAATATCACAATCATTCATATTTGAAGTCTATAGAGCTGGTCATCATGCAATAATCTATCTTGACCTTGGAATGATACTTTGGTATAAGTGGTCTCTATGGACAACCACAAGTATTTTGAGCTTATATGTGAAGTTTATACCTTATGATTATCACTGGATCTCAATGGGTGTTCAATCGGGATCTTGACCATAGTACGGAGTATCTTTTATACATTCCAATCCGGGAGGGGCTTAGATGTGTAAATGTAACCTTTTGGATAACACTGTCAAAGCTTATCCTAAACTAGATTAGTGTATCTTAATTATCATATATGATTGGTCAATTTGAAAGACGCTAAAATGAGTCATAATGAGTCGTGGGGGAAATGTAGATAAGTAGCCAATCACGTGTTGCTTATTGTGGGCCCATCTTGTGCTGCGGATTATCCCTTAATCCTCCTGATTCTTTTTATATGGCCTGGCCTTGTCCTTCAATTCCTTCCTCAGGACACGACTTCGACAGAGTCAATCCCAATCCACAGCTACCCTAGGGTACCTTCTTCATCATCATATAAAGCGTCACGGGTCTGCAAAGGCCCGTCTAAGAAATCCAGCGATGCCCGCCTGCTGTTGTTCGAGCGCCGCGGCAGCGATCCAGACCTCCACCTTCTGGTTCAAGCCCGCCCAACACCGGCACGCAGGAACGCCATCAAGGGCCTGCTGAATATTTGCCATGGGCGAATATTCAACCGTACAGCGATCATGACCTCTTCTCATCACTGGCGCCGTCGTTGGAAGGCTTTCCCTCGGCTGTGCCAGTCTGTCAATCCTTTGATACCCTCACCCACGAGTCGGCACTCTGGGCAGAACCCGATCTGTCCTTTGCCGATACCGACTGGAATTTCATATCTGTGAATCAACCGACTCCATACCCTCCTGGCTATGACGGTGGCGATGTCCCTGTCATGGACCTTGGGTATGGGTCTGCCTCTGCTTTCAACTCTCTTTCGGATTCCGGATCAATCGAGCACCAACAATATGTTTCTACGTCCCTTGCTCATAGCTCCGTCAATTCACAAGGTATGATTATAATATTCAATTCAGTCAAAGGGATCTCATTTCTAACGTTTACAAGATGGCCACTCGCATTCTTCCCCTGTCTCTCAGTTTCCTGCTCCCGTCTCGACTTCTCTTTCTAGCCCCGCTACCTCTCAGAGCGATGATACTCCAAGCCGTGTTGATCCGTCACGGGTAGAAAAGCGTAAGCTCAATACTCTCGCGGCCCGGAGATGTCGGCAGAGACGCGTGGATCGGATGAAGGAACTTGAAGCCGAGTTGGAGAAGGTCAGGAAGGAACGAGATGATTGGAGACTTCGGTGTTCGAAGCTGGAAGGTGAAACGGATGCTTTGAAGGGTCTTCTCACTCGCAGGAGCAAAGATACATAGTTGGATACTCGAAAATTGGAGCTGGTCTCCCAACGAATTCGATTGGTTTTGGATCAGTGTCTACTCCGTTCTCTCTGCTATTCTTCCAGGATTTATAAGCATTAGTCGTATCGGAGCTTTGTATGTCGGGCTTGTTCCTCTTTGTTGGGCACCCCCGCATTGGACATGTCCCTGCACATCGTAGGGGGATTTGCCATTGGTCTCTTCGCCAGTTTAAGTTGAAATCGAGAGGTCTGGTGACTATCTTACCTAGCAGGGCTACGTCGAGAAGGGTTCTCCCTGGTCTAAACTCTACTGATAGTATCACAGATATTGAATTAGGACCTTTACATTTGTGTAACATCTTTAGTCTCTCAATATATTACATCTCACTTCATCCCTATAAGCACTCCATTCTCGGTTCGTTTTATAATATTCAGACTTACCTGTTAACACGAGACCCATTCATCATGAGAGCTGTACGCTTCCATGGACGAGGTGATATCCGCGTTGATGAAATTGAAGAGCCGGTTTGTGGTAATGGCCAGGTTAAGGTAAGCTTAGGATCACTAGTAGCCTCCGTAGCGTTACTTACGAAGCTGAATCTCTAACAACAAACCTTGATGCTAACAGATTCGACCTGCCTTCGTCGGAATATGTGGTAGTGGTAAGTAACACCCTCGACAGCCACAGTTAACCACTTCTTTCTGATGCGACCCAGATCTTCATGAATATCTTGCCGGTCCAATGATCGTTACTACCACCCCACACCCATTAACCGGCGGGAAGCTACCGGCCACCCTGGGCCATGAGTTCAGTGGTACTGTTGAAGAGGTTGGCTCAGACGTTACAGGGTTCAAGGTGGGAGATCGGGCTGTGGTCAAGCCTAACCTCTTTGACGCCACATGTACGAGCTGTTCAGTGGGCCGGTTCAATTCCTGCGAGAAATTGGGGTTCATCGGGTACAGCAGTAAGCCATGCTAAGGCCTGTAGCCACGTCTTGATATTGACGACCACAAGGTCAAGCAGGTGGGCTATCGGATCACATAGTCGTGGATCGCAAAAATGCGATTCTCCTACCCGACTCCGTTCCCCTTGATGTCGGTGGTAAGTAGACTTCTCAGTTTCAAGTTGTTTAAGACTTGTTTCAGCTCTGACAAGATGGCGATACAGCCTTGGTGGAACCTCTTGCCGTCGCATGGCACGCCGTAAGCCGCAGTCCTCTGCAAACAAACGATACAGTACTTGTGGTTGGGGCTGGACCAATCGCTTTGGCTATTATCCAGGTACTGAAAGCCAAAGGCGTTACATCAATTATCGCTGTGGAGGTCTCTGAGCGGCGACGAGAATTTGCCCTGGCCCTGGGCGCCACCGAGGTTCTTAATCCCGTTGATGTGGATGTGGTTACCCAGGTACGTGTCTTGACGGGGAATGTGGGTGCAGCTGTTGCATTCGAGTGTTCCGGTGTTCAAGCTGGACTTGATACTGCGATAGCTGGTCTTCGGGTGCGTGGGACGACGGTCGTCGTTTCCATGTGGGAACAGATGCCTATTATTAATGCTCTTGCTGTTGTTTACCAAGAGAAACATGTCATTGGGGCAGTTATTTATGATGATGGTGATTTTGAGGCTGTAATCGATGCAATTGCTTCCGGTATGGCTACCCAGTTCATTGTCCTAATTGGGAAGGTGCCCTATGTTGACCTCTTGCTTCTTTGGTATAGGTGATATCCAGCCTCGCTCAATGATCACTAGTAAGATCCGAATGGAGGATGTGGATGAGAAGGGGTTTAAAGCTCTCATTGAGGAGAGGGATAAGCATGTAAAGATCCTCGTCGACATTTCTGCATAACACAGTTAGCCCATACGCCTTGGTATCTCTACAGTGTATTTCAATTTTTATTTCGGATTCATATCCCATGTATTTGTGTTTTATTATACATAGCTACACGGATTATGCGTCAACCTTGTCGGATTCTAACATCACAAGAATAGTCGCAATATGACTACTCTTGATGCCATGTTTCAGCCTCTGTATGATGAACCAATAGATAGTTACGGATTTCTGTAGTTAAGGCACCTCTACATCCCCCGACTAGGCCTCATTTCTCTTTCCTTTGTTTGTTTTCTCCTGTTGCTTTTCAACCTTGTTTCTCCCTTAAAAGTGACCATAGACCAGGTCACATAATACTTTATCTATACCCTCACAAACATTCTTCACGGGCTGCAATTGAAAGCATCGAGTCCACTGTTTCAACATCAGCCTCAGCCAATATGGATGCTCTATCAAATTTTCAATTGCAGAATTTCTTTAAACGATATAGTTTAATTACCAGGGAGATGCGCAGGAGACATATGGACAATTGGTGCCTGCCTGTCAACATCTTACCGACCAATATCTTAAGGGGTTAGACTCTTTACAGGTATATAAGATGAGCTACATAGGTGGTGACGCACTTCTTCAAGTGAACGCCTTCATCTACTAGCCTGAGAATTTGCCTCTTCTAAAACAGACAGTACAAGACTTTGCTATGTATTCCTTAATCTTATTATCTCGAGATTCCATGCTGATAATAATTTGGATTCTGTTCTTGTGCGTGGCGTAATCGTCCGTCTATGCCATCATTCAGTAAAGCTTCGATCTAGAAGGACTATTCTTCCAACCTTGACCGCATGATAAACGAATTACCATACAGCTTCCGGCCCTTACTCAATAGACTTGGATCTCTTTCTCCGAAGTCTTTCTGATCCAAATGTACGCAAATATCTATGAATATATAGTTACAGTCATTCTCGAAATCGGCTTGACCAATACACACTGAGTAACTCTTTTCTGTCCTCACCCCAAGGCCTTAGCGTGGATAGATTATTGAACAAGTCGCATCACGTCGATGGCCGCAGCATTATGCCACCATATAATACAATGGCCACTGGGGTTTATTGTTTAATGATAAAAGTGTAAGGTATAATTTCACGTGGCAAGATACAGGACCATACTAAAGCAACATGTCTAATGCGCAACCGGAGGGCTAATAGCCCCAATTTGCAGCATCATTCCAAACAGATCAGGCAAGCCACACTCCTCCACGATCATTCCATCTGTGAATCGATAAATATTCATAGCTCTTGCTTGAACTTTTTTCCTGGAAGCCGGGACACCAAAGAATTCGCCTTCGTGAGTTCCACGAAGAGTGAACTGCGCTGCAACTCTATCATCCTCAATGACTGTATCATCAAGTGTCCACTGAATATCTGGATAGGCGGAACGCATCATGCCAAGAATTTGCATATATCCAGACAATCCTTTCAGTGGGGTATCCGAAAATGGAACGTGGAACACGGCTGATTCGGAAACCAGCTCTTGCCCTATGGTTTCATCGCCTGAATTGATAAACTCGACGAATCGATGCATCCTTTGTAAAAGGGGGTGAGACATTTTATTACTTGAAGGATATGTTAGTCTGTTTTGTACAGAATCAAGTCTCCAATGTTGACTCACATGTAGTGATTATGTTCTGGTGAAGGAGTAGATATGGACGTTTTTTTTCGGTCAAGATTCCGAGACCAAAAATCAATGAATAGCAAACCTTGAATAACTTTTGTCAAAAAAAAGCACTCATTAATGACTTGATCTTGCGCAGATGATTTGATCGCCATCCAAAGAATATGGATTGAAACTTAGGAAGTTTAAACGGGCAAGAACGATAGGAACTTACCTTTGCTTGCAATGTTTGATTATACGTATAAAACGAATTTATGCCCTAGTAGATTCTATCGAGGAATCGAGACATACTTATATTTTATAGGCTGCTCTATAGTATGATCCGTATATCTATACAGGTTCCTGTTTGGTACGTTTGCATGGTTTGCAAGATTTGCCTTCTCAGGGTTCAACCAATAAGCACCTCGGAACCTCTCAGCTCGAATGTTTGTTATGCTTTATATTGTTTGTATTCAAGACCTTATACAACATATTCCGTTCAATAACCAGGAAATTCCGGCTTTTGCGCTGGTTAATGTGTTTGTGCAGTTTGCAAATTTCGGGTATTGTGGCAAATGTACGTAATGGTCAGGTCGGTGCTCAGGGCGTTTACCCTTCTGTATAGAATGTTTCTCTTCCTAGGGCTCCTATTGTTTCTCTTTGTTTCTTTACTTCCATGAAACGCTGCAGTTTCAAGATTTATAACCCCAACTTAACCCCTAATAACAAATAATGATAAACATACAACATAGAACGTACATTATTACTTTGCCCAATCCGAGCTGTGTTGGGGGAACAGGGCCTGTGGGAGTATGTTTTACTTGACGCCTTCTAGCTAAAACAGGCACATATATTTGAGGCAGGAGATCTTTAGGATTTATGATCTACATCAGACATGAGATTTGATGTTTGTCCCACAAATAGCGAACTAATCTACCTCAGTATCAAGTGTCGATCCCCATAGTCTTTCTAATTTTACACGGCGTTTACTGCAAGGGTACAGAGTCCAAAAAAAATTTAGTCGCCGTGCCACACATCGGGTAGAAGATCAGAGGGGTTCTGGCCATTTGACACTAAGGCAATACGTCGCTAGTGTTCGCATCTGATTGATCTACTTTATGGAAAAATCACGCCTCAGCCGTGAGCTGAGACATGGATGACACCCCTCATGCCTGATATAATTTAGCCCATTTCTACTGGGCAGGGGAGAATTTTTAGATGTTTGGGTATATAACACTTGGGTCTTTGACTCTCTTTTTATAATTCCCTTTGTCGCAAAATATTCCATTGTTTTTTTTCTCTATATTTGGAATCGAATATCCAGTACAGGTACTCTTTTCACCGTTTTTTTTCCCTACTGTGCCTACGCTGTACCCGCGATTTGCCAATATAACAAATAGCGTCATGGGTACACCACTTACAGAAACGGTTATTATTACTGGTGGAAATGGGTTATTGGGTTCAGAGATTGCCGTCGAGATCGCAAAGAAGCAACCTTTCGTCCATCTATCATTGACAGCACGAGATATAAGGACCGACGACGTCCGCGAACTGATGGGGAAGATCCGCTTGGTCGGCCCGAGGTCGATCGAGGTCCTTGCTCTTGATCTGACCGATCTGAAATCCGTGGCGTCTTTCGCCAAAACTACAGTCGATCGTGTTCGCTACAGAGAGATTCCGCCTGTGACTAGTCTGATTCACTCTGCTGTCGCTACATCTTACGTTATTGATGACCTCACATCAGACGGCTACGACCCTGTGTATCAGACCAATTGTCTATCTCCATTTTTATTGACCATTGGACTGCTCGAGGCGTTCCGGGCTGGAGATGGTACACCGAAAGGCGGAGCTAAAGTGATCAACATTGGCTGTTCTGCGATATCTTCGGGCAGATTGGATTACTTTGATCGCGACAATGGAAGAAATGGAAGACGACCGGGAACTGCGCTGAGCGCAAAGGAAGAGAATATTCGTTTTGGAAGCAGCAAGTTAATGGCGAGTGTCGCATTATATGCATTGAGGCGGAGCTTGATCTGGGTTAGTCGGAGTCATCCCCCAATTCCTACAGTTTACTCAGATCTAATTATAGACCGGTAATATATCGATTGACGTCTTCACCTTGGATCCAGGTGGCATAACTGGACCGAGTAATCTACGAACCGGGGCGCCTATGTCAGTCAGAGTCGCACACCAGACTCGGTCCGGGCTTCGGCCATTCCTACGCATGGTATCCCGAAGCTCCATGAACAAAGTCAGTGTTCCAGCCAAGGCAATCACCAGAGTTGCATTCCACGTCGACGCGGTGGAGAATTGGCAAAAGGAACGGTACTTTATTCTCGACTCCGATTACGAAGCCGCATCCGTCCTGCCCAGCTTGCGTGATGAGAGACAAGTGAACAAGCTATTACTGCAGATGATGCAAATGATTGATGTGGAAACAAAGGATTCTCCTCCTGTTCGACCTCAATTGAGTATGATCTCACCTCCGACACTTTCACTGTGATGTAAAAATTATCTAGATTTAACATTAGGGGAATTCTTTAAAAATTAGCGAAGCCAATTGGCCAAATGAAATCATTTCTTATCATTTTATTTGTTTTAAATCTGATGTTATAAAGTACTTTATAATCTGATCTTAAGGGGACCTTCACTGCAAGCGGATGACCGGATTTGGTGTAGACCACAACAAGTGTGAGACCTTGGATCTCAAGTCTTATCTTCAAATGGTCTTCTTCTTTGGCTTCCAATTCATTTTAATTTCAATCTTTTCTTGAGACTTTCCCTTCTTCCATTCTATAACTGGCCTTTTCAAAATAGATCAGAGTTGCCAGGGTCTCCGGCCGCTCCAGTTCTTGGCCCCCAAAATAAGCACCGCGACGGCCTGTGACGGCCTGTGACGGCGCAGTGATGAACCGACACGTTCTTGAAAAAGGCTACTCTGCCTACCCCAGGGGATCTGCATTTTCAATCTCACCCAACAGGTATGCCGACTCCGAGTTAATCGCCTCGCTTTTCATCTTCCGAACTCGCAGCCCTGTCGTCATGATCGTGAAGCTTGAAATCAAGACTGACAAGTATACCGCCCCAGGTTCCAGCCTCGTTCACAACCTGCCCTTCGGAGACGCCGACAACTCTTCCAGCGCCTCTGCCTCCTTGGCGCGGTGTCGCTAGTGGTGTTCCTCTTGATTTTCCCATCCTGGCGCGCCGCCATCCTTCCCAGCATCTCGCTCGGCCTTCTCTCATACCCCGGAGATCTACACCTACAAACGGTTCGGTATTATGATTTATCAGAAGTCCAAGGGACGGAGAAAGGTTGGGAACGCGGAGAGCGTGTACTGATGTGCACACCCCTCCGAGATGCCTCATCGCACCTCCCGATGTTCTTCTCACACCTTCGAAACCTCACATACCCGCACCACCTAATTGATCTGGCATTTCTGGTATCTGATTCTCGGGATGACACACTAAATATGCTGTCGCACATGTTGGAGGAGATACAAAATGACCCGGACCCGAAAATGCCCTTTGGGGAGATCTCCGTGATTCAGAAGGACTTTGGACAGAAAGTCCAACAGGACGTGGAAAGTCGACATGGATTCGAGGCGCAGGCGAGCCGACGTAAGCTGATGGCACAAGCGAGGAATTGGCTGCTGAGCGCGACGCTGCGCCCAACCCACAGCTGGGTTTACTGGAGAGATGCGGACGTGGAGACTGCTCCGTTCACAATCATTGAGGATCTAATGCGACACAACAAGGATGTCACAGTCCCGAGTGAGTGGTGACTGTTGCATAAGTGTCTGGTTCTATACTAATTGGCTTTGTCTGTAGATGTTTGGCGTCCGCTTCCAGACTGGCTTGGCGGAGAGCAACCTTATGATCTGAACTCCTGGCAAGAATCTGAGACTGCATTGGCGCTTGCGGATACTTTGGACGAGGATGCTGTCATCGTGGAAGGGTATGCCGAGTACGCCACATGGAGACCTCACCTTGCTTACCTCCGCGATCCCTACGGCGATCCAGACATGGAGATGGAGCTGGACGGGATCGGAGGTGTTAGTATCCTTGCGAAAGCCCGGGTTTTCCGTGCTGGTGTGCACTTCCCAGCCTTCAGTTTCGAGAAACATGCCGAGACGGAAGGGTTTGGCAAGGTAAGACAGTAATCAACGCGGTGGTTACAATTGCTAATGTTTCCTAGATGGCTAAACGGATGAAGTTCTCGGTGGTTGGACTACCACATTACACTATTTGGCATCTATACGAGCCCAGTGTCGATGACCTTCGACATATGGAACAGATGGAGGTGGAGCGACTGGCTCGCGAAAAGGAAGAACAAGAGCGAGCCGAGCAAAAGGACAACGTCCAGTCCAAGCCCCTGGGTACAGATCAAGATGTGGATGGCGCAGAAGGACACGGTTCTACTGAAGACCTGGCTGGCCAGCCCGTGAAAGCCGTTGATTCTACTCAGGGTCACTTGAAAGCCCAAGCTGAGACAGTCGACCAAGCCGAGAAAGTCGAAGTAGTTGAGAAAGCCAAACTATGATTCTTGACTGGCTTTTTCTCGCCGCTTATTCTTTATAAGTGGCCGCTCTGATCCAGCCGGCTGGATTACGCATTGCATTTTTACATGCTACTTGCTACTTGAATGTCTCACCTCCCTGTTTGGGAAGGCTATGTGTTTGTTCAAACTAGGGCATATTTGCGCCCAAGCTCCGCGAGTGTACTCCGTAGGAGCTTTGCTTTTCGTTCTTGTTCAGTTCTTGCATATGTTTTTTTTTTATCTTTGGGCGGCATTTCTCTTTTTCATGGAGTCACAACGAATCATAATGGTTGGCGATGGAGAGCAATACTTTGGCCATTCAAAAGCAAAACATTGATGGTTCTAATTTCAGCGTATTCTTCACAATAATAGTGGTTTATACGGCATCTGTCCTTGATGTAGTTCAGTAATACATAGTATAATCTGGAAGTGTCAATGAATCCGTAAAATAGAACATATGTGAAAAAGGTGTAAAGCTGCATAGTCTTTCTAATATATAACATATGACTTTTAAATTAGCCCAATTAATGTGACTGTGATATGATCATCCTCTAGGGCCTGCCTCTACACATCGGAAGCCGAACGCCTCTTATGCGGTGGTCTGTGCGTATCCACTTCGACGCGTTGATGCTTCATTTCCACAATTCTCACTTTGCTTCGACTTGCATACTCTATAAGCATTGTAACTTGCAATGTCTACTCAAGACGCGCGTGGTATTCTGTTCACGCATACCCGTCCACAAGAAGGGTTCCGGTTACTGGAACTTACCCCAGAACTGGAAGAACTACTGACATCAAAAGATGCGCCTATGTAAGTTAACGCCATGAACAGAGGTCCAAGCAGGCCGGAAATAACCTGGGCGCTGCCTTCCCTAAAATAAACCCCTACGATCCCCAATTGGCAGCTCTCGATTAACTCACCGCGCCTACCAGTCTCGAACTCAAATCGCCCTCCGCAGCCCTCGCACAAGCAGTAGTCGACCCCGCCGCCCACGATTACGTTAACCTATGCACACCAACACAAACATATCGCATCCGCCAAGTCCAGTCCTCAAACTCCCTGCACATCCTCCGCCCAAGCCGCGGCGAAATCTCCCAAGCAGACATAAAAGTCGTTGAGGACGATGCCGGCGAAAGTGGCACATTGAACCTTCCAGATGAAGCTGTAACGGCCATTGCAAAGTGTTCTTCGACACTAGAACTGCACATCCCCCCGGGAGGGTTCTCGGCCATTCCGTTCTTGGAGAAGAGCCTACGGCTATATGACCGACGCAGTGACGATGACGGAGACATAGCGATGGGCGGTTCAGCTGACTCCACGGGGCCCCTAAGCTCCGAGGAGATGCGCACGGCTAGGGATAATTTGTGTCAGGATATCCCTGTGTCAACAGCGCAGTGCGAGCAGGGCTGGATGGAGCTTTGTGCATTTGTCGATGGGGCTGGAGAGATGGCGTGTTGGCGGCCCTCAGCGCGGTCTCGATTAGCTGTCTGGAAGCGGTTAGTTGAGGGCGCTGTTTTGCAGGGCATTGATCTCGAGAAGCAGTTTCTCGTTGGGGACTTGTGGAAGTCTGTTCTAGATGATGATGAGGAGATGGAGCCGCCCTTCCCACGCGCGTTGTTGGAGGCTGTTGTGAGGCGCATCTGCATTGCGAATGAAAGGCCGCCTTTGGTGGATGATATTAAATGTGAGTCTAAATGGACGGTGGGATGTGATTGCTGTTGGATTTTCTAACTGTTTTGTGCTGTTCTATAGGGGCGAGCTTTGATAAGTCTGAGTGTACGCAGTGGGTGGGCGAGACATATCTGGCTGCCACTGCCCCGACTGCCTCGTCTGCTATTGTAAGAAGTGATTTCCTTCGCGCCTGGAAGGACTGTCTACCTGAGACATGGAGAGGAGAGGCAACGCTGTCATTGCTGGTAACTTTATCTTTCCCCGCTTGAGCTGCGGCGCAATAACTGATTTGGAATACAGGATGGCTGCTACAACAGTCCCGACCCCACGACTATTTACTTTGTTGAACCAGCGCAACGGAATCCAACGAACAAAACTACATCTGCACCAGCCACAGCCGCGAAGGCTAAGAATACCAGGAATTGGCACGAACTGCTCAAAGGCCGTCGTTGATTGCAAAGAAGCTAACGCACTTGCTGCGTAAAATGCCATGGCATCTAGTCTATGATGCGCGCGTATCTAGAAGCATCACGATCATATCTGCCGCCCAAACTCGCCTCGACCCCACAATTCTGAAAAGAAAACTGGGGAGAATCACGAGCAAACAAAGAAACAAACGAAATGATGCTCCAACGAATAAATGATCAACACCAGGTATACTTCTCATTCAACCACCACTCCACGTCCTTCCCCAACCCTTGCTCCTCGCCAGTCCACCGCAAGCTGGCGATGCTCTCCTTTTCGCGGTGCACGAGCTCAGCCTCCGGGTCCACCAAGGCCACGGCCTTCTGCAAAAGGGGAGTAGGGTTCCAGAATTCAACCTTGCTCATGTTCCACTCGTGCGCCTCTTGTTGTGCTCGCCGAAGGATAGCAGCCATGGCCTGGACAGTGGTGTTCTCCTCCGCCGGGGACGTGGGTTCATCATACACCCACCGAAGTATGTAGAGAACATTATCCTCTGGCTTCTCGCCAAAGTTCCTATTCCAAGCGCAGTACACGCGAGCGTTGTCATCACCAGCGCCCTTGACTACAGGCGGGGAGCGCTCGGGAATCAAGTTCTCAGCATAAAACTCCTCTCGAGCCCAGTGCCAGACGAAGTGATCAAAGTTAGGCAAAATAGCAATCTTAGCGCCACTCGTCTTCCGCGACGCCACAAGCATCTGCTCGCGCAGCTTATCAAGTACAGCCTCGCTGCACAGACAGTTCTGGACATCCTTAGCAAATAGATCCCTCGTCACAGAATTCTCCGGCCCGCCCGTAGTAGCCGGCAAAGACATATGGGAAGACGAGAACGGCCGCCACCCAAATTGAGCGTAGAACTTCTTTCCGATATCTGAGAAAAGTACCGTAAACAACGACTTCCGCCGTGGCTCTTTCTCCATCTCCCATGTCTCGAGTTTAGTGCTCAGCTCTTCCAGCATCCGCTTTGCATATCCCTTCCCGCGGAAATCAGGCCGGCAGTAGACACTCCCCACGCCGTAAGTGGAGACCTTCTCCACCTGTCCGTCGTGCGCGAGCAACGCTGTCTTCCGGTATGACTCGCACGAGCTAAGGATTACGCGCTCGTCCTCAGGCTCGTTGCGGTCTACCAGGATCCAGCAGGTTAGACCATCGCGCGTCAGCCGTTGCTGGAGGAGGTGGTCCTCGCGTGCTATGTATGTTTCCACATCTAGCGGTCCTTTCCAGGCGACGCTGTTCAGCCTAATTGAGGCAATGCGCTCTGCAGCTGTGGCTGGGACCAAGATCAGATCTGGTGATTCCCCTGCAGGTAGGGAGGGAATATCTGCAGCAATCATGTTTGCAAATTGAAGTACGAGTTGAAATTGAGAATGTAGGAAAAGGGTAAGGGTACAAAGAAGATATAAAGAGAAATCTTGGAATCCGGGGTGAAAGTCAAAGATCCGACTTGTGGAGATACCGACGGAACCCGTCCATAATATAGTTTCTAATCCGACGGACTTCACGATCACAAATGGGTCACACGAACATCTAACTCGTTACAATTGGACCACTATCCTTCTATTGCCCGCCCCCCTCACCTTGCATTCCACATCACGATCAGGGCCGGATCCGCCTGCCATATACGGTACAAATAACAATAACAAGGACTTTTTCTTTGTCACTGGCCCGAGGCGAAGCGACGGCAAGCGATGTTGCATTGCTAATGGCCCTTGACGTAAGAGCCGGTCATTTTGCCTTTGGCGGAGGGTTTGGTTGGGTCATGTGAGACTTGGCGATTATGTCATTGATTAGCCCTGAACCCTGGATCTTTTGTGTCAATCTATATATATCTTGTATGCATTAAGGGTTTTAATGAATTGGAGTTCACGCGACTATTCTTTATATATAATTACGTTGGTAGATCACTAGACATACCCCGTCCACCAGTAAACTTATTTATGTCCATTTCCCGAACCTAACAGTCTTATAGGCAGTTCAAAGCCCCGTTAAATGGCGAATAGTATATTCCAGCTAGCAAACACTTCTTAAATTTCTATTTGTATACTTAATTCCTCTTTCGGTAGCCCCACTAGTTATCGTGGTATCAATATTGATTTAATCTATTCTGACAATCCTCGGCCATGCATGCTCAGAAGGAAAGCGAGCCTAAGTAGTGTCTCAGATAAGATTCGATATGACTGTGTCTTTGCCCCGTTTATCTCGTTAGAATGTTTGCTCAACCTCGCATATTCTCCTAAGGACTTCTCTTTTTCTTGACCTAGCATTTATCCATTCATTACCATGACTATCAGCTATTTAGAATCAACCTTAGTCCCCCGGTATAAGAAATCATCAATCCTGTTTTTTTCTTCTTCTCTTCCATTTCAGTAGATAAAGGCTTCTCGGGATAGATAAAGCACTAGAGCATAGCTATAGTTGGTTACTTTTTAACAGCATCCATTAACCTAAACTGGATATCTGTCTAGCACACTTACATATTGAACCCCCTTAAGGCCTAGCGGCCTATTTTCATCAGCTAGGCTTAGGACATTAAGTAGAGGGGTACAAAGACAGAGGTGAAATGTAAACCAAATGACACGGAGAAAACCAAGATCAGATAAAACTTTGTGACACAAGACATTATGGCATAAGGGAGATGTTTCGGAATCATTTTCACTGAGTTTATCAGCATGAGAGCAGACGAGAAAACGCAAAAGAGAGAAGACACCAAGACGACAGCGGGAACTAGTCGCTAGTATAGTTGAATTGGCTAGAAAGAGAATCATGTAGTTGAATTCCAACAAAGGAGACGAATGAAATACAACGTGAAAATGGGAGATGGTATGAAAAAAAAAAGAGGCCGGATCGCAGGAAAAAGATCAGCGCAGAATCCAAGGGATCAAGCAGATGCAAAAGTAAACGAGCTTTAAAAAAGCCTGGGTAAAAAAAGAGGAAAAAGGACGGAGAAGGAGCGTCATGAAAGTGAGAATGGGAAGAAGAGGGGGAAAGAATAAGCACTTGGGAATGAAGCACTAGAAAGAAAAGATATGAACCTGATCTATGTAGATAAAATTCCATGCGAGTCCCAAAAAGTCGTCCGCTCTTCGTTTTATGTATTTCCGCCACTTTTTGCGGACGGCAATTCCAGAATTTCCTTCGTCCGTCATGTATGTTCGGTCATTGGTCACGCTAAATCAAGAATGAGACAGAATTTGGGTGTGGACAGGGAAAAGAGAAGTAGGGAAGAGAAAATAAAAAATAAAAACAAAGAACACGAAATCCCCCCAAGGCCTGAAATAAGATCGGATAATTTCGAGGTCATGATGGCTGCTCTGAGTCCACCGGTTCGTTAAATTTCTGTCGTGCCTCTTCTACCCACAACTCTAACCGAAGCTCGCCAGCTTCGACACGTCGTACAGGTACTGTTTTGGCACGGCCATTCGAGACCTTGGGGGGCGCTTGCTGGGGCTCGCCATTCCGCACTTTAGAGACGGAAAATGGTGCTGTGCACGATCGTAGGTGCACTTTGCCCGGTTCTGCCACAATCCAAGTTTGTTCTTCCTTGGTGGTCCCCGCCGGTGGTAAAGCATCTTCCCGCACTTCAATGCAGACGGTGAAACTGAACTCGTCATCGCGGGGAAGTGGGGTCAACCGGGCGCATGCTGAGGCGAGTCTCGCTAGACATGCCCGGAATTGTGCCTCGAGGTCAACCGATGTTGGTGCGGGGCCCCGGTCTGAGACAGGGGCACCTGGATTAGATGAATCTTCATTTCTGTCTTCAAATGTAGTATTCACCTCCCCCGCAGGGGCACGCGGGAAGCCCGATAGATCAAAAGCATATCGTTCGAGGGGCTGATTTGTGCGAAGAGATGAAATGATGATACTGACTGCGGTGATTGTGCCTTTGAGAATCTCCGTTCCGACTGCAATTGAAGCATCATTGATGTAGTCGCAGACTTTTGGGTGACGGGATTGTCGGACGGGATAGTTGTATGCCCGCACGGGGAGGAAGGTTGCGCGCGGATAGACGGAGCGCAGAAATAGGATTTGATGGACGGAGACGGTGAGGAAATTGGTGAAGGAGGCCGCTAACGCTGACTGGTTTGTGGGCAGCGATTTGGTAGCAGGGACAGGGGCGGAGAAAGTGGTCATGGTGGTGGTGGTGGTACTACTGCTCTCACTGGCAATCGGCATTGCCGTCGAACAATCCAGTATCGTTTCCGCGGTGAGGGTGGTCTTGACGAAGTCTCGAAGAATCTGAATGATGTTCCACCCTGAAGCTAATCATCGCTCTGCCTTTCTAAGCCATTGGTCAATGTCACGTTCCGAACAAGTGTAAAGTGTTGTTATGTTTTGCAATCGGTCAAAGTTTTTGTTCCTCAATATTCCAGTGACACGGCGGGTCACGATCGGTAGGATGATATGACTGATGAGGTCAGGGTGAGTAGAGCGACGGAAAGTAGTCACTCGATGCAGCATAAAAGAGAAAACTATGAGGGGAAGGAAAGATGGTTGGGCGTATCATGCATTGGAGGGGTTAAAGGAAATCCGAAACGTACGCTTAGGTAGACAAAACGACAAGTAGAAGCAAACCTCAAAGCATGAGGGATGGAAGAATCATATAATTCCCGAACGACGATCCCAAGAGAGAGTGATCACTTTTTTAAGATTTAAGAACCCTTGAGGGGAATTCGAGGAGGGGTGTTAAAGCGAAGGGAAGGAGGGGAAATTTTGAGAGATGGTAACCCTCGAGAGGAATTTTTTGTTTTAAGGAAAAAGAGGGCAGAGCCCAAGCAGATAATCAGAAAAATAAAGAAGTTATAGAGATGAATCGATGGGATGTACCTCTCTCGTTCATCGAGGGGAAAAGCAGAAGAAAGGCGGACAAGAATGACTGAGGTAAGTTGGTTGGGTCATGGTTCCTGTCACGTGGTTGCGTCATGGGTTTGCCGATTTTCACTTTTTTTTAATGAAATGTAATATATAGCTTAGTATTTTGTTTTCATTAATATTTTGATACATATATTTCATATATTTTGAACTAAAATCTTGTGTGTGAGGGTCTATAGAAATGTGCAAATGAAAAAAAAAGCAGAAAAAGGCAAGAAAAAAAATACAGTACCAGTATTTATACGATATTTGTATGGAGAAAAAAAGGGCACACAGCTTTTTGCTCTTTTTCTTCCCCACTAAGGATGGATACTTCTATAAGAGGGGCGATCATCGGCGAAAGAAGGGTGCAAGGGTATACCATGTACACCCATGAAGACGGGATATCTGTTTATCGTCCGGTACCTGACTTAAATATTAAAGGTTATGAACTATATATAAACATTAACTATATAACAGGTAGTAAGACTGAGTTGGAACACCTCTATGTATTAGTGTATCAGGTCTGTACTCATACACATATCCACTTCTCTCTAAGAGGTACGCATCTTACCCGATGATCTTCCTAACACTGACGGCAGTGGCGGTCATAAGAGGGTATTCTTTCCCGTTGTGCTTGGGCATATCTGGATTCCATTTGTTTCTTTACTTCCATACTTCAGATTTTTATAACGATTTAAATGATATACTACATCCTCTCAACGTCACTTAATTATTACTTATCTCTATAATATTTCCCGTAACTATTCTAATAATTCCAAAATGTCTTAGTGGAACTCCCATGTTTTCCGAAAGATCCTGACCCAATTATATCGAAAAGATCAGAACGTCCAACGTTGGATCTTAAAGCTCGAGCCAGTTTAGACCGGATCATGTAGTGCAGGTCCTAAAATGGTAAATGGTAGACTCCGTGGAATCTCGATCACTGTCTAACCTCCGCGGAGGTCTGAAAGATCCCTAGATTAGACTATTCCAGGTGATCGTGTGATCTAGAGATTCTATTAGAGAGGATATTGAGTTTATAGTCTAAGTTAAGCACTGTGAAATACTTGAACTTCTCTATATTGCCCTATACATGGTTTAAACCTCTGCATGTAAGGGGCATACGTAAGATACACAATAAAGTTATGTTTTTCCTACACCGTCCATTACTCTATTGGGCCTTTGCCCTATCTTTCTGCTCGGCTGCCAGCGCAGATCGGAGTGATCTCCCGCTTCCAAGACAAATTGGCGATGTCTGATTTTCATTAAGCATTTGCGTCAAATTAGTCTGCCTCGTATGCGGCCTCTCTGGTGTATCTGGTTCAAGATGATATCAGATATTAGACACCCCGATGTCTTTTGAGGTTTTTGGGTGGTTCTTCTTAGATATAACACGGCCGTAAAGTTAGAATAATAATAACTAGCTATAACGCCACCGGAATATCAGACATGCCGTGTTCCACTCTACGGTGTAAACATCAAATCCCTCGTGATTACATGCAACAGTCGTCTTGCGCATTATAAGCCGTTTTTACCGCGTATATTGTATGCTTCGCGTTAGATTCGTCGTATCCTTCTAGCCTTAGCACCATTAAAGGTGAGAATACTATAAAAACAAGGCCGCATAAGTGGCCAGTTATTCTTGTATGTAATATGCATAGAATGTGCTTTATATAAAGAAAATCGGGGGGGGGGGGGGGGTTAGGTATATAGGGCCGACCGCCTTCAAACTGCCCCGCCTTATCTGCCACCGCGCGCGCGAAGCATTGGATTCTCAATACCGCGACTGAGATCCATTGGCTTTGAGCCTAACTTCTTATCTCTCTTTCATCTTCGCTGGACTGCTCCTCAATACCCAACCAGCTTCACTAATTACACTTTGTTCGCCATGGAGCAAGAACTCCTGTCGCTCCTGGCAGACACCCAGTCACCAAAGGCCGATACCAGAAGAGCCGCAGAGTCCCAGTTGGGAAATCTGTATGCCCACGATTCCTTCGCAATCTCACTCACAGCAATTGCCTCGCACGAATCGGTTCCCATAAACTTACGCCAATCTGCCCTTTCGGTCCTGCGTACCTTCATTGCCGCCGCTTGGTCCCCCATTCTCGACGACTTCAAAGGTCAAATCCTTATCAACGATGTTAACAAAGCCAATGTTCGCCAGGCTTTGTTGTTGCTTGCGACAAACGATACCCCTCATCGGAAGGTAAAGAACTCTGCAAGTTACGCTGTCAGCAAGATAGCTAGTGCCGACTTCCCGGACGACTGGCCCGAGCTGCTCCCTTCACTGCTTCGGATCGTTAATGACCCCGCCAGTACCGATGGCCAGATGCACGGTGCACTGAAGGTCCTCTTGGATCTTGTCGATACTGGGTTCAGTGAGGAGCAGTTTTTCAATGTCGCCCGTGACCTCGTTTCGTCCCTGTTTGCCGTAGCTACGGCCGAGTCTAGACGGCCAATGCTGCGCGCTCTGGCTGTCGCAGTCTTCCGTTCCTGCTTCGATACTTTAGAAATGGTTCTGGAACAACACAAGACGGCAATCAAACAGTTCATGGATGAGGTGCTTAGTGGGTGGTCGCCGTTCTTCGATACAGCTTTAAAGGCACCGCTGCCGCAGCCACCCAGCGAGGAAGAGGAACATAAACAAGGGGAGATTGCATCGCAGTGGAGGGGAATTGTTGGGTTGAAGCTTCAAGTCGTTAAGGTATGTCGTGTTCCGTCTTGGTTTTGCCGCGTTTTCGCTGACATGATTTTCTTATAGACTCTCATGAGGATCCGCATCTTGTTCCCTGCTCTTTTGTCCGCGCAAAGCCCACTTTTCTTCTCGACAGTCTGGACGGAACTCACCAACGCGTTACCGATTTACCAGAATTTCTACATTGAGGAGGAGAGGCAGAGTCGTTTGGAGGATGCGGACGGACTTCCCCACTCACTTGATTTCCTCGTTTTGGAGGAACTTGATATCATCCAGGCCCTCTTGAAGGCACCTCCGGTAAAAGCACAGCTACAGCAGCAACTCCGTGATGCCGGTGCGACTGCCAGCACGTCCAGCTGGCTTCCGGAAATCATGAAGCTAGCCAGCTCTTATTCACAAATTACAACAGAGGAGGAGGCTCTATGGGAGATTGATGTTAACCTTTTCCTCTCCGAGGAGACTTCTGTTACAGCCAACTACACCCCTCGAACTTGCAGCGGAGATCTAGCGATCAAGGCCGGTGAATGGCTGAAGGGTACAGCTGCTGAGGGTCTTTTAGGCTACATGAACACCCTTTTTGCCGATTCGTCTGTCTCGTGAGTTCTACTCTATACTTCGGGTATTAGATTATACTGATTATGACGCAAATAGATGGAAGCAACGTGAAGCCTCCATGTACATTCTCAACTGTTTGCTTCGAGACTTTGGTGAAGTGGACCAAGAGATCTCACCTGAGCTGGCATCCCACTTCACTCAATTTGTGCAATATGCGATCCAACAAGAACAGGAGCTCTTGCGTGCTAGAGGCTACCTTGTAGCTGGCGCTTTGTCCAAGGTCGCCGGTGAGGCATTCCAACAAACCGCATCATCCTATCTGGAGGCAACTTTGAAGGCGATTGCCGAAGACCCTGCCGAGGTGGTCCAAGTGGCTTGCATTCGGGTGCTACAAGATCTGATGCCCGCTTTGCCGACAAACTTGGCCCGCCCATTCCAGCCTGCAGTGATTGCGGCCATTTCAGAATTCATCTCTGCACACGACCTTCGTGAACAGACTGACTCTGATGATCTCAAGGTCACGTTGGCGGAAACCCTCCGGGACACTATTATGGCCGATTCTAGCGTAGTTCTGTCATCTACTGCAATTGATGTGCTGTTCAGTATTGCTAGCAGCGGAGCCGAAAACTTCCAATTGACCTTGACTGTCACTGAGGCATTTGAAGATATTGTGGACCAGATTACCGACAATGGCCCTGATTCTTACATGCGTCTTTGTGAAAAGGTGCTTCCCTCGTTGATGGGTGCGATTGACGTGGGCAACCTGACTGAAGAGAATGCCTTGACAACCTTTGCAGCCGATCTTCTTCGCGCTCTGGCCGAGCGGAGTCCCGAGCCGATGCCCGCTGGTTTCGTGGAGACAGTGATGCCCAAGTTGAACCGCCTGCTACTGGACTCCGATGAGGCCGAATTGATCCGACCTGCCACCGAGGCCGTACGACACATGCTTTCTCACGACTTTGCGCAGTTCATTGCCTGGCGTGATCCTCAATCTGGAAAGGAAGCACTCGAAGTTGTGTTGGTCATCATTGACCGCCTGCTGGGCCCCGCCGTGGATGACAATGCAGCCACCGAGGTCGGCCAGCTAGCAGCAGAGTTGGTTGAACGGGCCGGCTCCGAGCGCCTCGGTCCCTACCTGCCGCAGCTCCTGCAAGCCGTGGCGCAGCGACTGGCCACGGCCCAGCAAGCGCAATTCATCCAAAGTCTAATTCTTGTCTTCGCGCGACTCACTCTCATCAGCGCACGTGAGGTAGTCGACTTCCTGGCCCAGGTCAACTTGGACGGCCAGAGCGGACTCGCCGTGGTCTTGAGCAAGTGGCTTGAGAACTCCGTCAACTTCGCCGGCTACGATGAGATCAAGCAGAACATCTTTGCCCTAGCACGTCTGTATGAACTTGCCGATCCACGTGTGGCCGAAGTGCCCGTCAAAGGTGACCTCATCATTCAGGATACTGGCCGAATCAAGACCCGCTCGCAGGCGCGTAAAAACCCCGACCAATTCACGACCGTGCCCGCACCATTGAAGATCTTCAAGGTTCTGGTTGAAGAGCTGGGTGCCGCATCTGGCAACAAGGAGATCGACGCCGCTACTGCGGCGGCACTGGATGAGGCTGACAGTGACGATGGCGATGACGACTGGGAGGATATCCCCGGTCAGCACCTGGACCTCGGCATCGGAGCCACGAAGCAGGGATTGATGAGCTTCGGCGAGGGAGGCTCCGAGAGTGTTTTCGGTGTGCGTCGCCGAGACGATGAAACGCAGAGCTTCCTGGCGGATTTCTTCCGACAGGCCTCCACGCAGCCTGGTTTCCAAGAATTGTATGCTGCACTGACTCCGGATGAGCAGGCTAAACTGCAGGGTCTGTAAGTGGAGCTGGGTGAAATCGTATTTGAGACTTTGCGAGTATGTACTCTGGTCCCCGAATGCCCGTTGGAATGCCCGGGTTATTACATAATGGTTTGATGCATGAATGCCAATAAAACATACGTACAACGACTTGTACATGTCGCTAGTACAGAAGAAACACTCATTCTTTCTTTTCTTTTCTTTTTTTCTTTTTGCCTTTTGCCTACCGTATCGTAGAAACAAAAAGGATAATCAGCATTAGCACATCCTTGTAATATGTACTCCGTAGGGACCCTGGGAGTGGTCGAATTGGGGCTGTCCACGAACGCTAGTTCTTGTGGGCCCCTACTCCGAACTTTGTGTGCTAATACGATCTGCAATATTTTGAATTAACTTTTAGCTAGAGGCTTAGCTATTTATATTCTCTGACCATGAGATGATACTTGATTGTATGGTGATTCTCTATTATATCGCAATTTACCATATAAACAAAGAAGAAAATCCTCTGTTTCTGCATTCATCTGGACCTCGGGAACCACCCGGGGTCCGTCCCGTGTGGGGACCCAACCAGACAGTCGGGCCACTTAACCCCGAATTTTGTGTTTTTTTTCTTTTCTTTTTTTTTTCTGTTCTTTCATATCAGTCAGCTGAGTTAAGTTTCTAGCTTGGACATGTGTCTCTTGGCTTCCATTTCTGTGTTAGTGCTCACCTTTTTTTTACTATGTAGTCACTAAGTAAAACTGAGCACGCTATGATGGCTTATCTTACGGAGTTAACGGAGTGATCTCTGGTACTTCTTGGCTTTCCCCATTTTACATAGTGAAGCCTTGATCCTTTTTGCTGATCAAAACCAAGCCTATGGTGTGTAGAACTACCTACCCAAAGATTTGAATATGTTTCCTCATTGTCCATATATTATATGCTATCATAAAAAGCCAAGATGTAAATTCCCAAAGAGCATGAGTGACTAGAATTAAAATAATAATAAACCTGCATGGTATACGGAGTCGAGGAATTTACGGTGTCCAAAGTATCCACTCACATTCGATCCCGCTAACCCTGGAACCTTGAAAACTGCAAATCAAAGACAGACCGATTTGGAATAGGCGACTTTCCCGTCCCAAGCTGTCGGATTTCCTGCGGGGTTTAACAAAAAAGGAAAAGGTACTGAACCGCCCAGGTGGAAGGGCAAAAAAATAAGTGGCGCTATTTCTCCCGGTATCCTTTCTCTCGGGTTTCTTAGGTTCTTGGATTCGATAGCTTCATTCCACTTCCCCTCTATTTCTTTCTTCAGGAGAAAAAAAAACTCACTTTCCCTTCTCTATCTTTCTCTCTCCTATCTCTTTCTCCTCCCTCTCTTTCCTCCCTACCTCTATATCTCTCCTCTCAGTCTCCCTACCTCCCCTCTCTCGCCATGTCACAACCTAATGTCAATGAACGCATTCAAATCGACGTAAGTAGATCATTACCTCTTAATTCTTCGATCCCATCTCTACCCCCATATCCCTATATTCACCTGCACCCAAAAAGAGGCCACTCCCCCGACCGATCTCATGTCTCCAATTTATAATTCAATCTCCAACAAATCCTCAATCCCGACTAAAAATCTCCAGACAAGCGATGAAGATTCCCTCTTCGAAACCCAAACCCTCGCAGGCTCAAACCTCTCCTTTGCCTCCTCCGTCCGAGATTACACCTATGAAAACGGCCGCCGCTACCACGCATACCGAAATGGCCAATACCCCTTCCCGAACGACGAAGAAGAACAAGACCGCCTAGCACTCCTACACCACCTCTTCAAACTGCTCACAGGTGGTGATCTGCACCGAGCACCAATACACAACACCAGCCCACGCCGCATTCTAGACATCGGCACCGGCACTGGCGAATGGGCCCTGGAAATGGCCGAAGACAACCCGCAGGCGGATATCATCGGAACAGATCTCAGCCCCATCCAGCCGAACTGGGCGCCGCCCAATTGTCGCTTCTTTATCGATGACGTGGAGAGTGATTGGACTTTCTCGCCCGAGGAACCATTCGACTATATCCATTCAAGGTCTATGAGCGGTGGCATCGAAGATTGGCCAAGGCTGCTTAAGCAGATTTATCAGCATCTGAAGCCGGGCGGCTGGTTCGAGGTGCAGGAGTTTGAGCCTTCGGTGCATTCTGATGATGGGTCCCATGAGCACGCTACTGCTATTTCTAACTGGCATGACTTGTTGGAACAGGCTTGTGAGAAGTTTGGGAAGCCAATAAATATCGCGACGAAGATGTCGCGCTGGATGGCTGAACAGGGGTTTGCGAATATTACTGATGATGTCTATAAAGTATGGCTACTGTTTTATCCGGCTGGTGTTTTGGAGGTATACTGACTTACTTTCAGTGTCCTATGGGTGGCTGGGCCAAGAATCGCCGCTACAAAGAACTCGGCCGCGTCGGCAAGATGGTTGGCTTGGAAGCCATTGAGCCGTACTCAATAGCTCTCTTCACTCGAATCATGGGATTCACGTACCAGGAGGCTCAGGAGTATCTGGATAAGGTGTGGGCGGAGTTGGCGTGCAACAAGCACCATCTCTATGTGCGCTTCCACTTTATCTACGGGCAACGGCCTTTCGACGATGAAACCACCAGTTCTGAGGCGTCCTGAAACCTGGGACTGTGGCAACGATGATTATAACAATGATACCCCACGACGTAAAACTGGGCTTGGGAATGCCTCCTTCCCCGTCGACTTCTCCAATCCCTGTCGATGCCCTTGCCTTACAACATGAATCATGTCTTGATGATTATATTTCTGCGGATTAATATATAACGGCGGCAGTTCCATGTACTAGATTGTTTGCTTCATTTATGTTCATATTCATGTGGACATGGGGTGGTATCGTGATGCATGAGAGGATGGGGAGATGGTGTGACGTAGTACGGTGACTCTGTCTCAGACGGTTTCACCATGAATTTGCCCTGGTGTCGACCAGCGATCCCGGGCTATATGATCGAGTGGTTTTCCAGAGATCCAGCTCTGAACCTGACCTGACCCGCTCGATTCCAACGCATTCGACATAAGCACACTACAACATACCTAGGCACGAGTTCGTGGCTCGGTTTGAGTATGTGCTTACGCCGTCGTCACCGCCCATTCCAAATCCCGAGAACCTGACAAACCCCCGAAACCGCCTCCTCGGGTGAAGGACTTGCCCGCAAGACCTGAATCACCTGAGGTAGGCGTTGCTCATCACAGGTGGCAATTGTTTCCAGCAGGATCTCCAGCAATTCCTGTTTTCCCTCGCCCTTCCAGGAGCTCGGCATTGAGTTCATTATGGTTGTTGGTGAAGGACGGTCCTGGGAACTGGGGCTGGCATGGCTTGAAGTATCTCCTGGCACAGGTGACGGGTTTGGTAGAGGGAAGGGTGCGTCTGTATAGGTGTTGATGTTTGTGTTGGTGGTATTGAAGGTATTGATAGTTGAATAATGAGACGGGGTTTGGTATATATGCGTATTCGGGAATTGATTCGGACTCGGATTCGGATTCGGATTTCCATATGCATCTTGTCCCCACTGATGATACGCATGAGGCGTATCATCTTCATTTGGTATTGGATATTCCTCCCCGTAATGTGTCACTGATGTTGGTATGGGTGCGGGATAGCCAGCGTGTTGTAAATATGGTAGAGCTTTGCCTCCGTCAAGCATATAATCATTGCCATTGGTTCCGTATAGCGCCGGGTGCATCCCTAACATCGCATCCTGCGCGTGTAACCCGTGCACTGGGAGACTCTGCATTGGTATTGGGACTGTTCCAGACATGGCCCCCGGAGGATACGTCATACCTCCTGTATAATATCCAGACATTGTCGCGTCTTCTATAGCATCTAACCAAATTTAGCACGTGCGCCCGAAATAAATGAAACAAAACCAACACATACTCCCAAAAGCAAGCGATTCAACTGCAGTCGACCCATCCAACTCCGCAATTTGCGGCGCATACCCCGTCGCGACAGGATAAGCTGAAGCCGACCGCGACGAAGCGGACATTGACCCAGTCCCATTCTCACTCCCCGTACTATCCGGACTTGTAACAGTCACGGAGTTCGTCATCGTCGTGATCGACGAGGATGGAGACGACCCGCCCCAGCTACCCTCGCCAGTATCCGGTGTACCTCTAATCGAGGCAGAACCAGCGCTAGCGCCGGTCGCATACCCAGAGCCATTAGCATGGCCGTTATAGCTATAGCCGGTTTGCGCGGGCGCATATTGTGTCCAACTCTGACTATTCCCGGGGAAGGTTCCGGCCCCTTTGTCCGGGCGCGGGCGCTGGGAGCTCTGACTTTGGCTCTGACTGGACTCTCGTGGGCTCTGGTTCAGACGTCCCCGCAGTTGTGCGACTTCGCGACGTAGTTGGTCTATTATCTCGGATTGACTGATTTGGGCACGATCTTCGGCGGTGGTGAGGTAGGTGCAATCAGCTTCGAGGCCCCGGATTATACAGGCATGACATGGGATAGAGCGGTCGCACTGGTGAGATGATTAGATTAATTAAAGTAGAGATAGTGAGGTAGTAGAGGTAGTAATGGGGCGTACCTTCACTTTGCGCTCGCGACATCTGAGGCACGACTGCTGTGGACGTATCTTTGTCTTCGAGTCGGGGGGCATTGTGAGAAATACCACTCTATCGTGGTATTTGGATGTTTCAAAGATCAATTGCTCCTCGGAGAATCGGAGAAGCCGTTGAACTTCAGTAGCGGGGGAGGTTCCACTCAGAAAATGGATTTTTGCATCCCCCGGTCATGCAGGTTCAGCTGTGCCACACATGATATCAAGGGGGAAATGTGAGGGATCGAACCTCCTTGTCCAATTTTTTCCCTCTGGTTCTAGGCCAAAGCTCTGCGGCTCTCTGATTGGGTACAATTCGAATTGTCTTCTTGCAGATCGGTGTGGCTAGCCACTCGCAGATCTTAGAATCAGATTAGGTATGCTCTTCGAGCTTCGAGGAACTCCGGTGTTGTATGTAGACATATGCTACTTCATCAAAAGATATAATCTGTTTGATGGTACCGTCACAATGTTTATCACGGTTCCCCTCGATTCCTGCAGATCCCAGTGCGTCGTAGATGCGACGTCGGTGCGGGGAATCCTTGAAATTGAGCCAGTGAAGGAATCGAAAGAGGTTGAGTGAAGGGGATCTGGATAGCATAAAACGGCCCACCATGCTGTGCAACATACGCCTCAGCCGATTACAAGCCTGCGCCATCAAAGCATATTACATCTTGTCCCTATCTTGTCTATACTCCATTGCAAAGACACCATGAAGACACTCTCACCCAAAAGCTGGGGAGCCCGAAGCATGGCGAGCCTCCTGGCGTTGCCACTGTTACCAGTGCATGCCTCTGTTCAGAACCCAGGCTTAGCCCCAGCACCTCCAATGGGGTTCAACAACTGGGCGCGTTTTATGTGCGATCTGAACGAGACGCTCTTCACCGAAACAGCACAATCAATGCTAGATCGCGGCCTCCTCGATGTAGGCTATGACCGCCTCACGCTGGATGACTGCTGGATGAGCCACGACCGCGCGAAGGACGGTTCCCTGCAGTGGGACGCCGAAAGGTTCCCGCACGGCATCCCCTGGCTCACCAAGTACATGAATAGCAAGGGCTTCCAGCTCGGCATCTACCAAGATTCCGGTAACTTGACCTGTGGCGGTTACCCTGGCTCCTACGAACATGAGGAGCAGGATGCCAAACTATTCGCTAGCTGGGGTATCGACTACCTCAAGCTGGACGGATGCAATGTCTGGGGAGAGGAAGGCCGCTCGCTTCGCGAGGAGTACCGCGTGCGCTACATGCAGTGGCATGACATTCTTACTGCCATGCCGAAGCCACTTATATTCTCCAATTCTGCGCCTGCATATTTCGAAGGCAAAGATGGGGACTGGGCGGTCGTCATGAACTGGGTTCCAGAATCTGGCGAGCTAGCGCGTCACTCGGCGGATGTGATTAACTATGCCGTCGATGGCAATGCATGGGAAAGCATCATGTATAACTACGACTTCCACACGCGTCTAGTGCGTTACCAGCAACCGGGCTACTATAACGATCCCGACTTCCTGATCCCAGACCACCCAAGCCTCTCGATGAATGAGAAAAAAGCTCAGTTTGAGGTCTGGGCTTCTATCGGCGCGCCATTGATTCTCAGCGCTTACGTTCCCGACCTCTCAGACGAGGAGATCGCATTCCTCAGCAACAAGGCCCTCATCGCCGTGAACAAGGACCCGCTGGCGCAGCAATCTGCTCTCGTTAGTCGCGATGGCAAGTTCGACGTCCTGACCCGCTCCCTGGAGAACGGAGACAGACTCCTGACCGTGCTGAACCGCGGAGCCGATACGGCCACAACTACCATCTCCGTCGAGCGTCTCGGTCTGTCGTCTAAGTCTTGCAAGTATGAGGCGCGTGATCTCGTCACCGATGAAGTCTCGACCATCGACTCTGCTATCAAAGTCCAGCTCGAGTCTCATGCTGCTAAGGTCTACCGTATTGCGCTGCCCGAAAAGTGCACTAAGACTACCCCTACCGCCATGGTTTTCAACACTCCTTCTGGTCTTTGCATGACTGCTTCCACTGATTCTGTTACCTTTGAGAAATGCAGTGGCTCAGACTCCCAGGTCTGGCATGTTGCGGCAACGGGCCAAGACACTAAGCTGACTTTGAGCCCTCTGTCCGATGAGTCGGTTTGTCTTGCTGCTGGGGATGAACTTTCGCTTGCTAAATGTCAAGGTGGAGACGGTATTAACTGGGATCATTATATTTCGGGTCATTTGCGCAGTTCGTCTGGGGATTGTCTGACTCAGACCAAGGATAAGGCCAGTGTCGAGGCGTGTGTGATTGATAGTGTCGGCCAGATCTTTGGATTGCCAAGTGGAGTCCGTCTGGCCAAGGGGGATCTGAACTAGATTAGATATCGATTAGCGTGGAACTCAATAGTGTAGAATCACGTGATATATAGATCTATACAGATGCACGTTTTGTATATAGGTGCAATCACGATCTAGCCTGGTCAGAGCAGCATTATCAATGATCTAGAGGGCAAGGAGAAAAATCGAACATATTAGGAATCCGAAGATATTTGAAAATAAAGAAAAGAAAAGATAAATCATTATTGTTCGAAGTTTATTTCTCTTCATAAAAGAAGGAATAGCTTTAGCAGGGATGAGATAGGGTAGGGATGACTGGAGGCATGTGAAAAAGCGGACCTCTGAATAGCTTCATGAATACCTCATTTGGCCAAGAATAATGCACAGTGAGGGATGGAAGGGCCAAAGCTGCAGCTGCAAAGTGATATCATTTGTACATTCAGCCCTATACACAAGCCATATCCAGACAGAGTAAATACCTACAGAAACATCCACAATTTCCCACCTTGGAAAGTCTACCCTTGCAAAGAAAACCCAACCCCCTCTCCAGTCCCCATCTCAACAAGATTAGCCCTCATTCTCTCAGCCCTCTCGCCAAGCCCAAATGCAGCATCATCACGATTAACCCAAGCCCCAACTCCATGCTGCAGCACGGCAGTAGCTCTAACCTTCTTCTTCTTCTCCTCGGCATCACCACCATCCCCAGAAGCCTTCAATCCAAGACTTCCATGCAAAGTCAATCTTGTTTCAGGCCCGCCCTCACTCTTCCCCCGATAAACTCCACGATGCAAGATATTACTATTATAAAACACCGCATCTCCAGGCTGCAACTGAACAACCAACTGATCCGGCAACTCGGCCGCATAAGGATCCGCGTCACGCTCGACCTGCGTGCGTGCGCGCGCATGCGTCCCCGGCACAACAATCAGCGAAGCATCAGGACACAGCGCCAAGTTATACTGGCAATGTGACTGGCGGCCACCAGGCGCCTTAGCCGCAAGCTGTGCGAGTTCCTCCTCGGCAGTCGCGTGCTCAGAGATATCGTCGCGGTGCCAGCGGAGCTCAAAGTCTTTGGTTTCCGGCGCCACGAGCAAGTTGAACAATTCCATGACGAGTGGCTCGGTCTCGCTATCGGTGTTTTCAATGCCCATTAGCTCCTCCGCTACGGCAAGAATCGTTGGGGAGAAGTAGCATCGTGCGAAACTTTCCCGTCCTGGCATTTCCGGGTGCATTAGGTGCTGCACGCCCCAGATTCCGCCCTCCGAGGCGGGGGGTACGGTTGTTGGCCAGGGTGGGAATTGCTTTGGAACCGTGCGGAAGTGTGGCCAGCTTCCGGTGCGAGTTAGGGTTGTTGCTTTTGTGGCGATCTCGCGGTAGTGCGATACCTCCGTTGGAGTTAAGAGGTTGCGGACTACTACGAAGCCATCGCGTTTGAGGGCGTCTAGGTGTGGGGTGGCCATTTTGTAAAGAAATATGAAGTGAACAATTGAATAGTATCTGAAGTTTCGAAGTATATCTCGAAAGTTCAAATTTATATCTGCGGGGTTGAAATAGCCTAAAAGAAACAATACGACGCAATGTAGTATTTTTCTGGAACTTCGATCATCAATGCTACCGTGGATCTTCAGACCTCGGGATGTGACCTTTCTCCGTTACACATCATACGATATATATGTAATTTATGTATTTTATAAATCAAACATAACAAACCAAAAGGTCAATGCATGCTGTGATCAAACGTGGGGAGTGCCAAGAATAAGCCAAGAGGTTTCTAAGGCTGAGCCTTCTGCCACAATTTGATGTAATCGGTTTTTTCCTTGGAAATATTTTGATTCTTACTTAGCTTTCTACTCTTTCAGGATCTATATTAATTCCCCTCCTAATTTTGAAAATACTACCTCGCAAATCCCACCCCCCACCATGCCCCTCCTCCGTGCGGGCTCCGCCCTGCTTGTATTGCTCCTGATACTCCCGCAAGTACACGCCTTCGGAGCTGGAAATATTGCCTCTATCTCCGCCGTTGAAGGCAAGAACTGGCGCCATGGTGATATCGAAGATGTACTCAAGACGCTGGCTTTCATATCCGGCCACAAATGGACTTCCACCATGGTCAAGCGCGTGTATTTTGGTAACTGGTTGCGTGATTAGTAAGTTAGCAAAGAATCGCAAGATCGATGTATTCTCTAACTTTTATAGCTCGCAGGCAATGGACGTTGGAACTCTCAAAAATCTGCAGGCCGATACTATCCGTGTTTTGGTGTGGGTCCTCTCGTTCCTGAGCTTCGGCTATGCCACGGGTGAATTTGAGGTGACGTCGGATCGCTTGGGTGTTTACCGTCCCGAGGAACATATTGAGTAAGTTCAACTTCATGTTCTTGATGATCTGTACTGATTGTCTTCTTACTTCCAGTAACCCTAAGGACTATGCCGACAACGAAGATGCCCGCCAATATGACAAGCGGTTGCGCCCACCTGTTCGTGCTATCGAGCTAGAGATTGACCCGAGCACCGGTATGAAGAACTACATAGCCAACGAGAGAGGCGATTGGGCCACTAGCTCTGCCTTTATCAAATTCAGTCTTAGCCGCAGTATCCACTATGGACGGACCTACACCAATGGCGGACACAGAAAAGGCAACGAGGAGGACCTGTGCGAAGCACTTCGGTGTCTAGGCCAGGGACTACACACGCTGGAGGATTTCGCCGCACACACCAACTATGTTGAGCTGGCGCTGCGCGAGATGGGTTTCAAGAACGTGTTCCCGCATACCGGTACTGCCACACAAATCAACCTTCAAGGACGTCACGTTTTCCCCCTTATAACGGGAACCTTTGGTATGGTTGATTTCTTCCATTCTGTGATGGGAGAGGCAAATGATCATTTCACTCAATCCGAGGTTAACGAGATGGATATTGCTCTCGGTAATGCCGAAATGAATGCGCAGTCAAACAACTCCCTTGGTGCTTTGACTGGGCTCTTGGGCAAGATCCCAGGTACCAAGGATCTAGTCAGCGAGGCTGAGGGTCTCAAGAGGTCGTCGGCAGCGCAAGAAATGGCCAACCGCAGTCGTGGTACTGAGACCGGCTATGCGCAGTCTGCTTCCAATAGTCACGAGCGGTCCCGTGCGGAGCCATCAGGTGGTTCGAAGCCAGGTGCTGGGCTCGATGGCATGCCTGATTTCAATCCCCAGGAGACAGTGGCCAAGATCTATCCTATCTTGGCCTTCCGAGATAAGGTAGCGCGGAAATTGAACTCAATTATCGAAAAGATCCCTGGATTGGAGTCGCTCGTCGAGAAGATCTCTGAGACTCTGACCGTCTTCGTCATGTCACTGCTAGCACCTTTCGTTCGACCTCTGATCAAGGCTGCTTCTAAGTCCATCCAAACTGGATCAGCAGGTGTTATCGATGCCTCTGGCAAGCACCAGTACGAGCCATGGACCGATCCTCACTGCACAGATCCTACCCACTCCTTGCTCTCCAAGGACCACTTTGCCAACATTCTGAATGAGCCCGCCGGACGGGTCGCCTCTTCAATCGTGGAGTACGTCGCACCTCGTATTCTGTACGCTTGGCAACACATCGATGTCTCCGAGGACGAGGTCCTCAATGATTGCATGCAAGTCTTCCACCACCCAGCGGTGCGCAACATGCACAATGGTGCCCATCGTGCAATGTTCGAGGCCGTCGAGAAATGGGTCCACAGCCGCCCAGACCGTGGCGCTTCCCTTGACTCCATCCTCAGCTCTGAGGGTGTGAGATCCGGCCGTAACACCGGTGGAGTGAGCCACACGCACAGCGGCGAGCATGCTGGGTTCCCAACACTCGGCGGTGCATCGCACGGCCAAAGCCAGGGCCATGGACACAGTAACAATGGTGGACATTCATCTGGTGGATTCTCCTCATTCCTCCCTCAGCAAAACCACCAGCAACAATCAAACAACAGCTCCTCCGGAATGCCGTGGGACAAACTGTCTAGCATCCCCGGCTTGTCTAACCTGGGAAAACTCGAAAGTAAAATCTCAAACTTCCTGCCTGGTGGCTTGTCGCGCGATGTAAACGACGAAGCACCCCAACAAAGCCAGCATGGCTCGTACCAGAACCAGCCGGCTGGGGGTATGTATGAGAACCAATACCCTCCTCAACAGCAGTATGGAGGTTACCACCAGCCTCCGCACGCATCTCAGCAAAGTTACGGCTACCAGGGTAATCAGCAACATGAGCAGCATGGTTCATATCCAGGTTCGCATGGTGGATATGGACAGGGCCAGGGCTATGGACAGGGTCACGGGTATGGACATGGCCACCCGGGTTACTAAAGATCGAATGGTAAGACAAGATAAATGATTGGGGTTGAATATGTAGATACGGAGTGCAGATGAGATGGGTGGTTGTATTTTAACGAAATTGGATGGTTGTTTGTGTCGGTATATAAGGCAACGGAGTTTGGACGATAAAGGTGGAGGATACGGGAAATTTGGATGTTGTACTACATTTCATAGAATCTCGTGCGAAAGCTGTGATATTGAGTCACCTTGGGCTTTCTTTGGATCTATATGGGCTGTTGAGATTCCCCGGGGTATCACTTATGGGTTATCACCAAGGCGGTTTAGTTTGTTAGGTTGTTCCTCAATCAACCACTCTATTTACTTGGTTTCTGGATGTTGCCTCATCTTGGACTTAGATCTATTTCATAATGGCTTTGCCCGGTTTAATTACATAGGGTTTAGATGGCCATGTCCCCAATAAAAACGAGATATAGATACTATACAAGGCCGAGCCGTGAGTTGCACAGTTTGAAAATAGACGAAATCGCTTTTAAAGGAAGCGGGCAAGAACCCTTTGTTAGAGAGAACAACAAGTTACAAGGGCACATCTTCTTGGGAACACATATAATGCTCAGCGATGGTATTCTTGGCCTCGTCCAACAAAGAGCAGATTTGGCTTTGGGGCAATAAAGACATCATTTATTCCCCTTATATGCATCAATATAAAGAAACCTTTCAATTCCTATGGTTTCTTTTATCTCTAATAAAGACATTCTATCTCGGGTCCAGTGCTATCCCACCCGACTCTGTGGAGTTATATAAGTCCTTCCCCCTTCGTGTCAACAACAGGAATTCACCAGCATTGTTCTATTCTACACTACTCCAAAGTCAAGTATAGATATTCAACCATATATCCAACTACAACCCAATCTTGTGAATCTTACAGCCCGTCTATCATCATGTCATCTACCGACGCTTACAAGTGGGAGCAGGTCGAAGAGCTCTACGGCGCCCCAATCACAGATTTACAGATCACCCCTCAGCGACCTGTAATGTGTTATGTGAGCCTAGATCACGGCATTAGTCGCCCGCTCGTTGTAGTTGACGAGTGGATTAGCGAGAACTACCTTATCTGGACTCTCTGCGCTGCGTTCGCAAAACACGGCAGCGACAGAATCTGGACACGCAGGTTTGACGATTCCCACCGCGACCAGTGGGTTCAGATAAAGGAGATTGTGCGGAGGATGCATGGTGCTGACCGATTCCTACTAGATATCCCACCCCCGCCTCTGTTGCTCGCGGTCTTCCAAGTACGAGACTCCCAGACATCTTCGTCCCATAGCCATGCCATTATGGCCACACCTGCTAGTCCTCGTTCTAGAGGAGGTCTGCTAAGGATCTTGCGGCATGTGTACCACGGAAACTATTCCCCGAATGATGTCTTCAGTGTAGTTCTCTATGACTCCGATGTGACCGGAGTCGCGCCGCAGTCGCCCCCGCTCGCCCTCCTGGGGTTGCAGCCAGACTCTTCCGATATAACAGCAGCATCGGATATCCCCCCTCCATATGAGCTTGCTTCCGAGCCGGACTTGTCAGGGCTGGGCGAGCGCTTGAACTCTCCACCTCCTCCTTACCGCACTACCTCTCCTGCTCCTCCTGGTTGGACCCCATGATGGAATGTAGGAGCTCTCCTCTTTGGAGGGCTTGGGCCTTATATGAAGTCCATCTGATACTAACAACTCTACTAACAGGTTATTATATGAGATCGATAGTTTTAACCCCTGCTAAGAATACTTGGCTTGAGTATATACTCCTTTGCCAGTATTAAATACAATTGATTTTTGTCACTTCTCTATGTGTTGGATAGTCATAGTCCTGGCCATGATGCATTAGGCATTTCAGGTAAATATACCTCTTTTTGTCATTTTATGCCTATATATACGTATAGATGTTGGCTCATATAGAGCAATGTAAGTTTCCACGTGTATAAAGAAGTGTACGGGCTAAATTTGGGTGCAGATGGCTGTTAGGGCAAGTAGCACAAAGTCCAACCTAACCTTGAGTTCAATTCTAGCTGACTAAATCCGCATTCCTGAAAGCAAATATTTAAGGCAAGATAAATTATTGTCATAAGACATTACCAAAGGAGTATATCTGCTCTAATATCCCAAAAAATAATGCAGGGCTGTGTAGGCTGGTCGCCTGATACTAAAAATAGCGGGAGCCAATAATCGCTGTTGGTTTAATGATGAAACAATACAATAGGCACAAATTGAGAGACAATCGAAGGCCAAGGCATACGACAGCGGGACTTTGTTTGAATAGCAATATCGTGTCATTCGATAATCTGGGGATCCAAATATATTTTCCCAGCTGGGTTATCTACGTCAACATTCAGTCATGGTCCTGACCTTACGTGTCTGTTTCTCGTGTTTGTGTCTCAGTTGAGCTTTTCAAGTATATCTCCAACAATTAAATATACAGAACTTGAAGTATAAGAGGGACGTCAACTCCATCAGTATACCTCTAACAGCAGCGAGATCCAGCCGCAATACCAAAGAAACGAAACAACAAACATTTATCTAGAAAAATGAAGACTCAGTCAATTTCCGCCCTCGTCCTGGCGACTGCTACCTTTACCCTCGCTGCACCCAGCCCTATGATACCCGTCCTAGAGCCATTGCAGCTTACAGGGCTCAACGCAGGCATCTATAGCACAAGCCCCCCAACAACCTGTCTGCTCTCTTTTGCTGTCAAAGACCCAAATACAAACATAGAAACCACATGCTCTGGTTATTGGTATGTTTCAATCTATTTTCCAGCTTTCTTCTCTATGTTTATGATATCATACACCCCCAAATCCAAACTTCATAAATGATGCTAACTTTATGCAGGTCAATTGGCATGGCTGGAAATAAGACTTATGACTGCTCCAACAAGTCCTATCAGCTTCATCTCCCAAATGGAATCTACGACATTGAAAAGTTCGATTTGGGTGTCTCCCGCGCAGATGGCTCTCACTCTGGGCGATCAGTTGTCACTGGTGACTCGTGGAAATGTGAGAAGCAGGAGTATCCTAAGGCTCAGTGCAAGTGGGATGGTATCTTCAGTCTCGATCTGACTCCATCTACTTGATTTGCTATTTTGCTTCCTTTTTGCTAGTCTCATTTCATCTAGTTAGTATTATCTCCTGCTTTGTTGCCTTAAATATACTTCGATTTGTTGTTACTTCCTCCCTAGGATACTACTATAGCTGGCGTAAGTCTATCAATAGTATCTAGTATTTGACTTATCCATAAGAGCTAAAGAGCCATGAGAAATTCAAAGCCACGTCTCAAAGAAGTTGAAAACACTTGGTCAACATTCCTTAGAAGTACCCGTGGACAGCCCTAAAAAGCCCGCTGACTCATCCCGCTTGAGGTCCACGGGTCTTGGCATTGCACACCTAAATTGGTCTTGGCCTTCAATTCCGTCGATCTCGGTGGTTGCAGTGGATTATTCTCATCTCGATAGGCGCTCTGATGAAAAGGCTTGATTTAGTGGGGATGAACAATCTCTTACCCCGAGCTCCAGTCACAATTGCCCTGATGACCGAAAAGGCTTCTTGACACCTGTAAGAAGTATTATATTACTTTATGGACGATACTACTGGCCCACGGGGCGGAAAGGGGCGGAGTGCTTGCGATCTATGTCGACACCGAAAGGTACGGAGTAATAATATCCACACTGCCTGTGTGACGGCCCCTAATCCGATTTCGCAGATTCGCTGCGATAGAAACCAACCAGCCTGCGAGAACTGTCATATTGCAGGACTACCATGTACTTTCTCTCAACCTGTATCCCAACATCGGAAAAGTCCCCGACAGTAAGACATTATATCATTGGGTCCCTTTTTATCAAGCGCTTACGGATACACAGGGAGCTTGCCGAGACCAAAGCTCGGGTTCGGGAATTGGAGACAGCCCTGCTCGGACTTAAGGAATCCACAAAACAGAGCCACAAAAGGCTAGCGATCTCTTCTCCGAGCAGTAGCTCTTCTCCGGCGTCGCCCAGGCACCCATCTCAGGTGCCTTTATCTTATTTGCCCGATACTCGTGATTTCGATACCGCGTTGGCAGCTTTCCAATGGCACATCTCGTATTGTGGGTTCGGGGGTCCTCTTTCAACTCAGAGGGCAGCTTTTTACTCTCTTATTCAAGAACAAACAGGCTGTACATTCAATGTGGATGATTTTGCTCACGAGGTTACCCAATCTTTCAATTCACAACAGCTCAAATCGACAGAGAGAGTGATTGAAATCAAATGGCCAGAGTCTGCTCTGGTCCAACAGTGTTTGGATTATTTTGATAAAAATGGGCTCTATTCTATATTTCCAATTGTCGATGTTGAGGCCGTGCAGATTCTACTCAATGCGAATGTCTTAGACCGGCCTCCAAACATGACCCGTGCTGCAAATCGGGCTTGTCTAGTTGCCTTTGCAGCAATGATCATCCATATCCGCCAACATGAGAGAGCTTTTGCCAGCTCTGACCCGAACGCTTATTTACAAGCAGCACTAACACTCCTTCCCGAGATGTTGTTGGAACCCCCTGATATAAGAACCTTGGAGGCGGTGACAATGTTAGTAAGTGTGCTCTACGGCCACCCCTCTAGGTGGATTCCATTATCTCCCATGTCTCAGAAGCTTATATCTGGCCATAGATGTTTTATATCACCCCTCTTGGCAGACCCCAGGCAGGAGAACTACTTCTTGGTATCGCCGTGCAGCTCATCTTTAACCTCGGGGCAAACAGAATACAAACCCCAAATGAGATACACAGGACAGACCCGCGTAGCCAACATCTCCGAGCTTTGTTCTGGCATTGCTATGCCATCGACAAAGAATTCTCTATCAGAAAATCCCAGCCACCCTTGATAAACGACGCCGATTGCGATCTAGACCTGCCTACAACATACGCCCAGAAAACCTCAGCACGCCACTTCTACATGAAGCCCTTGTCGTCCAAGGAACTTCTTTTCCCCTCAGACCTCCGCTTTTCTCTACTCAAGTCCAAGATCTTCCGGTTGCTTTATTCAGTGCACAGTCAGACACTACCGGAAGCTAGACGTCTTCAGCATATTCGTGAACTGGACCAAGAACTGAGCGACTTGAAGCTGGGCTATCCCGTTGACTGCCGGCCGGAACTCTTCGCCACCGAGGACGCACCGGACTATCTATTCCATGATCTCAGTATGCGTGGTGTGAATATCCATTTGGAATATTACTATTGTCTCGGAAAGATCCACGGGGCTAGTAGCTCTTGCAAGATACCTTCTCCGCAAAGCTGGTCGCCTCTCCCATCTAGTGCAGAGCTATGCTTTGAGGCTGCAAGGTCTTCGCTGATCTACATCTGGCGAGTCCGCCAATTCGTCAATGATCATACGTTCTGGTAAGAGACTTTGATACCTTCTCCTACTTAAGTATACTCATCCGTGTTTCTTCCATATTCCAGGATTCATGCTCAGTTTCTCCTCACGGCTGTTCTCTCGGTCTTCTGGTATCTCATCACGGTTCCAACTTCATCTACTTTTACCAGAGACCTCAAGACCTTGGAGGATATTGCTGAACTCTTGGCTCATCTCAATAAACCGAAGGAAGATGGGCAGACTTTCCCGCCATTTTATTTGACGCATGCTTTTGTTGAGAGGTTGATCTCGCTAGCGCAGCGTTCGAGACCTAAAGTTGCAGGCACATGATAGGGTTGCTCAATAATTGTAGTCCTTTTTTTCCTTGTGGTACTTTTGTATGTACAAATAATGCTAGTACACTGTGGCTTGGGCTTGAAATTTGTATTGAAGAACCGCCTTGTGTAGAGTACTAATTAATCCCTATTATAGTTAGTAGCATATTTATAGATCGCTATAAAGTGTTTATAACCCTTTTAGTACAAGTGCGGCTTGTATTCCTTTTTATCCGCCATTTTTCCACCAATCCCTGTCGTTGAAGTATACGTCTTATCTCCCCCCTTCTTCCTTGCTTGCTTTCTATTCATCTTCTTATATTCTCTTCCTTCGTCTTTCTCCTTCTCTTTCTCTTCTCCATCCAACACTACACCCCTTTACCCCTCAGTGACAGGCATCCCCCCTAATCAACAAGCGACCGAGCACTAGCCAAATACCGAGAAGTTAGAGAACATTTCGAGCTTACCTTTTCTATAGCTATACTTGTTTTGAACTGTGACTTACTTTCACCCCCGCTACAATTCATGCTATGGTACTATTAGAACGTCAATCCCCCTATGATACACTAGTCCTCTCCTCTCTTCAACAGCCCGGCCGGGCTAGCTCAATCGGTAGAGCGTAAGACTCTTAATCTTAAGGCTGCGGGTTCGACCCCCGCGTTCGGCTATTCCTAAAACCAAACCTGAGATTTCTTTTTTGCTCTTCTTTTTTGCTCTTCTTTTTGGTGTACATGTATAGAAGAGGGGTCAATTGACTTTTTTAAAAAGCCTTTTTGGTGTGTCCGTTGATGAATTAGGTGTAAATGTTTGGCCGTAGAGGTGTATGCCAAGATCCATCGATTTTCCAGTCGCCTTTTTGTAGGTTGCTTTCTGTTGATATCTAGTAATATATATATTTGGATCTGAAGGGCAAGTTGTCTTAATCTCCATCTTCGGAAAAAGTAATAATCGATTATTAGTGCAACCAGAACCGTCTATTTCCTGTCAACTATGTACAACACGGCCGTAGCAACAAGACAACTTAATCATCAGTCATATCATAAGGTACAAAATACGCATGAAAGTCCCAAATCCCTTTGTATCGAAGGGGGAAATGCAGCGCCTCAAATTATATCTCAACACACTTCACAGCTTCGTCCCCTCACGTCCACCGTCACTGGGACGCCTGGGTCGGAGAGGCCCTAGGGGCTGACCAGCAGCATGGCTCGGCTGGCTCGGCCCAGCCGCTGAGGATTCGCTATCTGCAGTGTTGGTGCGGACCGCTCCTCCCCGTGTCCCCTGGTGAAGACGAGGGTTCATGAGCCATTGCACCTGCATGCGGACACTGTTAACCGCCGCATTGGTGTGAGCTATATCCTCCTTGATGCGGAGACATTCATTCATGATAGCCATGCTGGCACGAGCATCCAGGTCTGTAATCGCATGCGAAAGTTGGCTGACCTCTTCCCGGAGAGATTCGTGCAGTGAGAGCAGATAGGTTGTGGCATTGGATGAAAATACACTCGCAGCAATATCTGCAGGATCGTCTGAGTGGACGTCGGCGCGAGCAGAGGATTGTTGTTCTCGGCCAGATTGGGTAGGTTGTCCACCGCTATTACTGTTCGCACTCAAGCGTGTAGATTCGACAAGAGTAGACCGGATGTTTGCGAGCCCATCCTCGAAGATCTCATTCCGTTGTTGCAGATGGCGCATACTTGATTCAAGGGACTTGAGCCTGGTATTTTGCGCCTCAAAGTATGGGCCCATTGCGACTATAGGGCAGCTTTGCTCATGTAATGCAATGTCTGCCCGTCGGATCTTAACCGGACATGCATATTTAGATGCCGCGCAGGGGATCGCAACCTCCGGACATGATTCAATGTGCTCCCGCAGTGTCCCCTTGGTAACAACCGTTTCGCAGTCGACACATGTAACTTCAAGAACTGGACAGAGCTCTTTCTCATGCTCCTAACGTTGGCGTTCCCGGTCAGCATCTATAGGATTTTGAGAAGTTTAAAAAGCGCAACAAACCTCGTACTCATGTTCTAGAACATCTTCATCGCAATGAGAACACCGCCGCACTCTATGGATACACTTCTGATCCATCCCAACGTCCTTGCTTCGTGTCATCTGATCGCATGAATCATCCGGGCACGGTAATAACCGGTACCCACAGTACTTCTCGACATGCGATTGGACATGCCCTCGGGGTATAATCTCTTGACAGCCCTCCGTTATCAATGGACATCGCACTCGGATCTCATCGCACATGTTGATCAGCAGGCGAGGCACGCTGGCCGACACCTCCTGGGTGGGATTTCGGCAAGAAGGACACGGGAACTCAACCGAGTCGGCCGAGCGGAATGTTGTGATAGCCGAACTGAGACAACTCCCGCAGAAGACATGGTCACATTGCAGACGAACGGGCTCAACGAAGGGACAGTGGCAGATCGGGCACATAAGATGTGAGTCGTACTCGGAGACGAGATCAAGACTGCGGAGGTCGATTAGCTCGTCGCGGTCGCGGCTATCCTCCATTGCTAGGAAGTCCTGTAGATTCATGTTGTGCAAGCTTGGGACCTATCACGAGGTCCAAATCAATATGCAAGGTACGAACGGGTTTTTATTCCCTATGTTGCTTCTTTGGAATGCGGAATCAATGCGCCGGGTTCATGCAACTTTGCGCTAGATACCGAGATAGACCGAATAGTCAAGATCCATGAGGGCTCAGAAAACCATTAGTTGAGCGATCGGAAGCAAATGCTTGCAAGATATAGACATGTTCAGAGAGCTCAAGAGAAGGCGGGACTGCGGGGGAATCCAAGGAGAGGCAAAAGGCGGAAAGCGGTTGATCCGCCCTTGCTGCCTCCGCTTGTGAATCCTCGTCTTACCATCTCCACTCCAATCTCACATCTCAACAAGTTTGACTTATATTTTGCTTGGTTGATCGGAGGTCTTTCTCCGTATTGACCGTCCAAACGCCTACGATTTACACATCTCAATACCTTGACATTTTGATCTCATACACCTCATTATGACGAACCCTGCCCAGCTATTCCTACTCGCCGATCACATCAAACTATCGCTTTTGGAGCGCGAAAGGGCAATCTCACTCGATCTCGAGCCCAATTCTCAAGATGGAGAAATATCCTGGTCTCTCGAGTCTCTCCGGGAGAGTATAGAGGCTCTGGAAGCCGAACAAACACGACTAGCCAACTCGCATGACAGTGCAGGCGCCGCCGCCCTGAAAGACCAACTCGGTCCCCTCCAAGCCCAATACAAAGATCTGGCGGCTCAGTTCTACGGCGCAGACGGCGGGCCATCGGACAACAACACGACGCAGGCGTCGAAACCCGCTACCCCCGATCTGAAGCAACCAATCCCCCAACATCCACCTTCCAAATCCGTCCGCTTTATGGACAGCTCCGCTGCAGCGGCAGCTGTGCAAGATGAGATTGATGTGGAAGACGAGCGCAATCGCAGCAACCTCTTCCGCCCATACCGCGATGAGCCATCGCCGCGACCGGATCACTCAAACATGGACAACCAGCAGATCTACGATCACCACGCTCAAACTATGCGCGACCAGGATGATCAGTTGGATCGGCTGGGTGAGTCGATCGGTAGACAGCACCAGCTGAGTATTCAGATTGGTGATGAGCTGGATGGCCACGTTCAGCTTCTAGATGGAATGGATGGGGATGTTGAGCGTCATCAGAATCGACTGGATGGTGCGAGACGGCGTATAGATAGGATCCGTCGAAAGGCGGGGGATAACTGGAGCATGATGACTATCATTGGATTGATCATTGTTCTGGTCATCTTGATTGTGATCCTGAAATGATACCTTGATACGGGTGGATGATTCAAGGCTGTTTGCTATTGCTTATTACTTGTTTTCTTTTTTGGGCGAGCGGGCGTTTACAACTTTGCGCAATATGGGACGATTGACTCTCCCGATGTTTTTTTTTTTTTTCCCCTACAGTGGCTCGAGGCGTTCAGGCGATCGAGTCCCATCTAGACTCTCGTGATCATACTACATCTACAAGTCTATCTTGATCATAACTTCCCTTCCATACCTAATCCGCTTCAACAGAGTGTAGTATCAATTGTCATTGACGAACGAGTTAAACTCGAATAAATCAGCATAGAAGACTCCTAGCAGCCTCAACCCCAGACTGCCCCAATAAAATACACAACGAAGTTCGTGATTAACATGGTACAAAAGGCCAATAGCTTTTTCCTTATTGCTTCCCAACATGTTTCGTCTTCTTCTGCAACTCCTCGAAAGTGATATCACTATCTACCTCGCCGCGATCCGCTTTGACCTAAATCAAACATGTTAGCTTTGATAAAAGATACACTCATAAGGGGCCAATCCTTACATCAGCTTCGCTGTTACTAGCCAGCTCGGCCTTCCACTTTCCCCTGCCCTCTTTGGTGCTCTTGAGGTTTTCTTGCTTATGAGATTCGTAGTGGATGGTGAGATCATCGCGGTCTATTTGTGATTAGTATGGCAGGGAGAATTTGGTGATAGTATACTAACTTGTATCATCCTCTTTCAAGGTTCGGATTGCTGAAGAGCGGAATGTGGCAACTGGCGCGAAGTTGGTTCGGATAGCTTGACGGGAGGTGGCACGGATGGAGGGGAGGAACGACATGATGAGGCGTGTTTGGATAGAATAGGTAGAGTAAATTGGAGGAGGTAAAAGTATTTGAAATCAAATTGGAAATGTCTTCCGGTGGGGGAGATGAGATATTTAAGGTCGAATGTTCTGCCCAGAACAGCGGAGATCCTGATGCTATATGACATCATCGGTCCGAGGTTGTTACACTACCTATAACTACTTGAATATGTATATAATCTGGATATTTTAGATGAGTTAAGTTTACTCTGAGATCTCTCAAGCTTTAGATCATTGATATACTTATGAGTACTCAGTTGCTGGTGATATATAGGGTATCTCGTAGGATACTACCTCCGCATAAAGGTCATAGATATGTGGAGACACTGCCGAACTTGATTTCCTTGATTTCATATAAATATGATCCTACCCTCTACAAACACCAAATTTACGATGTGAATATTACTTCATGAGACTGGAGCTCTAGGCTGAAAAGCTTGGGATACTGCTGACGTGCTTGTACTAGTAGGAAGCACCGATAGTAGATGTCACGATCTGATTATTATGACCTAGCAGAATGTGACATTCAAAAGATCTATATATCTAAATTTAGTAGGGAATAGTTTGACGAGAAAAAGAACAACATTCTATACTTTGGTGTTTCATCGAACACCTGCAGGCTAGATGGTGATGAACAAGATTCCTACAACCCCCCCTATCTATTGAGCTATCGGCTCAATATCAAATCGCATCTGCAAGATAATATTCCTCCAGATAACAACTCTGGTGATACGACGTGTACCTCTGGGAAATGCCAACAAAACAACAGCAGCCACTCCTTTCCCAAGGTCTGTGCCTAGAATGGCCTTATATTCGGGGGTATCATACGCCCAACTCACTTGATTCACTGATACCGGAGATCGGTTAAACACTGGAGAATTAGGTGGTTGGGTGTTAGCCCAAATTGCGTGTATAAATTCACAAGTATCCTCGTTAACAACGTTTTCGGTATATACGTGTCTCAGTGCATTCTGGGCGAAGTGGATATTGTACTGTGCAAGGGCGACATGACTTCACCAAGGTCCATCGTATCTTTCAACATTTCTAACGATAATAACTCCCGCTGCAGTCGTGAAATGATACAAGTTAGTACCTCTCCCTCGTATTGGATGCGGAACGACCGACCTCTTTGTGATCTTGGCATCGTGGTAATCTACATCACCCGTAGGGAGGTTACAATTCGCGAGATCAACTTGGAAGACGGGGGGTCTTGGGCCCCGGTAATTGAAATCGGTATGCCATCTTTCAGACCAGTTTCTAGCATGGGTCAGCGTTTTATATTCGAAGTTTAGGGGCTGGATTGGGCAGTTAGGCTCGTTTGCATTATCGATCCATCTTTGTCGCAACTCTCCCGATATCTCGCGCTGGCCGTACTGATAACCGCCGGATGCGGGACCGTCTACAGAGGCTGGAATGACGGGTTCTTTGGCAGGGACTGTAGGGCTGAAAAAAGGTACTAACTGTATAGGAGCATTGCCCGAAGGTGTAGCGGCCCTGGATGGGGCTTTGCGATGGCGGCAGATGTTGAAACAATTCCAGGAACAGCAAGACATATTGAACAGATTGGATTAGATCGGGTATAACACTAAAGTATTTAGTATTGGAGTATTGACTTGTACTTGTCTGTATACCCGGAGGGACCAAGGATTATATAGATGCGAGCTAAGTAGGTGGCGCATACTCGACTGTAGGGATGGCTTTCAAGTATATACAAAGAGGAAAAAATAAGAAACAATGTGCACAAAGAGTCGACGAAAATATCAACACACAACAAGGCAGACAATGATAATGGGAGGCGGGAACAAGGTCCAAATTGGATACTGAAAAGTGGACAAAGAAGTTCAAGTCGAAGACATTGAGAACAACGAGCACAACAAGTCTATAATAGCAATAGACAACTGTCGACAAAGAGAACAGTAACTCGAGACCTTAGACAAAGAAGTCGACTAGAATACTGATATCATAATGTGTACAGGACTAATGCAAAAGCCAACTGCTTTAGATTCGATATCCAGGAGTAAACGTTACAGAAATCATCCAGCCAGTTATGGACCTAGCCATTGTCGTTGTGACTTCTACTTTAGCTGCAATATTATATCCATCCCAAGTTAGGATCTACTATGTATTGTATTTAATTTGAGCTTTCGTCGGATCTTAGTCCAAGCACTGAGACTTTGTCTTAAAAGATGTTTAACGAATTAAGTTCATAGTATACATAGTACGGAGTGCATAGATCGTCCATGAACAGGTGATTTACCCCTGAGATAGATTAAGTATTTCTGCATATTTCTCCGAGGCTTCCCCTGTTTGCATACGCATCTAAGAGAAAAGGGGAAATGACACTGCCAATCATCAAACTGTCTTAGCGCATACTGTAACGCTTATTCTTGGCGTGAAACCAGACTTATAAAAGCTCACTGTTAAAGTCATCTTGGATTTATGCAGGCTGAGACTCTTCAAGTTGTCAAAACTGCTTAATTAGACATTCCAACATGAAGACCATCCTCCTAGGTCTCCTGCCAGCATTAGCCAATGCAGCGGCAACAAGCGGTAAATTCACTGCGCTGAGCTTCAATGTCGCAGGTCTACCTTCAATCTTCCAGTCCAACGACGTCAATGGCACAAAGCCCGAAAATGCGAAGCAGCTCGGCACCTACTTCTCACAATATGGCTACGATATCATCAATATGCAGGAGGTACCGCCAAACCCAGTCTTCCTAGTATATCAAATGATCTAACAACGCTCTAGGATTTCAACTACCATGCCTACATCTATGAAACAGATAAACATGCTTACCGGACCGCTACCTCCGGCGGCGCAGCCATTGGAAGTGGTTTGAACACCATCTCCAACCACGACTGGGTAGATTTCACCCGCGTGAAATGGAACACATGTTCCGATGCATCCGGCTCAGACTGTTTGACCCCGAAGGGACTCACCTTCATGCGCTGGAACCCGGCCGATGGAGTCTATGTCGACTTTTACAACATCCATGCCGACGCTGGGTGAGTAAAAGCTATTCTCACACTGTCGCTCTAAGCCTGACTCCCACTAGCACCGAGGATAAGGATGAAACTGCCCGAAATTCCAACTTGCAGCAAGTCGCAGATTACATCGACACCTGGTCGACTGGTAACGCCGTCGTAGTCATGGGCGATACGAATAGTCGATACACGCGCGCCCTTGATACGGGAATCCGAGTCTTCAAGTCTCAGAATAACCTTGCTGACCCCTGGGTTGACCTTCAGAAAGATGGTGTCTACCCCACGGCTGGGGCAGATGCCTTGCTATGCGATAACCCGTCTTCTGTTCAGACCTGCGAGACGGTTGATAAAGTTCTGTACCGGGGGTCTGATGTTGTGACGCTCAAGGCAGACAGCTTCGTCTATGACGGTGGAAAGTTTACAAACACTGACCCCAAGTATCTGGGTCAGATTCTCTCGGATCATAACCCGATTCTTGTGAACTTCACCTGGTCGCTTTCGTCGTCTCTGCGACAGAGTCAGTTCTCGGGTGGTCCGCACGGGGTGTGGTTCAATGATCTGCCGAAGATTCCTTCGTCGCCTGCTGTTTCTGAGATTACTTTCTCTGGTGCAAAGAGGCTGGATTCCGTTGCCTTGAAGTTGAAGGATGGCACATCCTTTAGCCATGGAGGGACTGGTGGCACCAAAGTCTCTCTTACTCTGGATTCTGGGGAGCACTGGACCGAGACCAAGCTCTGTACTGGGCAGTATAATAGTCACACTCGCAACTTTTATATCAAGGCTACCACCAGTGCTGGTAAAACCTTGGAGGCGGGCACCTCAACTGATAATTGCCAGACATTTACTGCCCCCGATGGCTTCGCAGTTGTGGGCTTTATGGGGCAAGCTGAGGATGAAATCGATCAGTTGGCTTTAGTATATGCGGCCTACTAACGGTCAAATCTAGAGAGTACTTGAGATATAAATCCAATTCGTGGTGAATATGCACCTGTTCATTTGCCATTCTGGCCAATCGTATCAAGTCATGGTCTATGCTATGTCCCAAACGCCGAGGTATTCCGCAAAAATATTACCCATATGCACCGCGCTGTGTAAATAATCTAAAAAGAAAGAGCATTCTAATCCATCCTGTCCTCTGGGAGAACATCATCTGGGTCCTCCCCAACCGCCTGTCCCACCAAGCGCACGACCCGCTTGATTGCCTTGGACGCAGGGCTGTCTGGGAAGTTATCCACAAAGCTCTCGCCAAAGTCACACGCCATGCCAACGCGGGGATCCAGAGGCACAGCACCTAGGAAAGGAATGCCCATTTTCTTCGCCAGCCGGCGACCGCCGCCAGTCGTCGCCCGAAATATTTGCGACTCATGGGTGCAGTTAGGACAGACAAATCCAGACATATTTTCTACCAATCCCAAAACCTTAATACCAGCCTTGCGACAGAAGTCGACCTCCTTGCGTACATCCAGCAATGAGACCTCCTGCGGGGTAGTTACGACGACAGCACCGTCAACGCCAGACTCCTTCAGCAAAGAGTTGACGGATAGATGCTCGTCAGATGTCCCGGGAGGCGTATCGACAATCAAGTAGTCCAGCTGGCCCCAGTCCACATCCTTGAGGAATTGCTTGATCAGTCCGTTCTTTTTGGGTCCGCGCCAGATCACCGCATCGTCACGGTTGGGCAGCATGAACTGCACGCTCATCGCGCCCAAGTTATCTGTAACCCATACGGGACTCCATCCGGCATTGCTGATGTGAATAGTCTCTGACTCCACGCCCATCATCTTGGGGATCGACGGCCCGCAGATATCGGTGTCCATGATGCCGACAGTGGAGTCTGGGTTGGCGGCGAAAGCGTGCGCAAGTAGGGTTGAGAACGTGGACTTGCCGACTCCTCCCTTTCCGGAGAGAACTAGGATCTTGTGTCGTATTTGGGAGAGTCGTTCGGTGATAATTGGGATGTCGGGGTCGGGGCCTTTGGGTGCGGTGGCACAAATCTGTTGGTTTGGGCAACCAGCGCAGGCATCACCTTGACCAGCTTGCTCGGATTCAGGGCCTGGGCAGTGTTCTGTGGAGAGTCAGTATGTGTATTATGTCAATGGTTCTGTGCATGCATACCGGGTTCGGGTGCGACAAGGCTGGGCGTCACCTTGGACGATACTGCTAGAGACGCCTCAACTGACTCCTCCACATAGGGCGCCATTTTGGATTGCTGCTCTGTATGGAAATGGAGACAAGAGCAAATTTAGTAAACAAATATTATGCAGTCGCAAGAAACAGAGAAATTCAGAAATTCACCGGTGGCGGATTGATGCTTGATAAGCGGGGGATGACTAAAAACCCGCTGCGATTGGCGGGGCAAGGCATATCTGCGGTGTCGGAGAGGCAAGTGTATGAGTGAAATATTTCATTTGATATGATCACTGCTCAAGTCATGAAAATACGAGAGAATAACTAAAACCATCGTGTACTAAATGGGGAAATCAATTTGAGTTTAAGAACTGGTTGGAGAACCCGGCCTCTATAAGAAATGGCTCTGTATGATGTATATCTAAACTATTTTTTATGTCCATTTGCCAAGCCTACCAGATCTCCATATTTCAGTGTATTCGTCGTTGCGGTATACTGATTGGCCTCCGGCGAGACAGTCAAGATCATGGCCGAATGAGTATCAGCTGATGCCTCGAAGTGCTCCCGCAGCACCATAGTCAATGGAGAAGAACGGTATGGGATACGAGATTTCTTGCTTGACAGGGCTCGGATCACTTCTTTTAATGCGAGAAGGTCAGTGTTGATCTGCCTCCCTTCTTGCTTTTCTTGGGGGGTTTGTTTGGGCGCAGAACTAGTCGTCGTGCTGGAAAGGAACTCAGCGCCGGCGAGATCTACGAACACAAGCTTGCCACCGATACATCGATGTGCCCTAGCGGTAGTTGCAAACACTTCAGACTCATGCTCTTCTGCCTTTTTAACACGAGATTCAAACTCAGCTTTTTGTGCTTCTGCGGCATCGACGCGTGCTTGATCCATTTGATAATCAGGATTTGGTGCGTATTTTCCCGGTTCAGTCTGGATAATTGCACGGGATTGTTCCTCGATATAAACATCTGTTGCATGTTTTCCTACAGGAACAAGCTCAGATTGCCGCTCAACCACCTGATCACGCGCATCAAGAAGCTCCTTGGTGATGATTTCCAGTTCGATCACGGCATGCGTGCGCGAGCTTTGATCATGGACTGTCGATGTCGCAGTTCTACGGTGCTTCAAGCCCTTCTGTAGCTCTCGGTGCAGATCTTCAAAGCTCCAACATGCCTTTGTAGCGATTGGTCGAACTCTCACTTTCCCATTTTCCAGCATTTCTGTTTCGCCACGGATGTAGACCCGGCCATCGGATCCCTCGCGAACAAAGCACTCATTCCGCTCATTGAGTAGATCGAAAGCAATATTCTTTCGTAGTTCGAACACACGGAGTCCAAGGCCGAATTGATGGTTGCTGTCCCCAAGATTGATCTCTTCTAGCGCAGCGCTTAGTTGACGTGCAGCAGCTAAACACATCCCAAACTCATCGGGATTCTCAAAGTTGTAGCCAATCATGGTATGGGATTTGCCGCTGCCTGAGTGGCCGTATGCAAAGAAATTGCGAGATTTGCCCTCCAGAACTTCTGGGAGGACTGGTGCAACGACGCGGTTGAACACCACGTGGTTGTTATCATCACGTTCAAGGATCCCATCAAACGAGAATCCACTCTTCCAGGATTTTTCTCGAGTAGAAAGTGCTTTAGTTTGCAAAGGTGAGGTAACGGAGGTGCATGACTGTGGATTGTTGTGATGTTGGCCATACTCCCGCTGGATTTCTCCAGCTCCGGCCTCACTCGGGTTGAGAGGTCGCCATCTCACCCACACTTTAAAAACATTCATCTCCCTTAACGCTAGAACGCTAGAACGCTTGAGTTATTGTAGAGAAGAGAAAAGAAGGACACGTGTTTTGGCCTGTCCAGTAGTCAGCTTATGTCACGAGGAATCACTGGGCAACGATGGGCCCAGGCAATCGACACAACAACAAGTCTCACAGAATAATAGACCAGAGCTTGAGGCTTCTGGTGTTGTGGGTTAATTGAGTTTCATGTACAACATATTGACATTGAAATGGATTTTATGAAGCCAAGATAGACGTTTAATCCCCAAGGACGCTAGAGTGACACTAATTTATACGCCTAAACAGGTTTTACTCCGTACCTACATTTTAGGCATGCAAGTCCTAGCCATGGACACATGAAAACCACTCAACAATAAATAGCCCCACAGGATAAAAAGAATCCCGGGCCTGTCAGCACTTAACTAGGGGGATCCAGAGTCTTGATCTAGCGCCTCTACTGCAGTAGGATGGACGTGGCCCAGTGAAACGGTCAGAAAACCTGCATTTAACATGCGAGGACAAGAAGCGGGGGTCATGGACTGCAGCTTAGATTGGATCAGCACTGTTGCATATCGCGTAGTAAATTCAATCCAGTGCCCAGGTGAGGTAGGCAGTGCACTATTATGAGTTACCATTATCAATCTTCAACGCATTGACATCAACGGTGCTTGTACATCGTAACAAGAAGTTTCGATTTGGGGTGTGATAAACAACCAGGGATATGGATTGGCTAATGTCAAGTACTCCACTACCCATGGATCATCCCATTCGCCCGTGGGATATGCGGACACGATCACAATGCACTTTATATATGGGGCACGAGCCCAAAGGGACTGTATCATTATATACAGGCGGTAAGTGTACACACTATATGCCATTGTGCGCACAACTACTGGCTACCGCACTTGCCGCACTGCACGATAATCCCGCAGTAGCCATGGACAATTCAGGGAATGGATAGACAGGAGAGATGTCTAAAAGCCTATTCAGAATAGAATTAGAAGTATTTCCCAACAACAACTCGAAGCGAAGAAGCGGACTAAGGCCACTTAACCGTGTTTGATCAAAGGGCCCCATTTCTTTCTCCTTCCGCTCCATTCGGAGGCCCGCACTTCTTGAGAGACACCTCAGTCTCAACGGTTCCACTATTTAGGACTTATATAAATAATAATTGGTCTCCTCGGTAATTTTTCCCCTTTGTCTTTCCCAAAAAAATAGGAGAGAGATAGAGGGACCATTGTCAGGAACAAAACAAGCCCTTAGATATAAAGGACAAATCATCAAGCAGCCCTGGAGAACCCTCGTGTTCCCCCCCCACTGACTAAGCATAGTTCCGCTTTCTCGATTATCACATGCTTCTGTCGTCACATCCCGTCTCAACAGTTTTCGCTCTCTCAACACCCTTGTAAAGTGGTAAAACATGGATCAAGGCCTTTCAACAGGGGCCCATCAAGATATTGATGGGCTACGTGAGAGAAATTTACGCGCCGATTCAACAGTCGGTCGCGAGGCTTTAACAGCCGCTGCGGAGGTGGAGATCAAAGATGGCAAAAAGCAGAAGACATTTGGAAGAACTCCCGATGGAACAGGTAAGCTTATTATGTGTTAATTATGTTTTCAATTGAATGTCTTGACTGGATGCTCCAAACCCTCTATCTTCATGTATTGGTGAGAGCCCGCTGCTAACCGGGGACCTATTTTCAGTGTTTACGGTCCCTCAGACTCATGACATGGTCTCTCAGCTGCTTTCGCCGTCTGAACCAAAGAATTTTGGTGACCTTGTCGTGTTGATTCTCTTGGCGGGTCATATTCTGTTTCTCTGGGCATTGCCCGCGGGCGCCAAAATCCCGGTCTTTGCAGCCACTTACCTCTTCTGGCGCTTGGCTTACAATGCAGGAATTGGATGGCTGCTTCACAATCAGTCGCACCACAAGACATTGATTAGATGGGCAGAGAAGACTAAGGTCTTTGTCAACCCAGCCACTGGGGGAAACCCACACCCCAACTTGTATAATTGGATCAAACGGGAATTGGAGACCAAGATTCCGCAAGATTACTCCTTCGACAATGCTCCAATTGAATACAACACCTGGCTTGTCTTTAGACGTCTTGTGGACTTGATCCTCATGTGTGACTTCACTTCCTACTGCCTTTTCGCGATAGCTTGTGGCCATCAACCTGTTGACGAGAGTATTTTCATGACTGTTCTCCGGTGGTCCGCAGGTATCGTGTTAGTGCTGTTTAACCTTTGGGTTAAATTAGATGCGCATCGAGTGGTCAAGGACTATGCTTGGTACTGGGGTGACTTCTTTTACCTCATTGATCAAGAGTTGACTTTCGATGGCGTGTTTGAAATGGCACCTCACCCAATGTACTCGGTTGGTTATGCCGGCTACTACGGAATCTCTCTGATGGCAGCCAGCTATAAGGTGTTGCTCATCTCGATCATTGCCCATGCAGCACAATTCATTTTCCTCGTTCTGGTGGAGAATCCGCACATCGACAAAACTTATAACCCGCCACCACCCAGAAAGCGCTCTTCTACCTGTGCGGATTCTTCTTCCAGCTTGCCCACCGATCTAGACACCCCGACAGCGCCAACTCCGTCTGAAGATCAGACTCCCAACGCGACAACTTCGTATTCGGCCAAGCCGCCCCAGTCCGTCCGCAACCTCTTGGGGCTGCACAACCTGGATTTGTATAGAACCACTGATTCATCGATCATGCTGGTTCAACTTCTTGTATTTTCTATCACAGCTTTGACACCCTCTACACCAGGGTACCAATTGCTGTTTGTGGTCCTCGCTGCCATTTCCAGAATCTGGTATTCCGTAGGCATTGGGTATATCCTTCGGAACCAATCCAACACCAAGTCTTGGACAAGGCACTTCGTCAAGTATGGTGACACACCGCAGGAAGCGTGGAACCAATGGAAGGGCACTTATCATCTCAGCATGGTCTTGTGTTACTCTAGCTTTATTGCTGCCGTGTGGAAGATGTACACATTCCCAGCCGATTGGGGCTATGGTCTGGTTCTGTTCCGACACGTGCTTGGAGCTGGCCTGATCAGTCTGCAAATTTGGACCTCGGTCAGCATCTACGAGTCTCTCGGTGAATTTGGCTGGTTCTACGGTGACTTCTTCTTTGAGGAGTCTCTAAAGCTCACCTACAACGGTATTTACCGCTTCCTCAACAACCCAGAACGCGTTCTAGGTCTCGCAGGCGTGTGGGGTGCTGTTCTCATCACCAGTAGCGGAGCCGTCACTTTCCTCGCCTTGCTGAGCCACATCCTCAGCCTGGCTTTCATTCAATTCGTTGAACGTCCTCACATGCAGAAGCTGTACGGTCGTAGCCTTCGCCAGGATGCGGGTCTTGTTAAGAGCCTGAAGCGGTCCCTCCCACCCTCTCTCAAGCAATTGCACGGAAGCGTTGACAAGATGTTCGATGACTCCTTCGAATTCATTGAGGAGATGCTCGACAACGCCCGACCCAAACTCGCCGCGGGAGTCAACACATTTGTTAAAGATACCACTGCTCTCTTCCAGAAATACCCTGCTCGCGTTACCATCTCTCGAATTGATGCGGACCTGGCTGGATTCGACGCTCGCGATTATTCTCTGTCGGTTGAAGGTACCAGTCCTCTGTCCTTCGAGGAGAGCGAAAAGAACAAGGGCCGTGAAGGTGCAAACGCACGCATGCCCCTGGACCGCCGTGGTGACCTCAAGGACCTGACGTTTGAATACGGCTCCCCGATCAAGGTCAAATGGACTGCCCCGCTCCACCACAGCAAGAAGGATTGGATTGGCCTTTACCGGGTCACGGACAACACTTCGCGAGAGGTCACTCGTGTGTCATCGCAAGGCCGCTGGGTCGCAACCAACGAAGGCGCATACGACAACTTGACCTGTGAAAAGGGTATCCTCACTAGCGATGTTGTTATCCAGTCGTCCGATCGTCACAATCCTTGCGAATACGCCTCTGGCGAGATCCTTCTTTCTGGCGATAAGCTCTTCTGGACCCAGGGTGTCTTCGAACTCCGCTACCACCACAATGGCATGCACAATGTCATGGCTATCTCGAGGCCATTTGAGATTCGCATTCGCCGGTCAGACGAGGATGAAACTATCGCTGACGGCGGTTGTCTCATGGAATCGGCTGTTGAGAATGCCTTGTTGCCCGTCGTTCGTAACTGCTTCGATCGTGATCCTGAAATCGCTCCGGAGACGGTGGATGAGCAGTTCGGTACCCTCGTGGAACGGGATGGCAAGTTTGCCAAACGTGTGGTCTTTGCTGTCCATCAGATGTGAGTTCCCTCTTTCGACGATCCTTTCAATCCTGTATCACATTCTGACCCTTTCCTCGCAGGTTCGGTATCGAGTTAGCACCTGCTGTTGTCAAAGCCGACGGCAATGTGCGGAACCTGGCTTGGAGAATCTGCAATGCCAAGAAAGTTCTCGTAAGTATCAAACTATCGGCTGAAATGTGGTTAGACCAATGCTAACTCGTGATACAGGCTCCCTACAGCATGTCAAGATCCAATGGAACGACGACACCACTCGAGGAGACCAAATAATTCCTCGAGGCAGATTCCCAATTGTCCAATCCAGCCATATATTTATGGCCGAAGACGACTTGGGTTGAACGACAAGGGTCAATCCCAAGTGGATTTCCAGACGATTGATGCTTTACCGCAAGAAAAAAAACAAACAAAATCCCAAAAAAAGAAAGATGTCATAATTAAGAAAATCATGAATGAGGAGTTATCCTGTTTTGTTTTCCTGGTCTTGCATGTCGAGGTTCAAGGTAATGATTCCCATGTTTTGTTTAGATTTTCAGGGGCTAGGTGGCAGTGGTGATTTTCATGTGTCTTGCCTTTTGGGGACGTTCTATGAGTCTACTATTTTCTTCTCTATTTCATCGTACATAGCTTTAAGAGAAATCTATTGCTTTGCTTGTGACTTTTTGCAATGGGAATTGAGGTGGAAAACTACTCCCAATTCCGTAGCATGGGTAGAAGTGTCTATCCTCCATTGGGGCTGGTATAATAGCTCTAGAGGACTGTCGAGTACTTACAACGCAAGGTCCAACAAAGAAACTTCAACCACCTAATCAGCTCCAACACACATCGGAAGATACACCCGGGTATTGGCGTCGATTCAGTTTCACCAGGAACATGAACTTAACTACTTCGCCCCCATGGATGAACACTCAAACTTACTCGATTACAAAGTTCTTTCGTGATGCAAATGTGTGCTATTATGCAGATGTATTAAGCTATATACCATGATATCTTAAAGTGTAGACCTAGGTAAAGCTTTGAATGCTGTCAGCAAAAGTCCAATAGAACCAAAGGAGCAAAACAAGCATGCATAGCTTCACGATTGCAAGCAAAAGTAGAAGCATATATAGTATTCAGTCAAGCCGTGTTAATTCATCCCATCCCCTGCTGGCCCCTCGCACCGGACTGTCACCCAAGACGGATAAGCAGCCCAGCATTAGGAAACCAACACAAGCCAAGTATAGCAGTACCATGCCGCGGACAAGACAACAATGCAAGGAACGTACTCAGACGACGACGAGCCCAAAGCTTCCAGACTCCACAACCTTCCTCCCGTTCACGCCCGAAGGCACAAATGGTCCAGTATAAGGGAGATGGAAAACAATGGATCGACACCTGTATTCCTCACAATGATGTACGGCTTGGGTGCAACCTGAGGGGCGGTCCCCAAAAGAGGTCATTGAATGGATAGACTGGTTGTCATCATAATAACTAGGGGGTGGCATGCAGTAGAGGAAAGACAATGATGTACCTTTTGGATAGATGAATGTAAACAGAGCATCAATGATGTGGATTACAGCTAGATCTTTTTCAATTGTCAGCACTCTTGTCACTGACAGTATGGGTGATAGACAAATGATAATGACTCAAGAAGGATCAGGAGTTTTTGGTAAGGTATTTTGTTATCTTCAAAAATTTTGCAGAAGCAGAACTGAAAATGTTTTCTCATCATAATGAGTGCAGGTGGGAAAGGTGGAAGAAAAGTGTTGTCTTACCATAATTAGTTGGAGATTTTCATCGAGATCCCTGTACCTCAAAACAAGAGGGGTTTTGTTTCTGTCTTTGAGCAATTGTTAGTCCCTGATGCATAGCAGTGGAGTATTGAAAAACAATGGCAGATTTGGTGTCATAATCAGATGGTGATGCATGTTTGTTCATGGCCCATTTTTTGTCGCCAAACAGGAGTTGGAACTCTCTCAATCATGTAGACAGGGTAGAAGGGATTGGACGGTACTCACGTTTAGCATGTTAGTGACAGGAAAAATATTAAATAACAACAAGAGTCAACTCCATCGACATTAGAAGGAGTTTCCTCTGTTTTCTCTGTTAGGAGAGTGTGTGTGAAGAAGAGGGAGAAAAGAGAAGAACAAAAATTTTGAAGAAAAGTCGCCAAAAAGCCAAACGGCGCTAGGCGGTGGGGCCTACAAACAATGCAAACTCCCAAGATTTCCGTTTCTGGGACTTGCAACGATTGCGATCTTTCGACAGCTTCAGTATTGCGCCAAATTACCTAAAATGGCTGATAGAAGACGTATCAATGGCCCACCTGGTGGCACAAGACCTCCAGTCTTCGCATCTCTCCAAGAATCCTCAACAGGCGTTGCAAACCGCGCCCAGCGCCAGCGCCAACCCACCGAACTACGGAAAATCTGTATGAATCGCCGACAAGCTTCTTGTTGATCGCAGCTAACCCTCAATGCTATAGTTCTCAAAACAGGATTGATTCCAACTGCCTCAGGCTCTTCATACCTTGAATTTGAACCATCTGCTTCCCTCGCCGCCGCCCGTTCCAACCCCAAATCTCTGATCCCGCCTTCCTCAGCACTCAAGTTGGCTTGCACAGTCCATGGACCAAAGCCACTCCCCCGCTCTGCTGCATTCTCACCAAACCTCGTTCTCACCACTCATGTCAAGTACGCACCATTTGCCGCCCGCAAGCGGAAGGGACACATACGTGATGCCAGTGAGCGTGACCTTGGCGTACATTTAGAGACCGCCCTCCGTGGCGCAATCATTGCTGAGCGCTGGCCTAAGAGTGGCTTGGATATCACTCTTACAATCATTGAAGCAGAGGATGACCGTTGGTGGGGGGATGCTCCCGACTCGCATGATGCGTCGTGGGGAATGATGAACGTTCTCGCCGGTTGTATCACAGCGGCTTCGGCTGCCATTGCCGATGCCCACATTGACTGTCTTGACCTTGTGTCTGGTGGTGTTGCTGCTCTAGTCTCGGATGACTCCAATCAGTCGGCGTCATCTGCCCCACGACTCATGCTCGACATTGATCCAGCGGAACATCGGTCGATTCTGTCAGCTTGTGTGGTGGCATACATGCCTGCGCGTGATGAGATTACTGAGCTCTGGCTCAAGGGTGATAGCTCAAGGGCTGCTCTTGAAAAGGACGATGGGCGTACAGGTCATGAAGCTTTAATTGACGGAGCTGTTGATGCGGCTCGTGGGGCTAATACTGTCTTGGCTGAGGATGTGAGAGAATCTATCGCCAGGTCTTTTGCTTAAGTCTAAGATAGTCACACATAACGAATGAATGAAGTTTACAGGCTCTATCATTGATGTAGCAATATGCTAGTTTGTTTGATGTTCCTGTTTAATCAATTTGAACATGTGTCACAGGATATAGTGCCACTAGAAAGCAAGATGCACATAGCCACTTTTGGTCAGACCAACACCTCTCCTATGGTGATCCACATTGTTTGTGACTCGTCTATTATCGTAATGGACGTCGACTAGCACATACTATGGCACACGCTCGGACCTGAATACTAATATTCGCCGTCCTAATTTCATATGTACTATTTCTTTTCATGTGATAAGGCAAAATATTATTATGATGCTACGAGTAGTTTTTAATATCCATCTATATTGTAGTCATACGACATGCCATACTAGTAACCAGGCCCACTTCCGACTCCGTATGGAACAGTTTGGGGCAAGATATCAGTTTCATAGTCTGCAAACAGTTGGCCTAAGCTTTGAAACTTTTTACTTTATATGTCAATGTTATATCTTTTCTTCTTTTTCTTATAAGAAGGATACACAATACAGTTCCTTGGAATAATATAAGAGAGGAACGGAGTAGCTCCATAGATTGTCCATAATACGTACGCAATTTTATGTTCTAAAAAAAACCGGTAAAAAAAAGGGGGATAGGGCTAAGCGTTAGGCGGGTACGGAGTAAACGCTCCGTCAACACTTCCCCTAAAGTTATGACGATCTTTGTAGACCCATCCGAATCGAGAAAATGGTATCGGAGTCGATCGATCGTATATCAGATCTAAGAAGTTTGTGTACAATAAACAACATATCTACAACATACACATACCTTGTTCGAGTACGGACGCAACAAAGAATTTTAAAGTCGAGAACTCCACCTGCAGGGTTTTCACAAAGAACGTGAAAGATCGACTTGTAGACTAGTGTTTCAATTTGCCCCTGAGAGAGAAGGCTATGTATCTGCCGAGTATGGAGTACGAAGTACGTACTCTGTAGTACGAGGTACTACAACATACATACAATATATGACATTGCGGAAATCCAAGATCCAGTCTATATTAATCTAAATTTGCTTTTTCTTTAAGACTTCAGATTACCCCTCTACTCCATTGACTACGGAGTATAACAGTTGAATTACCAAAGACCAAAAATGGTGTTGGGTTCATATGCTCCCGCTAAGCAGACGGCTCACGGTCGATCACTTCGTCACACCAATGACCGGCTTGTGCGGAAATTGGAAGCTCCATCGTATGCCACAGTTCAAGCCCCGAATCCACTATCGTCATCTCCTGTTCGACATAATTAGACATTCGAGTCCCACAATGAATCACTGATTGGCGCACGATCGACTAGGTAATCACAAGAGCAGATTCTCGCCCATCGATGGATCCTGTCAAAAAAACCGCACGTGTGGATCACAACCTAAGATGGGGCAGCTCTTGAGCTCTCAGCCTATGATCAGCCTGGACGTTTTATGAAAAGAAAAAAGTCCAGTCCATATTCACATGGAGCTATCGATCAAGGCATCAACGTTGGGCAAAAAAGGAAAACTATTCCTAAATGGATGAAGTCGGAGTACTCGAGACTCGAAAAAGGAGAGAAAAGCGGCAAGTGCCGTCAAATATCAAACAAAGAGAAAGGCATATTCTTAAACTTTTAGCGTTGGATCTTGGAGAAGACCCCCCCCCTGATTCACAAGGTTAGATCGACACTCTGTTTTTGACCTCGTGATACTTTCGGGGTTCTTCTCGTCTTTCCTATTGACACCTGAACTTGTCTTTCCTCGAGCTTGCCATGACATTAATTTCGATTCTTCATGACCGCTGGTCTTGCTTTCTCAATTAGCTTGATATTCTGTTTTATTTCCTTTACTGTTGCCCTTCTTCAATTGCGCGTTTTGCGCTTGATATCTTCACTTCAAAATGGTTGCATTGAAGAAACTATTCCAGACCGACAAGTCTATCTCTCGTCCAGCAACCAGTCTTGGACTCGAGGGTTGTGGCATAGAACCCTATTTTCATACGGTTGACTCGCCTACACGAAGTCATTATGAGGGGTTCCCGTCCAGAAATTCGCAGACTCTAGATGTGGATCATCATTTTGATCAGATTGAGAAGCAATTCGAAGATCTACATGATCGACTGGCACGGTCGACATCTTCTCAATCCCAATTACGGCCTCTTACTACTCATTTTGCACCTTCCAAACCTCAAAATGGCCGGCATATCGACTTGATGGATGCTCTGTTCTCTACGGAAGGCAATCAGACAATCACCCCAGAACCTCTTTCTCCTCCTCTCAGCCTATACAATGAAGACGTTGCGGAACGAAACATGACCCGGTTTCTACGGATCCAATACCGGAATGGACTCGCCAGCTCGGGTCTACTTTCCGCTCTATACCAAGAGGATGTGGCTGATAGAAATATTGCGAAATATAGCAGCCCTGGTCGCTCTTTGTCTCACTTAAGTTCTCGGTCATCGCCAGCTGCGCCTGGCAGAGTACGGATCCCAGAAGGCCAACGGCGCAAAGCCAGGAAGCGGGATCCAGGGAAGCCTACTTGGGCCTCGGCCGAAAATCTACGGACAAAGCTCTCTCCAGATGATGGCTCGGGCACTTCATCTCCACGATCTCAGTCCCATATTGGCAACTATCTTAAAATTCAGAGATCTTCGCCGAGCCTCTCTGCAGACGAAGACTTTGTCCCACAGGAAGATGCACCTCCATCTCCTGTTCAGCGCTTGGGGGTCCCTCCTGCACATAAACAGGGCAAAAGGTGGAGCAACACTCCTTTGCCTGATAGCCCTACAATTCCTACGCCCATGGGTAGTGACAACACCACCGAGGCTTCTTCGGTACCACGACCACCTGCTATAATAGCGCGCCGGACACAAGGTTCGCTCCCTCCACCACAGCTATCAGAGCCAGTCTCCAAAAAGAATGCGCGAGGACTCTCGATCAATACACAATTAGCTGCAAAAGGACGCCCTAAAATTGGGCATCGTGCCATCCAGCCGCCAACGCCGTCAACCTGCGATCTAAAACAGGCTCCCAGCATCGCAGAAGTAATGAACAGTCCTCTACCAGTTCCCAGCCCAATCAGCCCCCCAAGATCATCCTCACGCTTCAAAGCCTCGGACATGATGGACTTTTTCAGCAAGGCTTATAAGGCCGCCCAAGGCTCCCAGCCAACCCACGAGACACTACAGGACACTATAGTCCGCGAGGTCAATTCCCACGAGGCATTCCGTCGAGTCCCAGTCCCAGCCCCAGGGCCTCCATTCACACCCTCGCCAGAGCAAGACGAGTTCAGCAACAGTTCCAGACCAGCAACCGCACTCCACCGAAGCATCTCAGCGAAGAACCGTCTCATGAGCAGAAACTCGTTCAAACACAAGAGAGCCCCCGAAACCCGCCGTAGCATCTCAACCAGCGTCGGCTACGACCGCCTCCTCCGAAGAGTCTCTGGCTCCCACGCTCCCCGTCGACACACCGACGCCCCAGCCCCCACCCCAGAATTCTTAGCCGAATTCCAACATGACAAGGAGCCCATAATCACCCGCCCTGGATCGGGAGAGCCAATCACGTACATGGACGTGCTGAACGCAAGCAGCGAACAGCGACCTATCTCAACCGGCGGCTGCACAAGCCCCTCCGTATCTCGCCAACGAGGACGCTCGGAATCCATTGGTAACCTCGCCGCCATGCCCTGCTCAACTCCCGATGTGCCATTTGCACCCGGGACAGTCTACTGCATGCAAGCTCACTCAGCTCCTTCGAGTGATGCCTCAAATGACGATAGCGACGATGATATCATTCATCTCCCCAACCTGAGTGCGCCGCCGCGTGTGCAGATCGAAGGCGTCGATGAGAATAACATCCGCTATGTCATTGATGCTGCTTCCGCGGATGAGGCGCAGAAACTCATGTACTGGCCTCAGCAGATCCGTCGCGGTGGTGCCTCTAATCCTTACGGGAATAGTCTGTCGCCGCTGTCTCGTGCTCGTATGCAGCTTCGTGGTTCGCGCTCCGTTGAAACTTACTAGTGTGGTGGAATCAACATTCTGGAACTTTTCACCTAGGCGGGGATGTTTCTATTTTGACGCATGATAACGATGCTCTCATGACTTTCTCCCTCTCCCTCCCTCCCTCTCCCTCCCTCCACCTCTCTCTACTCCTCTCTCCATCTCTCTCGCCTTCCTGCTTTCTCTAAAAAAGCCATTCAATCCTTTCCAACCTTTTTTTTTTTAGCTCTGCCGAATTAACCTTCGAAATGGCGCCGACCAATCCTTCTCTTATCACACTCATACACCTCACACTTGTACATCTTATATCCATATATCCCGTCTCTATTAACCCTAGTCTATCTCTCACCTTTTTCTTTTTCTCTCGTCTTGTTTCGGACCCAGCCAAACTCCAATTGTCCTCTTATCTTGTCTTAAATACCGTGATTGCATGATCTGGCCAGAGTTCCTATCATGTCAACATTGCTGTCATTATTATTACCAATGTATATTAAACCTCTGCAGCGATTACTCTTATGTTTACATAGTATCAATACTCCATTATTCGCTTTGCGTATAATTGTCTCTTGTCCTCATGAATTGAGTATTGCTTGCAAATCTCAACTTATCTCCTAGTTCTGTAGGTACTTCTATCGATCACATTTCCACTACATTATTCTTTTGTTAGCTTCCTGTTTCTCATTAAATAAGGGCTTAGCCTCCGGAGCTGATATGTTATGCTATTCATGTGCTATTTATCAATAGCTTGATACTAGTTTACGGAATGGGGGATATTAAGAAGCCACACGGACAGAAAAAAAGAAACGAAATCTTAGAAAAGCAATAATGACATGTCTCATTTTCATAATATCATTGCCACTACCTACCATTTCTCCTTAACTCCATAATGACACATCAACACATTGAAGGGACGCCTTGGAACCCGCAGAAGATAATGCCATATAGTTTGACGCTTCAACTTTGGCTATGCACGATAGAGTATTGCAAAATACAATGCCTTAGTACTCGGTGGTAGCGACTACTGTTGCTTCGGACTGATGGTAGTTTTGGCGGCAGCAGATGAAAGACCTGATAAGGATGCAATGCAATAGCTTAATAAGAGCCTATATTGAGATAGTTAGTGTTTTGTCATGATAGAAGGGGAAATATCAGGGAATTGGAAAACTTACGGCCAAACATGCACCACTTCTCAGCAACACGCTGGCACTTGGGGTTGCAGCAGGGGGTGACACCCTTCTCAATACCCTCGGGCTGCTCGAAAGGAATGCACAGAGACTTAGCGCCCATGCTGGGGGCCTTGGCATCCTCAGCCTCGCCGGAGTCTTCCTCGGCCTTGCGGGCACTCATATCCTTGATCTGGTCCTCGCACTCCTCGGTCAAGCAGTGGGGGATAACACAGATGTTCTTGTTGTTCAGAGCGGGAACGAAGTCATCCCAGTTAGTGATCTGGATGCGGTGAGCCTTGAACTGGGCGTCGGCGCGGTTGTACAGGTCAGACTGGATGGTCTCGAGGAGAGCAGGAACGCCAGTAGCGAGCTCAGCGATCGGGATGCTGCCCTTGCCGTCCTTGCCGGGGATATCACGGCGGGCAGTGGTAACGAAGTGACCGGCGGACTCGCCAGGACCGAACTCAATGCGGAGAGGAACACCACGGAGCTCGTACTGGTTGAACTTCCAGCCGGGGGAGTAGCTGCTCTTGTCGCTGTCGGCACGGACGCCGGCAGCAACGAGAACGGCGACGAGACCGTCGACCTCGGCATTGAGCTTCTCGCGCTCCTCTTCGGTGGTCTTGGCGGTGAGACCGACGGGGACAATGATAACCTGGACCTCAGCCACACGAGGAGGCAGAACCAGACCCTTGTTGTCACTGTGGATCATGACCATGACACCGAGTGAACGGGTGGACAGACCCCAGGAGTTCTGCCAGACGTGCAGAGGAGGCTTCTTCTCATCGGCAGTGGCGGTAGGATCCTCAACGGTGATACCGAACATCTTACTAAAGTTCTGGCCCAGTCCGTGGGATGTACCACCCTGGATACCACGGCCAGTGGCGGGGATGTAGCCTTCGACGGTGGTAGTGTAGTTACCGCCAGCGAACTTCTCCTTCTCGGTCTTCTGGCCCTTAACGACAGGAACGGCGAGAAGCTCCTGGTAAATCTTGGCATAGTAGTCAAGGATGCTTAGGACTTCCTCGCGAGCAGCACCTTCAGTCAGGTGAGCGGTGTGACCTCTGCGCATTGTTAGTATGTCATTCTAATAAGAAAACAGTACCTAAAACATACTCTTGCCAAAGGAACTCTCGTGACCGGAGTAGGGGTTGAGGGTGCTTGAATTCCCATCTCACTGTTTCTGTTAGCGACATTTCGAGGATAGGATATAGAGTAAAAATAGGAACCGCACCGACTGAGTTCCACTGATTGAGACGAAGGGGGAGGTCACGGTGACTGCGAATCCACTTAGCGTAGTAAGGGTACATGACAGTCTCCGAAGTAGGGCGAATGGCGATCTTCTTCTCGAGAGGAGTTGAGCCACTAGAGATACATATCAGTATAGTTCAATTGAGGGATAGTATGGCTAAGGGACGACATACGCATGGGTAACCCAGGCGACTTCAGCGGCAAAGCCCTCGATGTGGTCCTTCTCGCGCTGCAGGACATCCTCAGACACGAACAGAGGGAAAGAGCAGTTCTTGACACCCATTCCCTTGATGGCTTTGTTGAAGTATTCCTGGATCTCCTCCCAGATGAAGAACAACGCAGGCTTGAGGATGAAGCAACCGGAGACATCATAGTAGTCCAGCAAATCACCCTTGGTAAGAACCTGCTGGTACCAACCGGAGAAGTCCTCTTCCTTTGAAACATCAATACCGATCAAAGCGGCACCATCAACCTTCTTCTTGGAAGCTTTCTTGGCCTCTGGTTTGCCGATACCCTTCTCTCCCTTGTTTGAGGCCTTCTTATCAGCCTTGTCGGCCTTCATCTTCGCGATCTTCGCGGCCTTCTTGGCGGCATTCTTTGACTCCTTCTCCTCGGCGGGGGGGTTTTGAGTGCGGTCAGGCAAGGTCTGGGGGGCAGCGCCTTCGAAGGCGGGCGCCTCGTTGGGGTTCTGGCTAGCCATGTTAATGAAGCGATTGTCCGACTAGCGATGAAAAGGTAACCCGAATCGAACGTAGGATTGCAAGCAAGCGAAATCGGGGTATGACTCCCCTCCGTAAAGTGGGATGCGATATCGAAAATTACTAGCACACCGCCTCGGCAGAACTTTTAGTGCCCACAGCAACCCCCCCGAAGCCAGACAGCTCTGCCATCGCACTCCAATAGCTCATATTACATCGTCTGTTTTAAATATGGCAGGCATTTTTGAGGCACCGCGGAATGCGGACACACTTTGTGGGTTTTATCTGATCGATCATTGTTCTTCGTTGCAATAAACTGACCAATCTCGCACAGTCTTGGGTGGGCAGAAAATCACCGGTGGTGATGTCCGTGAGCAGAATGGTATGTTGAAATATTGATGATTTTGTTGTTGTTAGGGGTTCAAAGCTGATTTCTTGCAGTTCTGGCAACACAGGCGATCGCCAATGTCATCAAATCATCCTTCGGTCCGTCCGGTCTGGACAAGATGATGGTGGACGACATAGGGGTATGGAAAGATAAGCCCCGTAGAGCTTGGCTGCAGCTTCTAACATCTGACAGGATGTTACCGTGACGAACGATGGCGCTACTATTCTATCTCTTCTTGATATTGAGCACCCTGCGGGCAAGATCCTCGTTGATCTGGCCCAACAACAGGACAAGGAGGTACCGGCCTCAGCAACACGCATCTTAGACACACACGCTGATAATATCATTTTCAATAGGTCGGAGATGGTACTACCTCTGTTGTTCTGATCGCCGCTGAGCTTCTCCGGAGAGGCAACGAGTTGATGAAGAACCGTATACACCCTACCACGATCATCAACGGATACCGAATTGCCCTACGCGAAGCCGTCAAGTATATGAATGAAAATGTTACGACTAAGGTGGATAATATCGGAAAGGAGAGCTTGGTCAACATTGCGAAGACTTCCATGTCCAGCAAGATCATCGGTTCCGATTCTGATTTCTTTGCGAACATGTGTGTGGACGCAATGCTGCAGGTGAAATCTGTGAATCAGAGAGGCGAGACCAAATACCCAGTCAAGGCCGTGAACCTCCTTAAGGCCCACGGAAAGAGTGGCAATGAATCCGTACTTGTGGACGGTTACGCACTGAACTGCACTGTTGCTTCCCAGGCTATGACAACCCACGTGTCCGACGCCAAGATTGCCATTCTTGACATGAACTTGCAGAAGGAGCGTATGAAGCTTGGTGTTCAGATCACAGTGGAAGACCCCGATCAATTGGAGAAGATCCGTCAGCGCGAGTCTGGCATTGTTATGGAGCGTGTTGATATGATCCTGAAGTCTGGTGCTAATGTTGTCCTCACAACCAAGGGTATTGACGATATGGTTCTCAAGCTTTTCATTGAGAAGGGAGCCATGGCAGTCCGTCGCTGCAAGAAGGAGGACCTGCGCCGCATTGCTAGAGCCACCGGTGCTACCATGATCAGCACCCTCTCTGACCTCAACGGAGATGAGAAGTTCGACGCATCCAACCTTGGACACGCAGAGTCTGTTTCGCAAGAGCGTATCTCGGACGACGAGTGCATCCTGATCAAGGGTACCAAGATTCACACCGCGGCTTCAATTATTCTCCGTGGTGCAAACGAGTACAGCTTGGACGAGATGGAGCGCTCTGTTCACGACACGCTCTGTGCCATCAAGCGCACTTTGGAGAGTGGAAGCATTGTTCCCGGCGGTGGCGCCGTGGAAACCGCACTTCACATCTACCTCGAGGAATTCGCAGTCACAGTGGTAAGTAGTATTGTTCGCTGTTCCTTTCTTCTCTATGTCAGTCTCTAACAGTTATAAAGGGCTCCCGTGAGCAACTGGCCATTGGCGAGTTCGCACAGTCTCTCCTTGTGATTCCCCAGACTCTCGCAGTCAACGCAGCGAAGGATTCATCTGAGCTCGTTGCTCAGCTCCGTGTCCGCCACGCCCTGTCACAGCGTGTGCAGGACGGTGATGCTAACGAGGAGGAGAAGGCCATCGCCAAGAAGAAGACCTACCGCAACTACGGTTTGGATCTGACAAAGGGACGGGTTCACGACAGCCTGAAGGCCGGTGTGCTCGAGCCTAGCATGAGCAAGATCAAGCAGCTCAAGAGTGCTGTGGAGGCTTGCATATCCATCATGCGCATTGACACAATCATCAAGTTGGACCCCGAGCAGCCGCAGGATGACGGCCACGGCCACTAAGCTGAGCTCATTCTGACTATCCCAATCTCCAAAAAAAGGCAGTAATATGATGTGACATAGATGATCAGCAGTAGTAAATTCTTATTATGCTGCGACTGCATATGAATCAATTTCACTCCAAGTAGATACATGAAAACCGTAGCCCTAAAAAGCCCATTCTAGTAGCTCTCTATATCTCTCACCCCCGTTTGGCAGCCATCAACTTCCGGTATTCCTCAACAATATTCCTCCGCTCACCTGCCAACTCCTCACGGCGTCTCAAACTTCCAACCGAAGCAGGCACATTGGCAACATCAACCTTAGCTCCACCGCGCACCTTAAAGATCTCCCGGGGTTTAACCAACTGAGGCGGCGCCTTCGCAATCTCAAATGGATTCTTCTTCCGCTCCTCGTCGCGCTTCTTAAGCTTCGCCCAAGGATCAGGATCATCGTCTCCGCTATCATCATTCCCATTAGCACCCTTCTTCTTGTTTTTCTTCGCCTTCTTCTTTCCTCCAGCAGCCTCAATCTCCCACTCCTTCCACTGCCGCAACTCATCCTCCATCGCATCCTCCCGCTCTTCCCGCTCCTCCTGCTCTCTCTCCCGGATCTTAGCCTCCTCCTCACGCCACCCCTTCTGCAGTCGCAGCAGATGCTTCTCGTGCTTCGTTTTCTTGTGCTGCTCCTTGTTCTTGGCGTCGCCCGTCTTAACAGACTTGGTCATCTGCGACAATGGCATTTCGCGATCAACGCGAGCCACAAACTCAGACAATCGCTCGCCAGGCATGATCTTAGGCATTTCGGCCTTCTCCTTAGCCTCCTTAGCGGCGGCTTTGTTTTTTTGCGTTTCCGCTGCCTGCGCGGACTTCTTTGACGACGTTGCGTCGTCTGTGGCATTGCGCTTGCGCTTCCGCTCGCCCGTCTCTAGTCCTGATGGGGCCCGGCGACCTGTTTGCTGGTATTGCATTAGGCGGCGGAAGGCTTTCGGGGTGTCATCTTCGGTGACATTCTTGAGGCGGTGGGTGGGGGCTTTGTTGGCGCTCGAGTTTTGGTCTTTCTTGTTGACGATTTTTTTGCCGTTCTTGCCTAGCTTGGGCTTGACTAAATCGCGGACTGGAAGTGCTCTTGCGATCTCTGTAGGTGGGAGATTGAAGTGCCTGACGTGGGGGTAATCGTTAGTTTTGGGGTTTGAATGGACTTTGTAGATTTATAGTACTCACTCTGCATCGGCTTCGCCACGTCTCTTGTGTTTGTGAGGCATTTCGGGTGGTTTTGTAGTGGAAGATTGGATGATTGGAGTTACCAGTGGAACTTTTTTCATCGAGGTTGGCCTTATCTCTTATCGCTCTCTATATGGGGACAACCTCAATGTACACCCGGGACGACATTTCTATTTCGCATTCTTAAAGAATATTAGCCAATTGACACATATTTGAGGAAGATGTATTACAGTTATTAGATTCCCAATGAATGGGTGACATGTTCATTTTAGTCAAATAATACAAATAAGCCCGAAATAAACAGAATGCTACGCTAATCAATATGCCCTTCAAACGCCAGTAAAATGCCCACAGGCAAGAATAGAAACATCCAGACACCACAGGAAATGCAAAACAATAAAAAAGCATAAGGGACACCGGGGAATCATTCATCTTCGTCGTCAATGGAGTCTTTCATATCAGCCCAGCCACACATCCAGCGTTTACCCTCAGTTTCACCACCGTTTCGAAGCTCACGAGCCTCGGGTCCCTCACGCCAGCATCGAGCGCTATAGTCGTCACTCACAGTAATGAGGTCGCCAGATGGGGTCCAGGACAGACCCGTGACCTCTTTCTGGTGACCTTCGATTAGAGGAGTTCCTGATTGGTGGATTGGGACTGTATCTTCGAGACGGCCAGACAAGCCGATTCCAGAGTTGGTACGACTAATTCCTGGACGGGCAGTGAAAAGCGAAGTCCTGCTAGGCAGAGATTCGGCTTGTGTTTTCACGGGAGAATTGAGGTACCGTTCATCAGTAGGGAAAAGAATGGGGCAGTGATCGCTGCTCCCAGTAGCCAGCATCTCTGGATGATCCTGGGTTGCTTTGCGCACAGCTAGTTTCACATAGAATGAGGAAATCTGGAGACGAGGGTGACGGAAGCCATAGAGAGGCCCAAGACCGTCCTTGTCGGAGCCTCCAGTCCTCCGTGGACGGTTGTTGTTGAGTGAAAGTTCAGGCGCATGGCCGAGAATTAAGTGTGATGTCGAGTACGCGTAAACGGTGTTGTCTCGGCAAAGTGTGTACAAGCGTGAGCCATCTCCTCCAAACGCCATGGAAGTCAGGCCAAAGCGTCGATACTTCACATGGCTTTCTGGCTCTTGTGTCGTAGATAGAGGAATGACGGGCCGACCACGACGATTGTTATGTGCTGTTCGCATGTCCCAAAGTCTGACACTTGCGCTAGCCTCAGAGGCCGTAACAAAGAGATTTTCGCGGCCAGGCGAGAGAAAAGCGAGGGAGGTAACAGTGATGTCGGTCCGGCCAAATGGTGGTGCATCATTTTTGTCCATGGTCGGTTTATGAGAGGTTGTATATGCATGGGCACCTTCAATAGTATTCAGAACGTGTGGGTATAACATCTTTGGAGGTGCAATGGCCGTGGCGTTTTCGGTTTCGGATTCCAGGGAGCATTGGACTTGCAACGCAGGTCGTTCAAACCCTTTGCAGCGGAGGTCCCAAATATTGACATTTCCATCCCGGCTGCACGTGGCAAGAACTTTATTATTAGATGCCGGTTGGAATTGGACACGCTTAACTGAGGAGGAGTGATTCGATAAGCAGTGGATGGGTCTCTGTGTTGTCATATCAATAATAAGAGATGTTTGGTCGCCAGATGCAGTAGCTAGTAACATGTCATCGGATGAGAACTCGAGGTCCATGATCGAGTTCATGTGCGGACGGAACCCAAGATAGGCGTTTGTGAACCCAGCATCTTCGTCAATCGATGAATCCAAGAGCCGAATTCCGCCCTCTTCATCACCCACTGCAACAAGAGAATTTGCTTCCCATTTGTCAGCATGTATAGTCAGGAGCAACCAGGCAAATTATGACTTACTATTGCATGAAGCATTACAGAATGGGAGGGCCAATGAACCCTCCGATCCGTAGCTATAGCAGGTGTGACGATCCCCCGGTTGGGAATAAAAGTTGGAAGTAAGATCTTGCCAGCCTAGAGAGAAAGTTAGCGGTGTTCAATAGAGACACGAGGGTGAATACCAACCAGCGCCAGAGTTAGATCGTAGGGTTACTTTATTTGCTCGAGCCCCCATAACATTGCGCATAAACAAAGCACCAGATGATTGCAATGCCTTTGAGCGGCGCACAGGGGCCACCGGGCCATTTCGTTTGGATGGACTCGGCGGTGCTAATGCATCAAGATGGATGTCAATATTAGGAATTTTAATATCTTGTTCCACATCCTCCGTCGGAGACCGGACACGGACTCTCTTCAAAGGAGAGGATTGCGGGGAGACAACTGAGGAGAATGAGTTCTTTCTTTTCCTACTCGGGGTGCGAATAAAGTCTTCTGGTAAGCCATCGTGAGGACTTCTAGTGCCAGCCTTGGAGGTTCTCGAAAAGGCCGGCCCCAGTCGATTCACCGCGGGGGATGTTAGTGCCCGTAAGGCCTGGCGGCTGGTTGATGGTGTGATAGAAGTATCTCCAGTTGGTAATAAAGAACGCGGGGTAAAGAATCGACGGAATGACCGGGGCGTTACAGTTGGTGGCTTTCTAGGTCTGCGACCATCGGAAGCAATAGATGGTGGGGATGAGGGTGGCTCTGGAGGAGGAAGGACAGGCTCTGACCGGGGTGCTTCCGGTAGATTGAAGGGTTCCATTGCTTGAACAAAAAAAAATTGGCAGAAAGAGAATGAATAGGCTATGAATGCATTGGTGGTATTGGTGGCTGGAAGGCTGATAGGGGAGATGAATCGGGGAAGTTGGATCTTTTTTTCGTGTCGCGACGTGACGCGATCGTGTCAAGGCACTTAAGGCATTTCTCCTTCACAACTCCTTCAATCTCAAATTTATTCCTTTATATTTACTCCGTAGATAAGGACAAGTTGGCTTGGATCAACTCACAGGCTAAATTATTTTCCTGATTTTCATCTAAAAGCGCGTGAAACCACCAGATATCTGGACGATCTCAATGTCAACATTGCTCCAATTCCAGCTATTCAGCAAAGCATTCCCCTCAACATTTCCTACAACATTCCAACTACAATGACTATTTATCCTTCTACCACTCCCCTAGAGTTGAAGTCGCACTTTGAAAATCAAAACTTTCTAGCCAACGGAAATCCCGAGCCCGACAGCTGCTCAGTTGAACTTTGATCTACCATTTTTTTTTTAAGACCAAAGTGGTTCAAAGCGGCTTTCAAGGGTTCAATTTCTTCTTTTCAATATGTTGCAGTAGAAATTTGAACCGGATCTACTTCTTTTCAAAGTATAACAAAGCTAAAACACCGCATCCAAAACAGATGAATGCTGTGGAAGGGAAACCCAGTTGTTAGAAGCCCTGACAATGCCGCGATACTTATGAACAGGAGTAAACTTACCGAGAGACATGTTCATATAGTAATACCCCACTATTTGTGTGAGAGAACCTGAAAGGACTGGCCCGATGAACATGCTGAATGTCCAACTCATATTGGTCAGGGAATAAGCCCTGGAGAATCCACCATTAGGACCGAATATAGCAGGATGGGTTTCCTGTAACTCTATGATCACACCTAAGAGACAAGTTAGTAAGTTGTTGGCATTCAAAATAATGTCTTTTCAGTACGAATAGAAAGATAGCAGCTTCAATTCCAACTTACCAGTCATCTCCATCATTCCACAGCCCGTGAACAGTGTCCTGGCAAACCCCAACCCGAGCATCGAGGCCATATAGACGATTTGACCTCTTTCATTGGAACCAATGGATGACAAGCCATCTGAAGCTGGCATACCCAAAAGCCAAAGCAACAACGCCGTAGCTAGTAGCCCGACCCCAGACGGTACCTTCGTGCCCACTCGATCTTTTATCCACCCGGTGAGTGGAGAGAGGAAAAGAGTTGGTAGCTGCAATAGCAAAAACATTAAGCTTACTCGGGAAGTGTCCCAGCCAAAGGCTCGGGTGACATGCAATGGCAAGGTGGTGTCTATGGCAACCAATGTAAGCCCATTCGTAGCATGGCAGGCCATGGCAGTGAGAGCCCGAGGGTGACTGAGAATAACCCTGTAAAAGTTTAGAGCTGGGGATTCGATGGGATGCGAGGGTAGTGCTTCGTCCTGCTTTGTGTGATATCCTGGCTCACGGTCGCCATTCGCAGATGGAGGAATAAGAGCGGAAGTCTCATCCGATGCGATAACCTCAGGCGCTAGGTACTCTGCATCGTCGACTCCTTTCATAGGACTTTCGATCATGATCACCCGCATGATCATATCAATGACCAAAACGAGGATTGCGGTCAGCCATGTTGGCCAGTATCCAATGAGACCAATTAGTGTCCCCGTTTCCATAGGACCAACCAATAGCCCGGAGATGAAGAACGCAGATATCGTGGATATCGCTCGAGACCTATTGTCAGATCCCACAGTGTCGGCAATCGTTGCATAGCCAATTATCCATACTGCATTACCGAAGATGCCCTGAATGACACGCCCGAAAAATAGCACCGGCACTGTCGCGAGTGAATATAGGTCAGTTGTGTTCAACACAGAAATACAGAGGGAACATGATTTCATACGTGATGGTGCAGCCGCAATAATAATTGTTCCCACAATCTCTCCTCCCAATGAGACTAGTAATGGTCCCTTTCGGGAGGGAATTTTGTCGGCCAAATTACCGATGAACGGCCCTGATACGAAGCACACCAAGGCGTGGGTCGAAAGTAAAGCCGATGTAGTGGTTTGTGTTTTTGTTGGGTCGAGCCGAAGACGGTCCTCAAGCATGAGTTGTAAAATGGGGATGATAAAACTGTATAAGAAATTTTCTAGTAGATGTTAGCATATGCTATTACATAGTAGTGGTTGAACAAACCCGAGAACAGCGCTATTGTAACGCAGGTTAGGATGAAGAAATTTGAGGAGCGCCATCGATATCCCAGAGGTTTCTGTCTGCCATATTGCATTTTGTGTTTTGAGGCAAATTCAGTTTCAATATTGAATGCCGACCTCAGAAAACAATGCAAAATGAAGATGGCAAAAGCGGGAGGGAAGCTTCGAGTTACAAGAGAAATATTAGAGCATGTCTAATTGCCTTTGATGGGTTACATTTGTACGGAGTACAACATACTCAGATATTATTGTTTTCTCCAAAAGTAGTAAGGAGTGGAGTGGCCAAGGCAGGGGCTGCATGATATTGGTGCAAACACATGTTCATGTGTTCTACAGATTGCTTTCTAATAGGTAAAATCAGGATATGATCGTCAATGATCTGACCAGACGTACGGAGTAGTCAAATCTATATATCTACTCCGTATTGGTTCTCTCATTGAGGGATTAGCTGGAACATGATCCGCTTCCTCTTCTGTTGCTGATATAAACTGTTCAATGGATGTAGTTGGGAATACTCATACTATGTTGTAAGCCAATGTATCACAGAGTTGCAGACATAACATTGAATATCTCCATGTATAGCCCTTGATTCACAAATGCAGATCCAATATGGTTTCACACTAGTACCATATAATAGGCCACATCTTGCAGGAAAAGAGGCGATCGATATGCACGCTCTTCCAGCCCCTCAGCTCCTCACCTCTGACTCTTGTTTTGACACACTTTCGGAAATCGTAACATCCAAGCTTTATTTTCCACATAAAAGCAAATGGTAACCTATGAAAAAGGCCGGTATATCGTAAGTCACCTTAGGTCTAACCAATGATCCCCATAGATATCTCTCATTATGACATGTAAGAGAAATGGAAAGCATCACGTGTGAGGATTTATGTCCAAATGTGATCGGTAATTTTGTAGGCCAATTTCAAATACGGTTTAGATACCCCAATAGCGTGGTTCATTCCAGCCAGCCAGCAGTACGGAGTACTGATCAAAGCTCAAGATAATGCTGCAGGGTTGTATAATCTTAGCAGTAACACATCCTTGTTATTTATAACTCTTAGTATTGTCATTTTTGCCCCAACTTATCTAGCAAAAGAAGATCCCCAAATATTTTTCGGAAGGTAAGTATGATGGAAAAGAAAGACCCTATCAAACTAATGCGACATACATAGCCCTATTCTCATGAATATAATATTGTCTGTGTGCATTAATTAGTAAATTAACTTGCGTGCTTAATTCCCTCTAATGTTGGATTAAATCAAGACTTCCATGTTGTCCATTTTTACTACCTATAGGCCATAGTGTACTCCATAGATCTCGGGATTTTAGGGCATGGATTTGTCCTCATAATTCAGGCATCAATTTGCTGACTCATGACCCCATGTCTCTAACTACACCGCTCAGGAGGTTCTGCCGCATCCGCGGAATTTTTTTTATCTTTCCTCTCGAGGAATTAGACCGCAATCTGCAACTGCACGATTCGGTTTTGCCAGTTTAAGAATGGCGCCAATCAAGCGCAAGGGCAATGCCCCTGAAGAAAATAATACCCGCCAGCCCCAAAAACGTGCCAAAGTGGGAGCGGACGAGGTCAAGAAAGACCATAAGTCAAACGATGCCACATCCACCGCTGGGAAGGCTTCAGAACTTTCTGTTCTGCGCGACGACGAGCCCTCATTCCCTCGTGGTGGCGCAAGTGTTCTGACGCCATTGGAGCGCAAGCAAATTCAGATCCAGGCCAACAAAGACGTCTTGTTCGAGCAGAAAGCATCTGGTAACCAGAAACCCTCCAAGCAAGCGCCTTCCAACGAATTCGCCGAGGATAGCGACAACGATGTTGAAATGGAGGACGAAGAAACTACTACGACTACCAAGAAGTCGCGCAAGAAGAAGTCAAAGAGCAAGAAGTCTGCGGACAAGGGAACTGATGACAAGCAAAATGTTCGCATCGAGGGTCTTAGCTTCAAGGTACGCACTAGCAAAGTCCAGTTTTTCATATCACATCACTCTAACAATAGCAGCGCATTGTACCCGGAGCCATGATTCTGGGTCAGGTCTCGAGTATCAACGCCCACGACATCGCCCTTTCGCTGCCTAACAACCTTACCGGATACGTCCCTCTCACATCCATTTCGAAGGGCCTCGAAGACAGACTTGAGAAGATGTTGAACGATGAAGGCGAAGATGACGACGCTGAGGACAGCTCCGATGACGAGTCTTTTGACCTGAAGGATCATTTCTATTTGGGCCAATATCTGCGGGCATACGTTGTGTCTACCGGCAGCAACCCCGATGATCCCAAGGCAAAGAGCAAGAAGCGAATTGAGCTTTCGCTCGACCCTAGACAAACAAACACTGGCTTCTCAAAGTCCGATCTCGTCGTGAACTCGGCCGTCCAAGCGTCCGTTGTCAGTGTGGAAGATAACGGTGTGGTCATGGACCTTGGCATTGAAGGCTCAGAACTGAAGGGCTTCATGTCCTCTAAGGAGACAGACCCCAGTGTTGATTACTCTAGCATCAAGGAAGGCTCCGTTTTCCTGTGTATGGTCACTGGTCAGAATCCCAGTGGCAATGTTATCAAGCTGTCCTCCAACTTCCAAAACTCCGCCTCCATCAAGAAATCCAACTACCTCAGCTCGGCACCTACGATCAACACTTTCCTCCCCGGTACCGCCGCAGAAATTCTTCTCACAGAAGTTGAATCGAACGGAATGATCGGAAAGATTATGGGAATGCTAGACGCAACCGTTGATCTGGTCCAGTCTAGCATCAATGGTAAAATAGACCTGGAGAAGAAATTCAAGATTGGCGCAAAGATCAAGGGCCGTATCATTTCAACTTTCCCGGCTGCCGATCCCCCCAAGGTCAGCTTTTCTATGCTCGACCACGTGCTCAAGCTCTCTTCTGATGCTCGCGGTCCCGGTTCTTCTGATGACGCGCCTGCTATCTCCGCCATCATCCCTGAGGCCAAGGTCGTGAAGGTCGATCACGGTCTGGGTGTTTATGCTCGAATTGGAGAGACAAAACACATGGGCTTCGTTCACATGTCAAGACTTTCGGATGGTAAGGTCGAAACAGTTGATGAAAGTTCTGGAGCTTTCCAGGTGGACGCTGTCCACGAGGCAAGAGTCATTGGGTACAACTCGATTGATAACCTCTACATCCTCTCATTTGAGAAGAGCGTTATCGAACAGCCTTTCCTTCGCGTCGAGGATGTGACTGTAGGTGCTATTGTCAAAGGAAAGGTCGAGAAGCTTATGATCGGTGCCGATGGTATGACTGGATTGATTGTCAACCTGGCCGACGGAATCACCGGTCTTGTTCCCTCCATGCACTTTGCGGACACCATGCTCCAATTCCCAGAGAAGAAGTTCCGTGAGGGTCAAAAGCTTTCGCTGAGAATTCTCTCTGTGAACCTTGAAAAACGCCAAATCCGTTTGACCCTAAAGAAGAGCTTGCTCAACAGCGAGTCTGCTATCTGGAAGGACTACAAAGATATCACTCCTTCATCTCAGTCTCCCGGTACCATTGTCAGCCTTCAGAGCCATGGCGCTGTTGTGCAGTTCTACGGTGAGGTCCGTGGTTTCCTTCCTGTCTCCGAGATGAGTGAAGCCTACATCCAGGATCCGTCCCAGCACTTCAGACTCGGCCAGGTTGTCAATGTTCATGCTTTGAGCGTGGATGCATCCCTTGGAAGACTTGCTGTCTCGTGCAAGGACCCCTCTACATTTACCGAGAAGTATCGTGAGGCCTTTGAAAACCTTCATCCCGGCCACCTTGTGTCTGGAATCGTCTTCGAGAAGTCCAATGATGATGTGCTTCTCAAGCTTGACGAGTCTGGCCTCGTCGCTCGTCTCGACGCTCAGCAGCTCATTGACGGCCCCCCATCTAAGCAAAGCTCGATGCTGTCCAAGCTTCGCGTTGGTCAGAAGCTGAACGATCTTTTGGTCCTCAACATCCAGCGCGCTCACCGTCTTATTAAGGTTTCCAGTAGGGCCAGCTTGAAGAAAGCTGCCAAGCAAAATAACATTCCGGCCCAGTTCGAGGATGTCCAAGAGGGATCCCTTGTTACAGGATTCGTCCGCAACATCACACCTGACGGTGTCTTCGTCGAGTTCCTCGGCGGCCTCACTGGCTTGCTCCCCAAGCGCCTTATCGAAGACGCCAACCTCGAGCAGCCTCACTACGGATTGTCAAAGTCGCAAACCATTGTTGTCCATGTGCAGTCTGTGGATCAGGAATTCAAGCGCTTCATTCTGAGTATGAAGCCTGTTCAGGCTAGCCAGCCTGCTTCCAAGAAAGCGGCCAAGCAAACTGACGACACCGTTGCCAACCCCGTTGATGCCAACATTAAGAGCATGTCCGACTTCACCTTTGGCAGAATCGTTGAGTGCAAGGTCGTCTCTATCAAGGCGACTCAGGTCAACGTCCAGCTCGCAGATAACATTCAGGGTCGCATTGATGTGTCAGAGGTATTCGACGACTGGAAAGACATCAAGGATCGCAAGCAGCCATTGCGATTCTTCAAGGCTAAGCAGACTCTCTCTGCCAGAATCCTTGGTGTTCACGATGCCCGTAACCACAAGTTCCTCCCCATCAGCCACCGCACTGGAAAGTACCCTGTCTTTGAGCTCTCTATTAAGCCAAGCTACCTCAAGGCCGCCAACCCTGCCCCTCTTAATATGGAGCAGGTTCAAGTTGGCTCCTCTTGGATAGGCTTTGTCAACAATGTTGCTGACGACAGCCTCTGGGTCAACTTGTCTCCCAACGTGCGCGGTAGACTGCGCTTCATGGATGCATCAGACGACCTGTCCCTGTTGACTGATATTGAGAAGAACTTCCCCATCGGCTCTGCTTTGAAGGTCCAGGTCACCGCGGTTGACGCTGAGAAGGGCCACCTCAACCTCTCTGCCAAGCAAGGATACGACAAGCTCGCATTTGGAGATATCTCTGTTGGCATGATTTTGCCCGGTCGCGTTACCAAGGTCACTGAGCGCCAACTCATTTTGCAGCTTGGCGAGTCACTTGTCGGTGCGGTCAACCTGATCGACCTCGCAGATGACTACTCCAAGGCCAACCCTACCGTGCACCACAAGAACGAGGTTCTTCGTGCATGCGTTATTGCCGTTGACAAGTCCACCAAGAAGATTGCCTTGTCGCTGCGCCCCTCCAAGGTCATGAGCGCCTCTCTCCCCGTCCAGGACCGTGAGATCTCTTCGCTCAAGGATGTCAAGCCTAACGATGTCATTCGCGGCTTCGTCCGACGAGTCACCGATTCCGGTCTCTTCGTGGCAGTCAGCCACGATATCACTGCTTACGTTCGCGTGTCTGATCTTTCCGATTCGTATCTCAAGGAATGGAAGGACTCCTTCCAGCCAGACCAGCTCGTCAAGGGTAAGGTCACATTCGTTGACGCCGAGCAAGGCAAGCTGCAGCTGAGCTTGAAGGAATCCGTTCTGGACCCCAACTTTAAGGCTCCCATCACCCTTCAGGATCTTAAGGTTGGTCAAATTGTTACCGGCAAGGTCCGCAAGGTCGAGGAGTTCGGTGCTTTCATTGTCATTGACGGGTCTTCAAACATCAGCGGTCTTTGCCACCGCAGTGAGATGGCCGAGAATAGGGTCGAGGATGCTCGCAAACTGTACGACGAAGGCGATGTTGTCAAGGCCAAGGTTATCAAGATCGATCTTGAGTCTAAGAAGATCTCGTTCTCACTTAAGGCTTCCCACTTCCAGGGTGAAGAGGAGGACGACAGCGAGGATGAGGACAGCATGGACATCGATGGTCTTGGCGGCGTTGAACTTGGCGAGGACGACAGCGAAGATGAGGATGACGACGATGAGTCCATGGGCGGTGTTGATGTGGAGGAGGACAGCGAGGAGGAGGAAGAGGAGGAATCCGAGGATGACGATGAAGACGTTCCGGTGAAAAAGCCCAGCAAGACCGGAGGTCTCGGTGCGAGCGGCTTTGACTGGAGCGGCACCGCCCAGACCGATGCCGCCGCGAGCTCCGACAGCGAAGATGAGGGCTCCAAAAAGAAGAAGAAGAAGAACCGCAAGGCCGAGATCCAGGTTGACCGGACCGGCGACTTGGACGCCAATGGCCCTCAGTCCGTTGCCGACTTTGAGCGACTCCTTCTCGGTGAGCCCGACTCCTCGCTGCTGTGGCTGCAGTACATGGCCTTCCAGCTGGAGCTGGGTGAGGTCGAGAAAGCTCGCGCCACTGCTGAGCGTGCTTTGCGCACTATCACCATGGGCCAGGATGCCGAGAAATTGAACATCTGGGTTGCGCTACTGAACATGGAGAACACCTACGGTGATGACGACAGTCTCGAGGAGGTCTTCAAGCGCGCCTGCCAGTACAACGACCCCCAGGAGATCTACGAGCGGATGATCAGTATTTACATCCAATCTGGAAAGAACCAGGTATGTGTCGTCTATTTCGAATCTTTACTTTCTACGGATGCTAACAATTTCACAGAAAGCAAGTGATCTCTTCTACGCCGCCCTCAAGAAGAAGGTTTCCTCTCAATCCCCTAAGTTCTTCTACAACTACGCCAGCTTCCTCTTCGACACCATGGCCTCCCCTGACCGCGCTCGTGCTCTGCTCCCTCGCGCCCTCCAGTCCCTCCCTGCCCACACCCACGTCGAGACCACCTCCAAGTTCGCCCAGCTCGAGTTCCGCTCCCCCAACGGAGATGTCGAGCGTGGTCGTACCGTCTTCGAGGGTCTCCTCTCCTCATTCCCTAAGCGGATCGACTTGTGGAACGTGCTCATCGACCTGGAGATCAAGGTCGGTGATGCGGAGCAAGTGCGCCGTCTCTTCGAGCGTGTCCTTGGTCTGCAGAGTGGCAAGAAGGGTCCCGTTAGTGTTGACGCTAGCAAGAAGCTCAAGCCTAAGCAGGCTCGCTTCTTGTTTAAGAAGTGGCTTTCCTTTGAAGAGGGTCTGGCTGCTGACGGAGATGAGAAGATGGTTGAAGAGGTCAAGGCACGGGCTGTTACCTATGTCAAGTCTCTTCAAGAGTAAATTTAAAAAAGTGTGTTTGAACCCATCGGTGTTTTGGGCTTGCATTTGTGAATTTGTATATATATAGCGATTCAGGAAATATCTTTCTTCTTTTGTTCCCTTTCTATTATAATGCTCAGACCTCGCCGCTTTTTGCTCACGGAGTAAAACTGAGCACACCCCTAAGTCACAGGTTATACATAGAAAAGTCGTCTACACAAATTAAGCCTTTTTCTGCCTTTTTTTTTTGCTGTCGACCTACAAAACTAAATAAAATCTAAGACTGCTAAAGTGACCACTAAAAAGATTACTGAAAAGACTACTGAAAAGACATCACAAGGCCGCTTATGCGGCTAACTATTCTCCGGTGTACAACATATCAAACTCGCCCCACATATTTCACCTTTTCCACCAACCACATCCACCTCGGGCTTGTCAACATGCCTAATCCGCTTTCCTGAGTTCAGGCCCGCATGTCCTATCCCATATATCCTCCAACTCGAAGAGCGAATAAGACAACTACAAGTCGTTTTGAACACTGATTTCGGACAAGCTCAGAGAGTGAACATCGAAGCCCTTATTCACCTATATGAGATTGGCGAGCTCGGACCACGCCAGCGAACTGATCCCCCTGTTTTCCTAGTCAATGGAGTTGGCGTTGAAAAGGACCCATAGAAAGATGAATCAGTGCCGGCTCATGCATTGAGATGGTGTGAGGTATTTAATACTGACATTATTCTGGTTTATACTAATAATATCTTTCAAGACGTTGTTCTACCAGCAGATGACCCAGCAGACTACGTACCAGGCAAATATCATATAACTTTCTCGGCTCTCCCCTAGTCGCTTTTTAAGTATTATGATATTATGAACAGCTTTGAGCTAATCATTGTGTTTTTTTTACTATCAGCCGCAATACATGGACCAATCTATGTCAGAACCCCTTCCTTTTTTGAATACGTTCCAAATGCACCAGGTATATCAATCTAAGCTATATCGATGATCACTTCGATATGGCACTTCATCTTCAAGCCCTACGAGGCTTCATCCAAATAAACACTGCCAATGGATTCTCCAGACTCTGATGTTCGTTGACATGAAAATTCTTACGTCTGCCTTTGTACCCCTTACCCCATGGTTTGAAGAGTCTGCTATTGTAAAACTAGATAGCCCAGATGCCAGGATCAGCTATGCGTGACTATTTATTTTTCTCTACCACTCACTACGCCCGGAAATACCTAGCTATATGTTATACAGAAGAAAGCTAGAATTATTCGCGATCTCCCTGAATTATCTCTCTTTTTTCATATTTTTATTAGCAGAATGCTACCTCTTATCTAATTTAAATAGCATTTTACAGCCATGCTTTTATTCTCTATATATTCAGTAGATATACATATATTCAAGTAGATGTAACCAAGCCTTTCTAAGGTTAAAAAGTATCCAATCACCGCTTTTCAATTATCATGGCTGCCTTGGACTTTTAGTCTTCAACTATAATCCCCCCCGAGAGTTAGAACCTTTTCATGTATCTTGCATGCAGATTGCTCACGATGAACTCTTTTCACCCTTCCCAGAGTTCATCCAATCTTCAGTTTGAGCTATACACAGACTCAGATACAGAAGATTCAAAGTTCAATGTACATGTTGACTCCATTTCTGTTGACCGAGTGGGGTATTCGGCCCCCTCATGGCGTCAACTCTGGACTGCCTTGGCTTGGCCGTCAACGTCTCCCCTGAACTCATCCAAGCGTAAGCGATCTTGTCGCTCATATTTGAATGGTCTATGGCGTGCGATCATCGGAATATTCATCATGTTGTGAGTTTCAACTATATAGGCTGTGATGAAGACCCACTGACTGATTACTGATAACAGAGGTATCATCCAGTTCATCTCCATCGCCTGTGGTATCGTCCTTTCATTTTTCCCGGATGAATACGACCGCGCAGTTCATAATTGGCTAGATAGCGCCGACAGCGCAAGTACTGCAAACGACACGCGCTGGCCCACTGATATCTCGCGCGATATCATCCCCGTTGGCTGTCACTCTCACAATGATTACTGGCGCCGGGTACCACTATACTCCGCACTGCAAGCAGGATGCATAGGCGTCGAAGCCGATGTCTGGCTCTTTGATGACGAGCTTTACGTCGGCCACACCAAATCGTCTCTGACAGAGCGCTTAACCTTGCAATCCATGTACATTGACCCGCTAGTAACTATCCTCGAGCGCCAGAACCCAACTACCAGATTCCACCAGCGAGGCGACGGTCCTATGCACGGCGTCTTTGAAACAGACCCGGCCCAGACCCTAATCCTCCTAATCGACTTTAAAACAGCAGGCCCGGCAACCTGGCACGCCGTCACAAAGCACCTCGCACCGCTCCGTGACCGCGGCTACCTAACCCACTTCAACGGTGACGAGGTCATTCAGCGCCCCATCACCGTCGTCGGAACGGGAAATACGCCCTTTGACCTCGTTGCCGCAAATATCACCTACCGCGATATCTTCTTCGACGCCCCGCTCGATAAGCTCGTCGACGCCGACCAACCAGATGAAGCCCAGACAGACGCAGTCCTCTTCCAACGTACAGATCTCGGCCAAGGCCAATCTGGCATGCCAGCTATTATCACTGCATCCACTTTCAACACTTCGAACAGCTTCTATGCCTCTGTGTCTTTCAAAAAGGCAATCGGCCGTCCCTGGCCTTTCCACTTCACGCAGACCCAAATGCGCCGCATCCGAGACCAGGTGCGCATTGCACACCAGCATGGCTTGAAAGTCCGCTACTGGGCACTGCCGAGTTGGCCTCGTAGTCTGCGGAATCATATCTGGCGCGTTCTTGCGCAAGAAGGTGTTGATATTCTGAATGTTGATGATCTAATCAGTGCTACTAAGGGGGACTGGAATACGCGGGTCTTCGATTGGTGGCCGTGATGGCTACATATGGACTGGGTTTCTATGTTTTCTATTTTGCTCTTTATCTTGAAATATGGGATCATAGGCGTTGGGTTTCTTCTTGATTTACGATACCTAGCCTTTTTCTTTGGCTTACTTTATTTTCGTTTATAGACTACTTGCTCCGTATTTACTAGAATATGACCTGTGAAAATAACGAAAATGACCACCTTTGACGCCAGAAATGGCCATCATACGAAATGGATCGAGGCATTCAGAATTAATGTACTTCAGACTAAATATTAGGACCGGGGATATAGCAGGCTCCAAAATCCAGGCTTAACAACATCTGCATGTCACAAAACAAAGATATATCTCTCCACCAACTCATCAGACAGCAATATTGGGAACCATTGGATCATAGTGGTCTTCATTTTCAACCCAATCCCACCAAGAACCTGCATATGGAATATCCTGAGAGGCATCACTACAACCCGCCAGGAACGGATGTGTGTAGCGATCCTTGAAGTTAGCCGCCTTGTAGAATGCTATCGTCGCCTCCTTGTCCATTCCACAAATCGGTCCACACCAGCGCGGGAGTTGGTCGAACCCGTACGGAGTGAGGATCCATTCCTTCATAGGATATTTGTAGTCGGGATTATTGATGGTTTTACTGATATCACACACGGGGATGGTCCAGACACCTTCCATGCTCGCGCCATCTGTGTAGGTATCATGGCCGGGTACGAAGATATCGCTTATACGACTGGTCAAGGTTGACCCGTCGTAGTTGTAGCCACCGACCTTGTAGGACTTGAGGGAGGATTTGATAACGTCCTGGGTAGACAACGTTAGTATGCGATGTATGGTATTCCCTGGATATACTCATGCCAAGCGCCCAACACATTCCCTGATAATAAATGAGAAGACATTGGATATTCAGGATAGTAGCGGTTCGCCAGACGACTGATAGAGAAGGGGTGTTACATACCACTGGGTTAAGCTCAGGCCAGAACGGCCCGTCGCTGCTACCTTCCTTCTTCAATATAGGAGATTGTCCCATGCGATCGGATCCCCAGGGCCGAGAAATCCATCCGTTGGGCCGTTCATTATTCCCGGCTGTCGGTTGCTCCTGTGCCTTACCACTCTGCCAGTAGTATAGGTACCAAGCGCGATTTTCTTCATCGCAATAAGTATTATCGTCGGCGTTGAGACCTCGGCCGACATCCTCGCCGTCGCCGCAGCGGCCTCCGCCGAGAATAAACACACGTTGGGTACGCCATAGGGAGTTGATCATCATTGACTTGATTATATTGATCATTGCCTGCTGAGCTTCGTCCTTTTTCAATCCTGGGTAGTTGACCCATGATCCGCCCTCGAGCATGGTACGGATATCGCCTTCCCCGTAGCCATGACCCATCATCAGCTCATTATTGCCATTGATAAAAGCTTTCGAGATTTCCGGGAATATATTTGACATGAAATGACCGAGGTCAGCCTGTGTGATACCAGTCGAATCTCTATAAATAAAAGGTTAGTATTCCAAGGCTAGTAAGAGTACATCCCTTTCGTATAGACTCACTTGGAAGTAATACCGATAATGGCTGCGCCAATTCCACCACTAATCATGGCTGAGCCTGCCCCCAAAATGACAGGTGCTGTTGCACCTATGACTGGTGCGAGAGCAGGTGCACTGAGCCCAACAACAGCAACACCAATCACAACGGCGACTAAATTCAGGATCTCTTTTAGGACCAATGCATCCCAGGAATTCTCATCGTGCCAGAAATTGAGCACTAGAGCATCGGTATCCAGGGCTGAGATGCCAGAAGTAGGACCGAACGACTGCTCTAGACCGAGCCAGAAACCGTGCAGGTTACTGATCGCCCTTGCAACATAGTACGCCTGCTCGGTACTATTGCCTAGGGAATTAAGGTCTGGGTCGCAAGTTTCGAGTCTGCAGTTGTTGGTGTCGCCAGTGTTCTGGCACGACCAGTCCTCGTCGTTAAGTGCGTATTTGCCGAATGCACCAGCGAATCCGTATTTGTTATCCGTCCGGTTTTGGGCATTCTCGGTCCACCAGTTGTTCAGCCAGGCGTCGGTGTTGGCCTTGCTCCATGCTTCTGGGGATGGATTGCTTTTGAACTGTCCGACTGCCCCACAGGTATCACCAGTATTATCTCGGATGCTGTGGGGGATGGCGGTTGCTTGGAGGACAACCGCTGCCCATGCGCCAATGCGAAGTATAGCAGAAAACATGTCGCTTGATAGTCTAGACTGAGACTATGTCTCCGACTAGATTGGATGCGAAAGATGAGTCTGGACATTTCAGAGGTATTCCGGGGGTTTATATGTCGTCCTAATTACCGCCATCAACCTTTCAGGAAAAGTAGTTTGATATAGATAAAGGAATTGGCATTATCCAGAAACGCACATAGCGCAGGAACAGACAAGGAGAATGTACCAATCATTGGTGATCAATATGCCCCGGCCGGTTGATCTGTCCAGGATTCCTCAAATACAGAAGGGATTAGTGGCTAGAAACTGTCATGCGGCCAAATCCATAGGCAGCAGGAATGGATCTCCCAGCTTCTTACCGGCTTAGGATAATGGGGAAGAATTAAGGAGTATATATAGGATCTGGTTGTACTGGCTTAGATTCTGTGTTTCTAGGTTTGACCTTTAGGTACTATCCCTTAGGGTATATCATGACTTTACCATGACTTTACTCCTTATGAGTGTGCATGATGTGTTATTTCTTCAACTAGCCAATATCAATGTTGACACCCGAATCTACAGTAGGTTGCAGCTGCAAGCCCCAAACCCCAAGCCCATGTATGCTACTACCCATGCCCTCCTGAACCTTGTTCCCGAGGACTTTCCTAATTGGGATACGCTAAGATGTCCAGGAGTAACCCGCATTTATAGGGATCGTCAACGGGCTGCCATTGGGCGTAACCCCAGCACTCCGCAAAAGCTTCAAAACTATGTACTATGTACCAACTTCCCAATTTAGTATACCTTACAGGGTACTCCGCAATATCTCAGACCCACTCAAGTGTCGTGTATATTAAGGAGATATAAAGAGTAAGAAAACAATTGGTTTGAGGGGTTTGTAGTAGTAATATTTTTACATTATAACATCACTATATAAATACACGAGAATATATCCTCCGGAATCCTTCCAATTGTCCCTAAAACAATTTATTAGGATAAAAAAGCTAGATCCTTCGAAAGAAACATTGGAACCTCCTAATTCATTTTAAGAGAGGAAGATCAGGGGAAGTCCTATCAAACTAAGGCACCGGTTTCAACACTTCCTCAGTCTTCGGTTTATTTGCCAAACGGCAGTCAATAAATACTCTAGAGGAAGCTTTCTCCCGAGTGACAATTCCTTCAGACCAGCCATGACTCAGGCGACTAAGGGCTATTCAGCTGAAAAACAAGATTTTCCTCCGTTTTAATGCGCTTAAATAGCCAAAAGTTTCGTGTTGGGCAAGTCAAGAGACAAACAAGTTCAGCACAGCTATCTCTAGGCCTTGACGTTGAGAGATATAAACAAAGCAGTAGAAAAGTTCCAAGTAGTTGACATAACGTATTGGGTTAAACCTAGGCAAAACCAACATATAGTAACAGTCATGCAGCTTTTGAGCTATACTAGTTTGTTCAAACATGAAATCAATTCATTTCAAACTATAATTTTGGTCTCTGTCGCATCCAGCGCAGCGGTAACGTTCCTTAATCTGGGATTTCCCAACATCCTTGATACCACCAGAATTGACGCCGCAATTCTTCCAATATCAGATTAAAATCAATTAAACCAAAGGACACAGTCCCCAAAGCCCAAATCAATCCGAGATTATAAAAGGCCCTCGACCAGCGGAGAGCCACATAAACACCGACACATCAATCATAGCTACTCGTAGACATCATATCTCATAGACAGCAGAGCGCCTCTTCACCGAACTCGCGAATAACACTACCCTCTTCCCGAATCAGTCCACCAAGCCAGTGCTTCGCAGTCTCAAAGTCCTTAGCACCGAACTTAACAAGCACGAAGCCAGCGCGCACACGCGCCGCCGTCCACGTAACATCACCCTTATGGCTAATCGAAGGCTCCGGCACCGACGACGGCGCATGATCCGACCAATTGCGACTGCCGATACGAGGCTGGGTCTGGAACTGTTTCAGCATGAACGAACCAAGCGCCTCGAACACAGGTCCTGATAGGATAAGCGTGCCGACGACGCCGTGTGGACGCGTGCGCTCAGCGATGATATTCAGCGGGGTTAGGCCGGCAGGCGCCTGCGGCGGCATGTCGGCGGGTTTTGCTAAGGCGGTATTGGTGCTGTGTGTTGTGTTTTCGACTTCGCCTTTGACTCCTTCTTCCACTTCGACTTCATTGGATACGGAGGTTGCGTCTACATCTCCGGATTCGTCGTCGAGGATTACAGAGTCGCGGAGGAGCAGTCGGCGTTTGCCTTTGTCATCTTCGGCCCAGACTTCGTTGCGGCCGCGCCAGAAATGGAAGTTCCAGTCTTCGCCGCGAGAGGTGCGGCCTTGTGTTACCCAGTCTAGGACGCAGACGCTACTGCGCTCGTTGCCTTTTGCTGTGGCGTCTACAGTGAAGGTTTGGACTTGCGCGTAGCGGCTGTGTTTGAAGGGGACGGAGGGGTCTGGAAGGTAGCAGAGGGCCGCTTCGCGGCCGATATTGACGTCGAGGGTTTGCTGGCTCATGTCGGAGATATGGGCGTTTGCGGGCATTTGGTCGCGGTGGCCTTTAATTACATTGGGGGCTGTGCCGGTGTTGTTTGGTGTCGTTTTGAAGATCTTGGTGCTGCCTTGTGGTGTTGTGACCACCATTCGTGTCCTGGGTTCGAGTGTGATGGATACTTCAATGTGATCACCTGGCAGGAGCCCGCCGCCATAGGTGAGGAGGTAGAGGTGGACGGGGTTGGAGGGACGTGTCTCTGAGAAGGCGGAGGAATCTGGACTTGGGACGAAGCCACCAGTGCGCGGGACTAACTTCAATGGGTATTTGTAGGTGAGGGTTGTGAGGGTAGGATTATTTGGTGGTAGGAGGGAGAGGACGACTTTGCCCTGCCCTGGCTTCGCAATGGAAGACTGAAAGGGCGAGGGAATGGGCATTGTTGGTTGTCGCATAATGTAACATGTAAGGGTGAAGAAGCTTATAGATAATAAGAAAGTCTTATAAGCAAAGCCAAGCTATGAGGGGGCGAGTTGGTATATAAACTGCCCAGCCCCGGGGAGGAATGACGATTCCTTAGTCATAACGTCCACTCAAGCGGGGAATATCGCCAAGCTCTGTTGAGTACTCCGGAGCATAAGGAGAAGAAAATAAGAAGAAAAATGGGAAGAATTGAGGTTTCTATGACAAACAGTATCTCCGCATTGGAGTTAGACCTGAGAAGATTACTTCTTGGCAATGCATCTTCGATGTCATTTGCTGATCTGCAGCGACTTATTTATAGTGTGGCAGCCTGGGCAAGTCTGGGCGGTCATGGGATATAGATCAATAGTACAACTATATGCTACTAGTACATGTATGTATAAAAGAATACTTTCGAATCAGACAGTTTTGATGTAATTCTGCAGGCAATTATTCCAACTCCGCCTCGAATAGTACGTCAGCCTAGATGCCTGATGTTTTCCTATAGCCCATAACGAGATCGTCGTAGATGGAGTACTTACTATGTAGTTCAAAGTACATAACTTCCCTTTTAGTATTAATCAGACAAATACTCAATATCATACTTGATATGTATGTAGCGTATGAACCACTATACATGGAACAAGCATTAGAGAATTGTCCTGCGTAGTCCGGTAGTCCGAAGAAACTGCGAGCATTGACAGCTACACTTGTGTCTCCAACGCACAAAGAATCTGACATCACATGAAAGACATCCAATTCCACACACACATGCTTCGTACAGGTATCATTTTGGGTTCTTCGGACGAAAGTATTAGCAGTTTGCTTTCAAGTTGCTTTTTGTTTCTTATTTTGAATGAAATTTTTTTTACTCCCTTTTCAAGTATCTCTATAATGCTACTGAGGCTTTTACGAAATATACTCTGCTAAAAATGAATCATTCTAAGGTTCCCTCGTGTACATTCAGGTTGTAGTATCCAAATAGACACCTCATTTACGAGGCACCAACAAATCACCTGATTACATAATTTAGGCAACCTCAGGCCTCAAGGCACGTTGTCGCGTCTTCCCCCACGCTGAGATCCGGTCCGTTTTCTGCCCAAGTGCTTCCGTTTGATTGACCTGCCTTAACACGGTCAGAGCACGTGTCGCAAATATTAAACGTCTGAAATTGACTTGCTCCATATTCCCCAACCTCTTATCTGCTTGGTCGTACCAGACCTGCGCGTTGCACGAGCGCGTCCCCGACCTGAACGGCAGCGACATCTGCCAACTCTGCTGAAAGCCATTGATCTGGTTAGCAGGACTATCTATCTGATTTGATATCCATATAATACACCCATTCAACACCATGGATATCGACAACCCACCCCTATCAAGCCCCAGTGGCCCGTCATCGACCCCCGCCGAAGACCGACGCAAATCCGGCCGACAAACGCGACGGCCCGAAGTATTCTCGCAGACTGCACATTCTGCCGAAGAACAAGCTGCCGGCGGCAAGCGCAAGCGAGGCGAGGCGCGTGAAGATGGCGATGAGGACGCGTCCGAGTCCGAGAGTGATGATGCCGGCGACGACGAGACCGATGAGGAGGAATTGAAAGAAAAGCGACGTGCTGCACGTCGAAACGGTGCTAAGAAATCCAAAGCCAAACCCAGAACCAAGGGATCACACGCTTCGAAGAGACCCAAGGTTGCCAGTAATGGGTTAGGGAGACAGCTCGCCTTCCGACCGGCTACCAATGGCCGACTACCCGCTGCTCGTCCCCGGAAACCGAAAGTACGACCTAGTCTCGCAGCGGGTGAACGTGGATTGTTCGGTGAGTGATAACTTTCGTTATGTATGTGGATCAACGCCGTGGCTAATACCAGAATTAGCCGAGGTGTTTGGGAAAGGCAGCAATGCCGATACAGTAGCCGCTCAGTGGTTGTCTCAATATCAGCGCAACAATGGACAGGCCATGTGTGACCTCGTGAACTTTATCTTGCGATGCACTGGTACCGATCTTGAGATCGACATTAATGAGGTGGAAGACATCGACAATGCCCCGGGCCGAATCGAAGACTTGCAGAACCTTTACCAAGCAGAAGGCATCACCGAATACCCTATCATATCCAAAGCGAAGAAGTTCAGAGCGTTCTCTGTCCTCCTCGAAGAATTCACCGTTGCCCTGATCCAGACTTTCCATGCCTCTTCTATCCTGTACACCGACGATACCCTTCTCGAAAACATTCAGATCTGGATCTCTTCGATGTCAACATCAAAATGCCGTCCATTCCGGCATACGGCGACTTTGATCTCCCTCGCGATCATGAACGCTTTATGTGATATTGCGCGTGAGGTGACGACGAGCGTATCTACCTCCAGAAAACAACTCGAAAGTGAGAAGAAGAAGAAAACGGTAAACAAGGGCCGTGTGGAAGCAATTAAAACGGCGGTGACAGAGGGCGAACAGAAGGTAGAGCGACTAGACGAGTTCTTGCAGGATGGGTTTGATACTGTATTTGTCCATCGCTACCGGGACATTGACGGTCAGATCCGTGCCGAATGTCTGACAGCACTAGGCGGATGGATTCGCACATACCGAGAGATCTTCTTTGAGGGTCAGTACCTGCGATACCTGGGATGGACTCTCGCCGATGTCGTTGCGCAGACCAGACTTGTTGCCTTGACTGAGCTCTTGAGTCTTTATGAGAACCGTGACAACCTTGCTGGTTTGCATTCATTCACTGAGCGCTTCCGGCAGCGAATCGTGGAGATTGCTGTGCAAGATGCCGATGTTTCGGTGCGGATGGCTGCGATTGAGTTGCTTAACCACCTTCGTGAAGGGGGCTTACTCGAGCCAAATGATATTGATGCCGTCGGGCGACTGGTATTTGATTTGGACCCCCGCATTCGGAAAACAGCTGGACGCTTCTTTGTTGCCAACATTCAAGATGCATACGAGTCAATCACCGAGGAAGTGGGAGAGGAGATCGCTGAGTTGCTAGCTGATGATGATGAAGACGACTATGAATCGCCTAAGCATTCATGGATCAAATTTAAATGCCTCACTGAGCTTTTCCAGGCCTACGATGCACAACAAGCCGAGCAGCAATCAGAGCCAATGTCTCGCGATACACTAGTGGGAGCGGCTGTAGAGTCGCGCTTTGCTCTCGCAACTGAGGCTGTCTACCCCCACCTCGAAGAGCTTTCTCAGTGGCCATCGTTGGCTGGTTATTTGCTTTATGATCACTCTCAAATCATTGAGACACCATCTGAGGATGACACTGCAGGAGTTGTAAAGAACATGTACAAAATGCAAGAAGGACAAGAATCTATCCTTCTGGAGGTTCTCTGTGCTGCAGTCAAGCTCCGCGTTCTCGACATCGCCAAATCTGATATCGACAAGCGCGGGCGCAAGACCAAGGCTCTGGCAGCCAAGACTTCCGAGCTCCAAGAGGAGCTTTCCCACAACCTTGCTCAGATCATCCCCGGGCTTCTCAATAAGTTCGGATCCACGCCGGAAGCTGCTTCCGCTGTTCTGAGATTGGAACACCTTGTGGACCTGGATACAATCCAGGATCTCCAAAAGGATGCTACGGCTTATACCTCATTGCTCAATGATATCAACAAGCAATTCTTGACTCATTCGGATCAAGATGTTCTGGCCGAAGCCAGTGTGGCTTTCTTGCATGCCAAGAGCTCCGAGGAGATGCGAGAGGCGCTAGAAGGCAAGGTTCAAGAGCTATGGGATGATATGGTGGAGGCACTGGCTGCCTTGTCTCGGAAGAAGGAGGTCCAGGAAGGTGGCTCAATATCCGATCCCACTCTCACCAACTTGACCAACACTGTCTCTCGAATTTCAAACCTCGCCGGTATCACAGATTGTGCCTCCATTCTCGAAACTGTCCCTAACTCACGATCGAAGTCCAAAAAGGACCATACTGAAGCCCCATTTAACACCCTTATTCATCTTGCCGAGCGTGGTCTGCGCAGCGAAGATGACGATGAGGATACCGCAAAGGCAGAAAACGAGCTGGTATCCAGCAGTATTCGGTCGTTGCTTTTCTATTTCATGTGGAAGGTGCAGGCACTGTCCACAGCCTTGAATGACGGAAAAGCCTCCTTTAGCACATCCTACTTCGAAGCACTGACAAAGAGCCGCGAAACTTTCGCCTCAACACTTGTCAACATCATGGAAACGCGCTCTGGGCTGGACGACCTCCGCTTCATAGCAACTACGACATACCTAGACCTGCAAACGCTCTTCAGCACCCTCCGCAACATCGGCCAAGGCAACGGCAACGACGAAGACGTCCTGTTCCAAACTCAAGCCCTAATCCATGAAATTGCACCTGAGACCCAAGCCCTCATTACCAAGATCCACGGCATAGCCGAGCGCACATCTGCCAAGAAGTCAAGACTCAACCTCGAGCCCGCAGACGACGACGCCCCAGCTTCAGAAGACGAGCTCGACTCCGAAGATGAAGCTAGCGACTCCGAAGACGAAGCACTCACCAACGACCGCCTGCGCAGCAGTATCGTCGCCGAACAGCGCCTCTGCGAGCTGACAGGTAAGCTCGTCCTCGCCATCATCGCGCGCATCATCGACGCCTCCGGTTCCAAGCGCGGTGCTCTAAAGAAGCGTCTCCTCCGCAATAAGACCGCTCTCGGCCACAACTACCGCGAAGTCCTGTCTTATCTGGAAGAGCGTAAGCCCCGCAGTGCCCCTCGCGCCAAGGGCAAGCAGCCTGCCAAGTCTGCTGCTTCTCCTGTCAAGGGCTTCAAATCTACTGAGCATATTGATGATGACGATGAGCATGACCTGCCTGAGCCTATTGAGGAAGATGAGGATGAGGATCTGCGTGCGCGCGGACTTGTCGAGGAAGATGTTGAACATGAGAATGGAGAGGACGAGGAACTTACCCCAGCTCCTGAGGCTGATGAGGATGAGGTGATGGGTGACTGATCTAGTTTGTTTTCCCAAGGTTATTTGACGTTAACGTGTGCCTGAACTAAATAATCTTTTTTGCCTCGTTTCATTACTTTCTTTCCCTTCTTGTTCCTTTTTTTCTGCTTTCTTTTCTCTCTTTGATGGATTATGGCTTGAATTAACTGTATCTTGCTTCTTTGCTCTCGTTTGCGTGGGTATGTCTTTTCAATCTGTATATCTTACTGCTCTTTGCTTTTGCTGCTACTTGGCTTGATCGAAATCTATTCCCCTCTAGTCTTTGCTGTAATTTCGAAATGTTGATTTGGAATTGTGGTATGGTAGGACATAATTGGGTCAGCTACGTATCACTAGTCCGTGTAGAGCTGTTACTGCCTTAGGACCCTCCCCTTATAGGTAGGTATGTAGTATTTCAACATTGAAAGGTTGGAAGTCCAGCAATCCAAGTGTTCAAAGGGAAAAAAATATAAAAACTTGTAAGATAGGAATAATACTGGGATACGACTACAGGAAGAAAAGATTGATCAAATGAAATTGGCATTTTTCCTGGCGAACTTCAAAAGTGTACCACGAACAAAACATTTTCAGGGGCATGATTTGAGCAGATTATGAGCCTACGAGCAAAATGTGCCATCATACCCTTGTTGCCAGCGAGCGAGGAAGTTCTCGCGCAGGAGACCAATGCCCCATCAAGGAACACCATAGGGGACATTAACGTAACTGGAGAAAACCGATCCTGCAAACAAATGCGCCTGTGTATGAGGATGCTAAAGGGGTGGGGGAGGGGGATACATGATGGTGAATCTTGTTTATCGTGAAATCAAAAAAAGGAAGAAGGGGGAAGTGAAATTCGTGACAAGAGAAGATGAGGGAATCAAATGGGCACCAGAAACTGTTTATACGCAACGCCAGCCTGAGAAGTAGCTTGGTCGAAGCGCACGAGAGGCGTCGAGGGCTGTATGGGAGCAATCTGGCCTCTCGGTAGCCAGTGGTGCTCCGCCCATGCGTGGATACGCTGGGCGCAGCTTCGACATTTGGGGTTGAAAAATAGGGAGGAGATACAGGGAGTGGAATAGAGCATGGGGAAAAGACAAGTCTTTACATATCCATACTATCACCGCCGTTGCCGAAGTTGAAGCCACCAGGTTGCTGCTGGCCAGTGCCGAGAGCGAATCCAGTCTGGGTCTGTTGGGGAGCAAGCTCCTCGATGTCACCACCGGCCTCATCCTCGTCAGAGAAGTACTTCTCGATGATGTTGTAGGCCTTCATGTAGATCTCCTCGTTGGCGTTGTTCTGGCAATCGTGGATCTTCTCCATGCCACCGGCCTCTTCGATGAAGAGAGCGTAGCGGTTGACGCGAGCCTCGCCGGGCTGGCCAGCCTCCTTGTCCATGTCCCCGACCTTGAGGATGTTCTCAAGACCATCGAGAGCAACCTGGATGATCTTGTTATCAGGGCAGGCCAGGAGATCACACAGGGGCTTGATGCACCCTTGCGAAACAAGGTAGCGGATCTGATCGGGCTTCTGGAGACCACCGGAAGTGGCGTTGGAGATAGCCCAGCAGGCCTCCTTGCGGGTCTTGAAGTCACCGTTGGCAAGCAAGTTGATAAGGGGAGCAATAATGCCAGCGTCGATGACTGCCTGGATCTGGCTGGAGTTGCCAGCAGTGACGTTGGAGATAGTCCAGCAAGCTTCCTTGCGGATGCCGTCCTTGGTGGAGCTCAGGAGGGAGAGCAGGGCAGGAAGAGATCCACAGTTGATGATCACCTGGGTCTGGACGTCATCACCAGTGACAATGTTACCCACGGAACGGAGGGCGGGGGTCTGAACAGAAGTAGAGGCGTGCATAAGGAGCTCCACCAGGCGACGGGGGATACCGGCCTCAATGACGGCCTGGATCTTGTCATTGGCACCATCGGACAAGTAAGAGATAGCCCAGCAAGCGTCAATCAAGACCTCGTCGTCAAGCATGTAGATGAGCTTGGCAAGGACGGGAAGGGCAGGGGCAATAGTGTTCCAGTCAGGCTGGGGGGTCTTGCCACGGCAGAAGTTGCTCAGAGTCCAGGTAGCGTTGCGGAGCATGCTGAGTTTGCGGCCATCGTTGATGAGGTTAAGGAGCGGGCGCAAAGCACCAGCACCCAGAACAAAGTCACGGCAGTGAGGGCTGTCACCGGCAATGTTTCCAAGGGCCCACACGGCCTGTTCACGAACATCGGGCTCAGGGCTGCTAAGCAACTCGACGAAGATGGGGACGGCACCAGCTTCAATGACGACCTGGGTCTGCTGAGCGGAACCGGAGGCAATGTTGGTCAAAGCCCAGGCAGACTCAAACTGAACCAGGGTGTGAGGCGAGCGAAGGAACTCGACGAAACGGGCAACGACACCGGTCTCGATAACACGCTCGATGGGGGGGTTGCGCTCCTTAGAAAGCAATTTGCGGAACTTAGTGGTGGCCTGAATCTGCTCCTCAACCTGGTCGGAGAAAACTCCCTTCACCATCTGGGGAAGCTCGACATTAAGCTGAACAATCCTTTGCGTTAGCTTGGTTTCATGTTTTTTTTTTATTGCAGTGGGGCGCGGGCTCAAAGATCCGAGTTGGAGGGGCTTCGTGGGCCATGGCAACAGGGCGGTGAAAAAAAATTCCTTGTTGATGATCGCATCATAAAAACAAAGAAATCTCAATAGCACCCAGGGAGTTGCAACCACATTATGAGCCCGTAGAAAGTCAAATGAGATATAGAATAAAACAAATCCAAAAGAATCGAAGAAAATTTTCAAGACTTACCTCACTCTCAATAGCACTGGCCTCATCATCGCTCTCAGTGGCGGCAGCCATGCCACCAACACCGATTCTACCGTCCTGGGTTTGGATACCACGTCTCTTGGCCAAGTTCTCATCACGCTTGGCCTTGCGAATCTCAACCTGCTGTTCTTCACGGCGGCGGCGGAGCTCATCGGGCTTGAACTGGTTCTTGGCCTTGAACTGCGTGCGGCGGTGTTCGGGAATATAGCGTTCCGCCATGATGAAGATTGAAAGAAGAAGACTAAGCGCGCCGGTTCGATTATGTAGGTGGTGTTGGGTGGGCGCGCTGGGGGATGGAGGGAGAGTAGGAAGAGGGAAGAGGGATATGATGTGGGGGAGAGAAGACTTCTGTGGGAGGGGAAACGATACTATCACGTGATCCCTCATGTTATTTACATCCATGGATTTGGCAACAAGCTCTTCTTAGATTTTCGGAATTCTCCTTCTTTGGATAATTACTCATAGCAATTACTCTAATATGGATGCTCATTAACAAAAACTTGCATGTTTTATGAGCTGGTTTGTGTTATCTCGTCGGGAGCTTGCAGGACGTCTTAACTCGAGCTCTTTCCATCGAAAAAAGACATGGCTTCAGGTGATCTAGTGGATATTACCACTGCTTGTTATTCACAGGGGATTTGCAATGTTCTAGGAGTGGTGGTCGATGCTCTACCAATCTTTCGGACGAGAGGTTCGTCGGCCTGCGTTACATTCACCATCAAAGACTCTGATTTTGATGCACCAACCTGGCGAGGTGGTCTCAAAGTCAAATATTTCAATGATAATGAAAGCTATCTCCCCAATGTCAAGCTTAAAGATGTAGTCCTACTACGAAACGCCCGGGTGAGTGGATTTGCATAAATGCAGCAGCATGGTAAGCTGATACGACTCAGGTGACAATTTACCAGAACAAACCAACAGTGGTTGTTTCTCAGCAATCCAGTGTGTCATGGGTTATTTTTCGACCAGAACGTTTGAGTTCCAGCCCGTTCACTATCAGTGGTCCTACTCCTCTTTTCGAGCCGAGTCTGAAGGAAAAGGACCAGGCACAGTCACTCCTGGATCGCGTATCTACCGAAGGAATCACTGTGCAACAATCCACGTCGTGCAGTACACCCACCTCTCGACAGCCTTCTCATGTTCAGGCCCCTGGTCCGGTCCCAAAATCCGGAGGGTTACCGTGTATCCCTATTCAAGATGCGAAGATTGGCAAAATGTGTCAGTTACTTGGCCAAGTTGTGAGCCTCAATACTTATGACAGCCAGAAATGTCTACTATACTTGACCGATTTTACCGAGAATGAGGATCTTGTCAACTACAAGAAACCCGGAGATGAAGATGATGAATCAGGGCCTGAAGGCGACCGATTTAATTACATACACAAAACAAAGAACTGGCCAGGCCCATGGGGAAAATTGACCATTGAGGTGGCTTTATGGGAGCCGCATGCTACTTATGCCCGACAAAACCTCAAGGCAGGTGACATCGCTTTGTTGACCTATGCCCGTATCAAGGAATGCCGTCGTGGCTTGGAAGCTGCCGTTCATGAAGACAGAAAGTACCCAGAGAAGATCCATGTTCGGAAGATGAATGGTAGCACTGATGAGCGTGTACAAGAATTGATGAGCCGTCGGACGGAATATTGGAAGATCTATGGTGAACCTAAGGCAGATACCAAAAAGGCCAAAAAAAGGAACAAGAAAGTCGAGCAGCAAAAGGAGGCCCAGAAAGAAGGCCAACTGACCATGCCAGCAGCATCACGGATCAAGTTGAACAAACACGGTGAGTCGACTATCTGCCTATGAGAAGCATGTTGGCTAATGAATGTTTAGTCAAAACAAAAAATTACACAGTGCCCAATGTCCCTCTCGAGAAGATTTTATTGGCAGAAACGCATATAAATAATGCTCCAGGGGGGGTTGTCTACCAGCTTCCCTTTCAAAATGTCCATTATCACTCCCAGGTTCGAGTGATCGACTTCTTTCCGCCAAGGGTAGAAGACTTTGCAGTTCAAACCAATATCGAGTCTAACTTCGCCTGGGAATGGCGATTTTGTCTGCTTGTGGAGGGAGTTGAGCCTAAACCTTCCAAACAACAGCCCCGAGAAGTGATGAAACTCTATGTGTGCGGTCAAGACGGTGATTTTCTTCTTGACGATGATGCATGCAATCTCCGCGATAACTTGCCGAGGCTGGAAGCAATAAAAGAGAAGCTCTTCCTCCTATGGGGAAATCTCGAGGAGGAAAAGTCGAAAGCTATGGCCTCTGGTCAACAGAGTTGGGGCCCAGTGAAGTCCTGCCCATTTGAGTGCTGCATCAAGGAATATGGCGTTCAATGCACCCATCGTAATGATCCCAATATCATGGATGTCGACGGCGAAGTGTGCACCCACCCTGGTTGTTTTGGATGGGAGAGACGGTTTGCCCTCTTCGGCACGACTATCCATACATAAATTGTACGATTCCCCAAGACTTGTAATACTGTCAACTTGAATTCAAATACCCACTAAATAAATCTTGTATGGATCCTTTATACTAATACAATTTAAAACTTCGAATAGATAGTTGAGTCTTTTGCGCCTAGAACCGTCTTTTTTTCACCCGCATAGAAGGAAAAAAAAACACAACGTGGAATTTCTCAATGACTTTATAGCAAGCCTGCTCTCATGCACCATAACTCCCGAATCGAAATTTTGATAATGTCATGGGTGCTTCCCTTTAACCCTTTCCCCGGTGAAACCTCAAACCCGTTCGCGCTGAACGCAATAGGCAATATTTTAGGACCTTGTTGCAAGATTCAGATCACACGAGGTAAGCATAAGATTGCGAGATGGCCACTCAAATTTTTGTAACTTTGACAATGTTCGTGTCAATGCCATGCGCCACGGGCTCAAAGCGACAGCTGTCACCTCGGAAGCAAGTCTTTTTACCAGGCTCGCTCTGAGGGCAACGATGACCGTAGATACACTCGACGTCATCGCATTCTAGACCAAAGCGACAGGGTGTCATGCGGGCAATGGCAGACAGAATATGCAGGTCTTGGCGGGACAATTTGCGATCATGGTCATGATAGCAATTCTCTTCATTAGGGCATTCGCCGAGCAAGAAATGATAATTGCAAAGCTTGAGCTTCTTCAGTTTGTTAAGATCGTCGCGAGGAATGCTCTTGAAGTCGAGCCGATCAACACGCTGGCCATACTTATTCCGTTCCACCGTCTTTGGAGGGGTCGTACCAGGTACTTTGGACCGAACGACTTGGAAATCAGAAGACTCGGGTTTATTTGTCACTGGAGCCAATGGAGCACCCAAATTTGACACACTAGTGCTAGTAGATGTTCGTGACAGGGGAGCAGGTGTCTGGAATTGCTGAGTTGGCGAAGGTGTGAGCAAAGTCCGCGAAGGAATTGCGCTTTTCCAGGGAGCAGCCCAAGATGGCGCACCCGCTGCACTCGTGGTATTCGTTGCACTCAATGTAATTGGAGCAATCTTTGTGGTGCGGAAGACATCTGGGAACTGGGTGATGCGATAGTCCTGCTCTCGGAAATAATCAAATTCCTTCTCGAGCGGAAGACCCTCAACCAGCGAGACTCGGCCCTTATAATTCGCACCAGAAATGAGTTCCGTCAATGACCGAGCATATTCTTCACTAGAGGGACAGCCCAGGAAGAGTTGGTGGCAATGGCAGTTGTATAAGTAAAGCTTGAAAGCCTCTTGAGGGAGCGAATCAGTAACGGGTTCTGTCATGTCAGGTCGTACCACATACCCTTGATTTTATCATGCGCTTTGCTTTTGCCAGTTCCAACGTCCACAATTTCGAAGAACGATGCACTTTCATTGAATCCACGAATAAATTCATTGATTGTGGAGGCCTCCAGGGCGATTCCACCCCGGATGTAAGTCTCCATAAGTCCCTTCACATTAAGATAGATCTTTGTCATTATCTTCGGCTCGGTGATCGTGGAAAGAATTGTTGAAACATAGCTCTGGAGGGATTTCCAGAGCTGCTTGGCCGCATTGCGTCCACCCTGTTCTCCTTGTTGTAGAAATTCGTCCTTGAATATAATCCCTTCGCCGTCTAAAAGCAATACGACGAACGGTTCACGGTCCTAGAAGGGGGAAAAATCGAGCGTTAGCTTGAGCTTAGACAACACGACCACAGCTGTGCTCACCATCATTTTCTTGACAACTGATATCTGGTCCATCAGTTCCATTTCATGCACCTGAACCTCACGATTGAACCGGGTTTCACGTTCATGGTCGAGTTTCTCTTGTTGGAAGGAATTTTCTAGGGCGGTCACACGTTGAAGGAGCTCCTATCATGAGTGTTAGAATGAATTAGGACCAAGGGAGGAATGGTTGGTACCTCAATGAAATCATTCTTCTGTTGGTCCAGAGCGCTTAGCTGACGATAGCGCTCTAAATAAGCTTGGGTCGCCATTTTTGTAGATTGAGTTATCGTTGAAGATCTGAAAAAGGTTGGAATTGCGAAGCGGATGAATGCGACTGAAGATAAGGAAGAAAGAAAAGGAAGGGAGAGAAGCAAGTTTCAAGTCTGATCAAAGCGACAGGGAAATTCCGGTTGGCAAGCGCTTGCAGGAGGTGACAATCTACAAAGCGCGTAAAGTGTTAGAATCAGCGTAATCACCAATGATTAGCACTTTACTTCATTAAATTAATTGATATAGGGAGAGAGAATTTATAGTCGTCTTTGACTTCAAATAAAAAAAAAAATCAATCTAAGACCGCGGGTGCTATCTGGCTGACTCAGCCCCCGGTTTTGCATACGTGGAGCCAAATATTCCCCTTCACTCATCTTGACTTTGTTCTCTCCACGTTTCTGTTTCTCTTTCTCTTTCTTCTCTTCCTTCCGGTTTCAAGATGACTCGCTTTGGTTTCCTCTCTCTGGCTCTACTGTCTCTCCAGGCTTTTGTTGGCACCGGCTTTGCTGCTGTATGTCTTTCGTAATTTGTCTCATGGACCACACCACGTCGTGTGACTCAATTGACTAATTGTTCGGTGAACTCCTAGGATGCTGAGAATACTGAAGCAGAGGTTCCCGCCTTGGCCGTCTCAGCTCAGGCGTCTTTCCCTGCTTCCGAGATATTCGGTATCAAGCTTGTCAACGGTCACCCTACCCAGGCACTGATCGCCATCTCCAACGATGAGCCGAACCCTATCACGGTGAACTTTGTTGGTGGTAGCCTCCGGAACCCCGATGATCAGACTCAGATTGTCCGCAACTTGACTGCTACTCGTTACGCTATCGAGGTTCCCGCTGGCGAGAAGGAGACAATCAGCTACAGTTTTGCCACCGAGATGCACCCCCAGGATCTCCTGATGACTCTTTCTGCCATTATTTCGGACAGCGAGGGCCGTTTGGTTCCTATCGTTGCCCACAATGGCACCGTTAGCATCGTGGAGGCGGATACCAGCATCTTTGACCCTCAGATGTAGGACCCCCTACCCCCGTTTACCATAGTAGTGTAAGGGCACTGGGACTAACAATTGCCATCAGCATCTTCCTCTACTTCTTCCTCCTGGCCTGTGTTTCTGGCACCGGTTACTTCTTCTACACCGTTTGGGTCGCTCCTTACTTCCCCCAGAAGCGCAAGTCCGGAAAGACCAGCGAGAAGCGCACTCAGGGTGGCTCAAAGCGCGTTGAGACCCCTGTTACCGAGGAGCCTTCCAGTGCTGCTGCAGTATCTTCTGCCAGCGCCTACAACGCTGATTGGATTCCCTCTCACCACATCAACCGCCCCGAGGCCCGCAAGGTCAAGGGCCGCTCTAAGGCCCGTGCGTAAATGCACACGCAACAGTCATGTTGCGGATGGAGGAAAGAGACAATTCTGTCCAATGTATATCATTGCCGGAGTTTTTGTCTAGTGTGAGGGCATCATTGGGTACGTGCTGGAAATGCACCGGCCCCTACTGCTTGTCGCAGGAGACATGTATATCTACCAGATAGAAGATTTTGGCCCAGTTTAGCTCCCACGGACGCCAAACAGGATCACTTTTGGAGAGTTTAATCCAATATATATACCATGCTGTGCCTGTTTTGGCAGTACTGGTATATCTTCGGAGGCACGCCGATAGCTCACAGTTTCTTCCATTCTTTAAACTCCTGCTCCAGATGTTGCTTCAATTCTGCAAACCGATTCCCAAAGCCCCTGCCGCAGCGCCAGCAAGTAAAGTCTCGCTTTAGATACCCTTCTTCTGTCGGATTCCGTCGCACATCATCTTCCGCTAGCGGGAAGTCCTCGATTGGCACGAAGAATGGTGTCGAAAAGCTATTGTAGTGTTTCCGGTGCTTCAAGCGCTCGCTATACCTATCTACCGATAACACATGAACATGCAAATGGTTCATGGATGGTACAGCATGCACCCCGACCACAATCTCCTGTTCCCAGTCCCGACCTTGCGGTAGCTTGTTGGGCGGCGGATCAGCGGTCAGCGCTGCCTGTCTCGTCTGCTCTTGTGCAGAGTCCTTCCCATATTTGCGTCGCAGCTCGCTCGCTGCCAATTTGCGGAGTGTTCTAGTTTCGGCCTTAACTTTTGCTAGGAACTCAGCGTCCTCGAACGCATCAAATGGATGCATGCGCGTTTTGGTCTGATCGCGAGGGAGAAGGAGGAGGTGTAGCGATGACTTTGGGAACATATCGTGGATCGCCACAAAGTCATCATTGTGGTAGACTACGACATCGGGGGCGTACGTCTCAGGCCTTGCGATGTAAGCGCCTAGTCCGTCTCGAACGCCAAATGCAGTCTTGCCTTTAGCCGCATTGCGAGCAGATGGGGTTTTAGTCGCGTGCTTGGGTTGCTTGCTTTTGGGGGCCAGGAGTTCGGTAACTGTCAACCCGATATGTCAGTCGAGATGTTTTCAGTGACAAGAGTCTGAGTATCTTTACAAGCGTTTCTCTTTTCCGATGTCCCAGTTTGCTCCGAAGGCTCACCCTTGCTAGGATTGGAGTGCTCCCCAGACATGATGGGTACTGTAAAAAGCTTGACTTGTGTTCACGCAGTAGATATTAGCTGTAGCATTGCTTTAAAGCAACAAAATCCAAGTCTCACATCGGTGGACTGAGTAAGAGTACAATATATGCGCCTAGTGGGACTTAGGTCTCCTATGGTCACTGTACTCCTCCGTATGCTCCCCGCAACCCCAAAACGGTTTAGTGCGGGTCGCTCATTTGCCTGAGACTCCAAAAGTTATCTTTTGCGCAAAACACTCACCACACACAAAATGCCACCTAAGAAGAAAGGCGATGGCAAGGGTGGCCCCAAACCGGGTACAAAACAAGCCAAAGCTGTCGCGGAGAAAGCTGGCGAAGCGAAGAAGCAAGTGCCGGAGGAGCCCAAGAAACCGTCCGTGAAGGATGTCATTGGAGGCGCATCATGGACAGGCAAGCTACCGGTCAATATGTTGGCGGAGCATTGCCAGAAGCAAAAATGGGAAAAGCCTGAGTACAGCATGGTAATCAAATCTCCCCATGGCATTCGTCCCATGTCTACAAACACATATACCAAACCAAGTACTGATAGATTGGACCAATTGCAGATTAAAACCGCCGACGGCTTTGTATCGTCTGTAACGATGAAGAAGATAGATCCCAAAACCAAGGAATTGATTGTGATCCCACCAATTAAGCTCCCTCTCTCCCATAAACAACTCGCTGGGCAGCCAACAGCCCTCGAAGCGCGCCATTTTGGTGCAGCGTTTGCTCTGTTCCGAGTATGCAATATGCGCAATATTCATATGATGATGCCTCCAACATACAAGAAATTGTGGAAGGAGGAATTTGCAGAAATCAAGGCAGCAGATACTCGGGAAGGCAAGGGCTGGATGTACGAGGCAGATCCATTCTTGGCCAAGCAAGAGAGAGAGAGCGCGGCCGCCGACTTGGCAAAGAAGCGAGCAGATCGTGAAAAAGCCCAGGCGAAGGAGAAGGCTTCAAATGCGGAATTAGGGCTAGGAAATGGGGATGCCAGGAGTAAACGTATCTGGTCGCAAGCACCTAAGGTGGATATGGGTACACGGATTCGACGAGACATCGAAGGCCTTTTGCGGCAACATACAGCTTGGAACCCATATGGCGTGAAGATACCGGAAAAGCAAAAGAAAACCATTGCGGACGAATTCACCGGTCTAGGATTCCGTCGCAGCCATGTGGAAGAAGCCATAGCGGAATGCAAAGACCGCGAAGAGGTCTTGGAGTGGCTTCTCATCTATGTTCCTGATGATGACCTCCCACGGTGGTCTCTGCCGGAAGGATATTCAGCTGGAGTAAGTCTTGGTTCTGCAGACCTCGCTCGTGAGGCCAAAATCAAACGACTAGCATCTGTAGGCTATCCAGCCGACATGTGCTCGCAAGTCTTGGACAGCAATAATGGCGATGAATTGGCGGCGGCTGAGCATTTGCAAGGCACTTTAGTCCATGGAACTCAATTCTCGGCCCCATCAGTAGCCGACGAAGACGAAGAGGCTTGGGCAGAAGAGGCGACTACGCTAGAGGCCATCTTTGGAGAACGCTATCATTGCATATCAGCCAAAGTCTGCGAGATCAAGAGCGAGGCATCGGAAATTCCACCGAACACAATTTTCCGCTTCCAAAGACCCTCCGCCCATTATCCCACCACGCCTCCTATTATATCAATTCAGGCCAAGGGCGTCCCAGCTTATATACGTCTTAGTGCGATCCGTCGGGCGGTGCAGTATGCCCAGGAAAACTTTACGGGTGAATCTATGATTTTCAACATTATGGATTGGCTAGAAGTCAACCTGCCGAGCATCATGGAGAACCCAGGTAAGCTGCGAGAAATTTCCGCCGTGACGGCTTCGTCGGCGGCTGAGACTCACGAGATTCCTGTGCGGTCTGCTCGTAAGAATCGCAGAGGTATTGACTGGACGGTCGACTCGCCACGAAGCTTGGCTATTCGAGATGCTTGGGAGGCCAAGCAAGATACTGCGCCACAGATCGAGATGACCCGGAAAAGAAAAGCCCTCCCTGCATGGAACATCCAGCATGAGATTATGCACGCTATCAACTCAAACCAGGTGACTATTATCTCGGGTGAGACTGGTAGTGGTAAAAGTACGCAATCAGTACAGTTTGTGCTAGATGACATGATCCAGCGAGGACTAGGAGGCGCTGCGAACATCATCTGCACGCAGCCACGACGAATCTCAGCCCTGGGTCTTGCCGACAGAGTCAGCGATGAGCGGTGCGCAGTAGTCGGCGATGAAGTCGGATATGTGATCCGAGGCGAGTCGAAAGCCAAGCCTGGTTCCACAAAGATTACTTTCGTGACTACTGGTGTCTTGCTACGCCGAATCCAGTCGGGTGGCGATGCGGATGGCAATGTTGCAAGCTCCCTCGCAGACGTATCGCACGTGGTGGTCGATGAGGTCCATGAGCGAAGTTTGGATACAGACTTCTTATTGGCACTGCTGAGGGATGTTCTAAATTACCGCAAGGACCTGAAAGTTATCCTCATGAGTGCCACTCTCGATGCTGGCATCTTCATGAGATACTTTGGCAGTCAGAGATCTGTTGGATTAGTGAACATTCCCGGCCGAACATTCCCTGTCGAAGACTACTACTTGGATGACGTTATACGGTATACATCATTTGCGCCAGAACTTACCGAGGGCTATGAAGATGAAGAAGAGCTGCCTCGGGGCGAAGAAACACTTGGAAAAGCCCTGCGGAGCTTGGGTATGGGAATCAATTACGATTTGATCGCAGCAACTGTCGAATACATCGATGCTCAACTAGGAAACCAGCCAGGAGGCATCTTGATTTTCCTCCCTGGTACTTTAGAGATTGATCGGTGTCTGAACGCCATCAAGAGGATTCCCAACATGCATCCCCTGCCATTGCATGCCTCCTTACTCTCAGCCGAACAACGGCGAGTATTCCAGAGCGCACCGAGAGGAAAGAGAAAGGTTATCGCCGCTACAAACGTCGCAGAAACATCAATTACAATCGAGGATGTTGTTGCCGTCATTGACACCGGTCGAGTAAAGGAAACGAGCTACGACCCCAAAGACAACATGGTCCGTCTCCAAGAAGTTTGGGCATCACAGGCCGCCTGCAAACAGCGTCGTGGCCGAGCAGGTCGTGTTCGTTCGGGTATCTGCTACAAGCTATACACCCGCAAAGCCGAATCAAACATGGCCCCACGACCAGATCCAGAAATTCGCCGTGTTCCCCTAGAGCAGCTATGTCTATCAGTCAAATCCATGAAGGGCATCGATGACGTCGCCTCCTTCCTAGCCAACACCATCACCCCGCCAGAAAGCATAGCCGTCGAAGGTGCACTGAACTTCCTGCATCGCGTAGGCGCTCTAGACCACGACAGACTCACAGCCCTGGGACGTTACCTCTCTATGATTCCTGCGGATCTCCGCTGCGCCAAGCTCATGATCTACGGCTCCATCTTCGGCTGCATGGAACCCTGCCTCACAATCGCAGCCATGTTAACAGTCAAGAGCCCCTTCGTCTCACCACGCGATAAGCGCGAAGAAGCAAACGCCGCCAAAGCAAGCTTCTCCCGCCAGGGCGACGGCGACCTCCTCACCGACCTCTCAGCATACCAGGCCTGGTCCGAGCGATCCCGCTCCCAGGGTGGTTACTGGGGCACCCAGTCATGGTGTGCTGACAACTTCCTCTCACATCAGACGCTGCGCGATATCTCCTCCAACCGCGCGCAGTTCATCACCTCCCTCAAAGACGCAGGCATCCTACCAATCCAATACTCCGATTCGTCGGCTTCGGCCTGGAACCGCCACGCAACCAACCGCAACTTGATCCGCGCCCTTATTGCCGGAGCCTTCCAGCCACAGGTTGCGCAGATCTCATTCCCGGATAAGAAGTTCGCAAGCTCGGTTACGGGTACCGTCGAGGTGGACCCGGATGCTCGCACTATCAAGTACTTCAATCAGGAGAATGGTCGTGTCTTCATTCATCCCAGTTCCATCCTCTTCTCTTCAGCGGGCTACCCCAGTGCGGCGGCGTATCTCAGCTACTTTACCAAAATGGCTACCAGCAAGGTCTTCATCCGCGATCTCACTCGTGAGTTACCTCCCTTCTATTACTCTATTTATCACCTTCTAACATTATTTTTGGGCAGCTTTCAACGCATACTCCCTACTTCTCTTCTGCGGCTCTATAGAACTCGACACTGTGGGTCGTGGACTAGTTGTAGACGGCTGGCTCCGTCTACGCGGCTGGGCCCGGATCGGCGTGCTTGTTTCGCGACTTCGCACCATGTTAGATGAGGCTCTTACAGAGCGGTTTGATAATCCTGCGGTTGTATCTGACGGCAGTAGTCTTGGTGATAAAGTGATCGAGGCTGTTAAAAAGCTGATTGAATTTAATGGGCTTGATCAGTGATCTGCATAGGTAGGCTATTGGGTTGAAAATATATATCCGCATATATCTTAGATGGGGAAACAGCCGAAATGATTTACGAGAGACATCTAAAAGACATCTAAAACGCACAATGAAATATTATCTTGTATAGAACGTGCCTAATATCGTCGTGTTGAGCCAGGTAAATTAGATCACCCAAGCCTTACACCGTCATGGATAGAGGCCGTATATGTGGCCGACTAGGTGACCCTGTAAAGATACAATGATTCGATGTACTGTACGGAAATTTTCCTCCACGAGTAGTAGGCAGTTCATACCAACTGCAACATCATATTCCTTCTCTGGCTGCTAGCCCTGGAGCCCTGGAGAGCCCAGGGAGATGAAGATGAGCAAGAACCAAAGACCGCTTCTCCGTCCCTTATAGCTCGTAAATTGCTTTCATACAGGGGGAAGACGCAAGGCTGCATCCAACAACCACTTCCAAATCTCCTAACTGGGGTCACATGTACCTGGATGGAATGTGGTTACCCAGGACAACGTTCATAGAAATATGACGTCATATTTGACTACTAGTACACTTTTAGAACATACAGAGGGTAGCACGCAGCCAGTCATGTGACTTATGTAGATAGAGAGTGTATCAACGGTCCCCAGCTACCACCACTAAGCCATCCCCAGAAAAAAAAAAGAAACAAAAAAGAACTTCAAACGCCGGCGAGAAGGATATCTTCGTCAACGCCTTCCGATCATCTAATCGCATGTCCGGAAAATGGTGGCGTCAAGTCATCTCGTCATCAGCCCAGTAGAGCTGGGAGGAAATCAGAAGCCAGAAAAAGAAAATGACAAAATGAAGTCGAATGAAAAGACTGGAATCACGCGCAAACGCCATGCATAAAAGAACCAGCTCACCGGTTCATTCCGAAAAAAAAAAGGCAAAAAAGAGAACGCCGATGTTGACCGAAAGAAAACAGGAAATAAGTTTAGAGATCGTGGATGGTGGGGAGAACCAGCTTTGGTATCTAAAAGCCACCGGGGTATTAGTTTAGGAATTAGTAGTTTGCATAGCCATCCAACCGATCTGGGTCATTGAGATCAGAAGGCTCAGGCAAAGCAAAGTCGGTGGCAAGCTCAGCTTCAACAAACATCGCGGCACGCTTGTAACGACGATCCGAATATTTTTCAAATATGGCGGCGTGATGACGGCGAGGGTTTTCGCAGCATTCCATCAACGTGGCTATGACCGGAATCAACTGGGAATAGAGGTAACCACTGTAAAAGGCATGTGCTGGTGTCTATTTCTGGAATTAGCAATGTTATGATAAAGTAGACAGGAAGGTAAACATACCCAGTTGCCCTTGTTAAGCAGCATACGAGACAGGCAGTGGGCTCCGGCAGCAATAAAGCTGGGAGGAGTGCAGACAAATCGCTCGTCCATAATAGCCAGCTCAATGAAGTACTTGGCTACAGTACGAGTTTCCAGGTCATATTCATCGGCCTTGCTAGTGCGGCGAAGGAAGCTCATAGGGCCTGGCCATCCAAGATCGAAGTCGAGAATACTGAGCATGAATCGTTCTGCCTTCAAGATCTCTTCGACGGAATATCCACTGTCAACCATGTAAACGATCTCTTGCACAGACGGAGCTGTAATCTCCTCGTACTTTGCGGCAATGAAGATTGCTGTCGCACCAACAAGCTGCAACTTGCCCATAGAAACGACCTTGTACGACAAGAAACGGTCGATATAATTGACTGTGAGGAACAAAGTTTCAGGGAGCAAGTTGAAGCGTTGGTGAACTTGAACGAGCCAGTCCATCAGAACCGAGCGCATCGACCACTGAAGCTCGGACTGACGGGACATGTAATCGTGGGCCGGGAGCATATCGATCTAGAAACTTCGTTAGTTCAACTGTTATCATGCAATCGAAGAACAAAAACATACCTCTTTCTGCCTTAGATGAAGGAAAATCTCGTCGTTATACTCCGCAACCATGGTTGTATCTAACAGTTCCTCCTCAATGTCTTCGGGTGTTTGCTCGCTTTCGACAATTTCTTTCGCCCGGAACATCTCACGAAAGGTTATATTGTTCATGGATGGATAAATGACGGCCGTGGTTCCATCAGTGTTGTCCCCGTAAGAGGAGTAGGTAGGCGCAACATGATACTCGGTATCATCCCCATCCCATTCCTCGGGCTCTGATACCGCCGACACAGGTTCCTTGACATGTACGTGCTCTTTAAGATCCTCAGTTTCGGATACAGTGGCATCAGACTCGACGAGGCGCGCACTATCCACCTTCAACTCATTTGAAGGCTCCGCCACTGTAGCATTCGAGTGACGCCCTTTCTCCATTCCCTTGTAGCTAGCCTTGACTTCCGTTTCTGTGTTTGTTTCCTTGGATGCGTCTTTTTCGGGGACGGTATGCAGTTGATCTTTGAATACGGGGTTGGTTCGCTTAGACTTATGTGTCAATTGCGCTTTGCCGGCGGGATTCATTGGCTTTGCTGTGGCAATGCTTTCAACAATGGCCCTGGTTCCCGACAAGGTCATGCGGCGCTGAGCTGGCTGGGACAGGCCAGGAGCCTTAACCTCAACCAATGCAGGCTTTCCACCAACGACAGAGTCATCCCGGGTCGCCCGGCGCATATCCTTGGTATTGGAGACATCAACAAATGCACGTCGGCTAGCATTGTTCTGAGCCATCATACTCAGAGCAGGACTCGACTTGTTCCGTTGATGGATTACCTTGTGGTTCTGATTGTGGAGGGATGGAGGGGGCACATTCTCATCCCCTACAGCTCGGAAGCGCTGTGGCTGTAGTCTCAGTTAGCATCAGTACCTTCAATTTTGGTCAAAGATGAAGAAATCACAAGCCATGAGTGGGCGGAATACATGATGATGCGATATTGGACGCGGCCCTGTTTACGCGATTGACGCGCAAGAATCGAGGAATCAAGTAAATCAGAGTATCAGAATCAATATAACTCACCTTTGCATCCATAACGAAGAACAATGAAGTTTCAAGAGGTTGTATCGGGTCAACGTTGAAGTTGGTCGAGAGGAGTGTTGTTTACTTTTTGCTGAGTTGGGGGAGGGAGTTGCCCTGTGTGATTGGCTGATCCAGGCAAAACAAACAGTTCTTTTGGACCCGCTCAATCGCACCTTCCCGATTCTCGTCACCTCAACGTTACTTTGACGTTACTTAGAACGTTACCCAGGCAGCACTGGGAAGTCCTGGAGAGAGAACTTGACCGAGATGGATGAGCGAAGATAGTGACAGTTATCACGATGAAGGGAGGTTGTCCCTTGTCCCTGATCTGCCTTGTTGACAATGTACGCTATTCCTAAATCAGAAACTACGGCCGCGCACACCTTCCTGCCGCGCAGACTACTACGATGCATCGGAAATTTTGTTTTGTATGCAAAACATTACATGTATGTATAAAGGGAGAAAGTATGTGAACTTATTTTAGCATGATTTCCATTTTAGTCAAAAGTTTGGATTAGGATTATCGACCCAGGTAGATCCATATGACTCAGCCACCTTTAACTACCTAGCCCTGGAGGCTCTTTGTTCGATATTTCTTAGGTTTTCGATGTACTCCTTGTAGTGAGACTATATATAATGTAGAGAGCCCCCGGGGCCTGGAGTGTTGCTTTCCATGCTTTCAAAGGTTATAGTCAGAAAAGTGGTTTCCGCCTTTTTTTTGCCGTCAACCTATAAAACTGACACAGAATGATATCTGAGAAAACTACTAAAGATACCACTGGGAAGATCACTTTTATACATGACATAACCTGATAAGATCAACCCTGGAAATTGATATCAACCAAGGTTCCAATGCTGGAACTTCCCGAGGTCGGGACTCGGACGTTAAGCTTAGAAGTTTGTTTTGTTTGTATTTTGTTTGCACTATTTGTTATAATTCTGACGTCATTAACCTTATCGGCGCGTCTCCTTCAACGTCCATCGAACATCGTTTTCAACTAAAGAACACCACAAGCCAAGTGAAAAAGTGTAAAAAATTAACTGCTAATTTATTCAGTAATAATACATAACTGCTGCTAACATTATCTTAAAAATATTTAAATTTCCGAATTCAATTGCCCTTTAATGGCATGATCTAGATCTAACGCGCTATCTACACGAGACCACGTGAGAGCCACACCGCCGTCACAAGAGGTGGGACACCCGGAATCAAGCGGTTCCTGTTTGGCAGCTTTGTGATCAACCGAAACCCACTCCTATCATTGCGACGGTTGTCGGCTTTTTCAGTCTCGCTAGGTGATGTGGGGTTTCATACGAGAGGAAATGGGCATTTTCGGAGTAAATTATAGATTCCCACGTTCTCGGGTCCGATGTTCATCGTCAATTCAATATCCAGACCTTTTGCGCCCAGTCTCTCAACATCACCGCCTGACTCCACAAAGCAGAAATGTTCCCCCCTTTTCATCGGTTATTTTCTTGAATCAATAAAACTGTGCACGGATTTGCTATATTCCGAACTCCCTTTCGTAGCCAGGTTCCAAGGAGCAAGGAATGCTCTGTAACCTCCGGGATTCCCTTTTTTAACCTTACGTAGGTCCCGAGGAGGGGTAAATCCAAGTTGCAGATCATGCGAGACAACTCTGGAGAGTCATGCGATATTATGGAAGTGATTATTTTGGAGGATTCAAACAGTTTGGTTCACTTGATGTCCTTTCGGTTGAGTATAAATCTACAAGTCTGGTCCCATAGGCGGATCAACAAAAACGTCTTATCAATCGTCCTACCTTGGCTATTTTGATATTAACCCATATTATAAGTGTCGCGGTATCTAGCATTTCCCAATCCGCATAGTAAATGAGTAATGCGACAAGGGCGGTGGTGGGAAAATGACTGGACAATGTCAATTCTGTCCAAGCGCACACCTCCACAATAGACCTAAAAAAGAGGGCATGGGTTGCTACGTGGTCTAGAAACTAGCTGCAAGCCCATAAATCCATTGGGCGCTATTTCTTTATCTCATTCTGCGCCCTTAGCCCTCGATACCTTATATGCTTGTGGCGACAGAGTGTACCTAAGCTACCTTTGTGTGAAGCGCTGCATCCCCCCCCCCTCCTCAACAGTCTTAGGTAGCCCACACTCGCTTACACTTCATCCCTGAAGATTCAAAGATCGGATTATATTCTAAATTTCGTACATTATATGCAAAAAGGAGGGTTAGACAAAGTGCTCCGTCACTCGGCGCAATGGCATCCGGCTTGCGACAGCTTTTGCGCCTTTGCGAAATGATATAGAATTGGGATGGCTTCGCACATAGTTATTTTTTTCAATGCATAGAATAGTTGCAAATCAAATGAATATTTTATAAAGATTCATTAATGTCATGGAATGTGATGGCTACTTCGATGGGCGCCGGAAGCGCAAATCGCCATGTCACCGACCCAGGCAGGCCGTTTTCTCGCTTTAGGTGAAACCATCGTACGCACCCACCTCAACCTTCTTCCTTCCATCCAACAACCCCTCGAACAAATCGCCATCAGTACCATCGACAGTATTGAGTATGTATCTCTACTCTTGTTCAATCTCACTTTTTACTCCCCTGACCCCGTTTCGATCCTGGAAGTGCCATCGCTGACATAGCCTCAGCGCTTCGTAGAATCGTCAATCCCCTCTCGACCTCGACCGAACCCATCCTCCGATCCCTCGCCCTACCTTGGTCAATCCAGATATCTGCGATACTGGAGCACTCTGTTTGAGTAGAATTAGGTGTGTTCAAGTCTCTATCTTTTCTTTTCCGAGTCATTTCGCTTGCTTCCCCCCAAGCCCGCTCCCAAGGTCGGCCGGACTCGGTTAGCGACACATTCATCCATCATCATCCAAGACAATATTCATCCTTATTGTATATTTGAGCGCTTGGAACCCATTGTGTTAACTCCCGTGGTTTGTTTCCTTCAGGTTGCCCACGTTTACCCTTTCAAGTCGCTTCCGGCTCTTGCGACTGCAGATTCCCCTCCCACCTCCATCGAAGGTTTTGCTTCGCCAGTTCCTATATATTAAGACCCGGGGGTGGTCCATCCACCAGCCTGATCTTTCGAATACAACAATTGTGGTAGGTTTGATGGATTCTTCCCTCTACACCTGCCCTTCCTCTGTGTCTTGCCATGGATCACATTCCCGCCCTCTACGGCACACAAGCAGTGGGTTGATGCAGTCTTTGGTATAGCAGTGGAGTATTCCTCAATTTGGAACACTTTGATATGCAAGCGGTTCAGCATGAAGGGCTCTCTGGCCTGGTTGAGCAGCCAGGTCTGGCAGACTCTGCTACTGTAGGTCGAGACCCGTCGCTTAAAGGCCCAGCACCCAAGAACATCGCCTTTGAGTTGCTTCTCGATGAGAACTCCAAAGTCCGCGCTCGTATTCCGATGCGCGTTCAAATCTATCCCCATGATACCACGGATTCGATCGTCACGACGGTCAAAAATTTCTATGGAATATATGACGGTACTGCCAGTGGGGTCAGCTTCGAGGATGAACATGGGACAACCCTCATTGCAAGGTACGAGAATCTCAAGAACAACAGGACTGTATACGTGCGAGTCATCCCCATCCAACCATACGGGGATCACTTCTATAACGGCTTCAATGTCGAGACTCGCAAGCGGCCCAGTCTGGCAGAGCCTTTCCAGATGGTAGATGGCATGGCGCCAGTGTTGGATCAGCCAGCACGACCAGCCTCCCGGCTTGCGAGAAAGCGCAGCACCTCTCCGTCGAACCGGAGTCTTCGCAGCGCTTCTCAACACAAGCCTCCCTCGCGCGCGGGCAACAAAAGTCGCGCCTCGAGCATCCATGGAGGTTTCCATGATGATGATGGCTATAGCGATACCGAGAGCGCTTACTCTCGCAGGGCTCGCAACGAGCTATTTGCTAGCTCTGATATCAGTATGGAGAATATACTACAAGATGGTCGTCGGAAACGACCTAAGTTCGATAGCTCTGTAAGTGGCTCATGCGGGAGGACTTGTTCTTTTATTAGAAACTGTCACTAACCAGTCTGTTCCCCTTAGGAGCTTCCTCTGTTCGTTCCTCCCCAAGTGCCCCTCACTACCTCCACCTCCTCCATCTCTCCTCAACGGCGATCGATTGGCCAGGAAGGCGCTGGGTCGCCTTTCGCACGCCCACCGCAACGCCCGTATAGCTATCAGCATGCGCTTCCATCGCCCCAAAGCTATGGCCACAGCGAATATGGCGTGCACTCCGGACGCAATACGATATATGCGACTCCCGTGGTTCCGGACCATTCAAATCGCATGCGCGACACGGGAGCCTATAACAACTCGGCTAGCCGAGCAAATGGTCCAGGTGTGTTGCCCACACCTGACCCCACCATTGCAAGCTGCATCTCCGATGAGGATGTGGCGATGCAATTGATACGTTTAGGTGATGCGTCCAATTTTTCTCATGGACGCACCTCTGCCTCAACATTGGATGATGCCTTCAGTGGTGCCGCTGACGCTGCCTCGTCCACTGGTGCTACCAGCGATGGGGAAGCCTTCAGCGAGGACGAGGATGACTTGCCAGCTCGTCGCCAGAGGTTGGACTCGAGCCCAATGCTACCGCCAGGAACCATCAAGCGCCACCTCAAGGGCTTGGATGACATCCTTCCCAGCGCCGATAGCAGCGACCACAGCTCAGATGGTGCAGATGATGGCATCAAAAGCGAAGCTGAAGAGGATATCCTTTACAAAGAATTTGCACCCAAGGCAAAGAAGCCGAAGAGCCGCCCCACATCCTTCAAGGTTCGAAGCCAGAAACCTGCACCTGCAAAACTGAACAAGAGTAAGGTTTCTATGCCAGCTCCTCGCAAATCATCCGAGAAGTCAGCTGCACCTGTTCCACCTCTCAGTCCGGCTTCCTCCCGTAAGGTCTCGGGGGGCTCGGTCAACTTCCAGCACCAGCTCGGTGCGGATGAGGAAGACCTTTCCACCAAGCCCCGCTGCCAGCGATGCCGCAAGAGCAAGAAGGGCTGTGACCGTCAGCGCCCCTGTGGACGCTGCAAGGATGCCGGCATTGGAATTGACGGTTGTCTTAGTGAGGATGAGGGTAATGGTCGCAAAGGGCGCTACGGTCGCCATATGGGCGTCCCCGTGAAGAAGAACGGGGAAGAGATAGATGAGGACGAAGAGTTTTCATTAACGCCTGCGACCCCTCCTATCTCTTCGTCTACGGCAGACAAGAATAAGAAGCGGAAGCGCTAGTGGAGCTACGGGTTGCGACTGTTCCCGCTATCTCTAAGCGCCGAACTGTTCGCACGTCCAATCTCCTTGGTGACCATGGGATCCCTCATTCATCCATCCGTCCCCACTCTCTCACTCTCTCTCTCCCTCTTCTGGCCAGCGCCAGAGACAGTCCTTATACTAGCATACTACCATCATTTGCCTTTCTCACTCCACATTCACTTCACTGGTTACAAGCCATGCTCCCTCCATTATACACTGCCAAGCGGTTGATCTGTTGTTGATGTTGTGTCCCTTCGGCGTCTTAGTGTTTCTGCGGACTATATGCTTCTTGTCACATCCACTCACTTATTCGGAATCAATGCTACTGGGTTATTTATCATTGTCTATGTCAGTTTCATGTATGTGATGGACAGTGGACTAGTGGCGGAAGTATTATATACTTCCGGAGGGCCAGGTCATAGGGTGACAAGTTGTAGAAGATGTACTGATCTTGCTTTATTTTGTCTTCTGAATAGTAAGGGCGTCAATGGAAGGGTTTCAATTTTTATTGTGCACTTCAATATTCCAAATTGCATTTCGTAGGTATCGTCGACAATAGAGATAATAGAGACTCAATAGACCTTTCGTCAATGGTATGGTGGGATGGTCACATGACAAGGGCGGTGTGATTGGCCCCGCAACTTTTTCGAAGAGCTCAACTTTCTCGAACCTCAAAAAGCTCACATTTCTTTTACGAAACGGTGCTTTGCTAATTTTCTGTGGGATTGTCGTGTGTCACTGGAAGCAGAACCTAGATATCCCAACGCTTAGTCTGCATGTAACGCAGTGCGAAAACCAGCCCTCTACACGAACTTTTCTCGAACTCCCAGCAAGCCGCATTCAGCGCCTTATCCGAAAAGCGACGACATGCCTCCCAAAGCTGCCCCTCGAGGAAGCGCCCGTGGAGGGGCCGCCAGCCGTGGTGCCCGAATGGACACAGCTACTCCGGCTCCCGCTGGCGGGGGCACTGCGCAAAATTCTCCCACGGCAACCGGCGCGCCCGGTCCTACAAGTCGAGCTTCAGTGCAACGGCTTCAATCACTGAACAAACGCACACCTTCTGGGAGCATTGCACCTAGCAGTCGACCACAGTCAGCGCTTGGTGGCGAACCGCCCAAGCCAGTCATGAAACACAAACCGAAGGCCGTTGGGCGTCGCAGTAAGCAGGAACGAGAGGAAATAGAGCGACTGGAGCAAGAACGATACAATGAGCGTCTAAAGGAGGCTGCTGCTATTCAGCGCGGTCGTGGTGGTACTGCTCGTCGTGCTGGGTTCCGTGGTCGTGGTGGACCCATGGCTATGGGCATGAGTGGGTTTGGTGGACGAGGCGGCAGGCGAGGCCGTGGAGGTGGAAGTGGAGGCGGTGGATATGGAGGAGGCCCAGGTGGCGCAGGTTCAGGATACAATCGGTCTGTTCTCACTGGGGGCAACCGTGGGCGCGCATATGACTCTTCAGACGACGAAGAGAGTGCACTCCGCGTCAGCATCGATCATATCAACCTCGATAGCGACGAGGAGGATTGGGATACACCGAAGGATTTCAAGGGAAAACAACCCAGCAGGTCGACCGGCGGACTTCGTCCCGTCCGTGTCGAGCGACATGAACACGAGGAAAGAGTCATCAGCGTCAACATGGAATCCAGCACGACCAGAACCGCCGATCTCCGCAAAAAAGCAGAGAAGGAGAAAGCTGCGAAGGATGTCGGCCGTACCCCTACCAAGGTCAAGCCGGAACCCCAGGACGACGACACAGCTATGCCAGATGTTATTCCACATGCGGATGACGATGACTTCCTTCCGGAGCATAACGTCCGTGTGCGCTCGGCTCAGAGTATGAGCCCAACAAAGAGGAGCACCACAGAGCTACGATCGACTCGACCTACACCTGAACCCGAACTTCCAGACCCACGCAGCCTACTTCACACTAAAGAGGAAATCGATGAATATGACAGACACATGGAAGATTTGGCCATCATCAGGGATCTTCTCGTCCCTAAGGAGCCAAAGAAGGCAACCACAGAAACAGAAGTCACCGAGGGAGCCGTCGAAGGTGCAATCGCCGCAACCGAAGGACAGGACGGCGATGGATCAAATGAAAAGAAAGAGGAAGAGGAAGAAGAAAATCCTCTACATGGCCAAATGTTCCTCATGCAATTCCCACCCATGACGCCGTGCCTCAGACTCGCTGGTTCCGCCGAAAACCAACCTGCAGCCGCAGCCGCAGCTCCCCAGAACGAGATCAAGCGCGAAGCAGGCGAGGAAGTGGAGATCGTGGAGAACACTAAACCAACCGAACCACAAGAAAACAGCGTCTTTACGGCCGGCCAGCCTTGGTCCCTACCCACAGGCCGTGTCGGGAAACTGAACGTACATCAGTCAGGCCGTGTGACCTTAGACTGGGGTGGAATCAGTATGGAGTTGGATCGTGGAGCACCGGTTGGTTTCGTCCAGGAAGCAGTTATCTTGTCGAAGGCGCCACCAGAGTCAGAGGAAGACACAGCGAAACATGTTTGGTCTATGGGCCAATTGTCTGGCAAATTCACAGTCACACCGAACTGGGATGAGATGCTTTGAACCCTCTACTCAAGGTACTTTATGATGAACGGAAAGAAATTCGAGCGAACTTATTACAGCAACCGTCTTGGTTGTTAACTCGACAATCGCTAAAGTTAGCTAGACTAGGGTGGTGTTTCTCTCAAAAGGATTCAATTTAAAGCCCCCTAATAGATTATATAACTAGTGCATATTAAAGAGAAGCTTTTTCTTGTCGAACCTATAATCTCGTGATCGAGTTTGTTTTTACAGTACTTTAAGTACCCGTTGATATATGTAGTCGGCCGTTCTCTTCATGTTCCAAGACTTCCTAATGGCCTAAAGGTCTAGGGCTAGTGATCCAGTTTGGTGATTTTGATATAGGCCTGGGAACTGAGGCACCAAAAATGCCAAGACTCAAGCTGCCCTGGACCAGCTAGCACGAACTTTGTTTGCGCGTGTCGAGTTCACATTTGACCACCATTAGATCTTCCATGCCCAAGAGCAATTACGATCGAGCACAAGCCACAGTTTCGCCCAATTCAACTGCACGCCTTGCCTCTACAATGCCTGCTTAGACCAAATCAAGGGTCTCTGGTGCTGCACGAACCTTCGCCATGTCGTTGCGCCCTCTCGGATATCAATGCAACCTATCCTACGCGAATTTCTTCCGCAATGAAGCGCGAACAAGATACACTATAACACAACACCTAAGATCCTTTTCCCGGTTACGCGACACCCATTGCACACATCACTGGTCTGTGACAAGTCCACACCATGCCAACAAACCTTCCTTTTCTTTACGGAGCTTTCTCAGCGATCTCTTGAGGCCTGCACACAACCTTCGGGGCCATGGCAAATGGCCATTGACTCAACAATGTCGCCATCAGACGACTTCTGCGGCGAAAGGCCCAGAGCTCTGCGTGCACTGCGGTGCAAAAACTATTCCCAAGGCTAGAAGACACGTTGAAGCTGGCAATCTTTCTAGCGGCTGGCACTGCAAAGCGTGTGTTCGGAACATCCGTGCCCATGGCCATCTACCAAATGAGGAGCAGCTTGAAGCCATCTCTCGGCGAAGACTAATCAGGGCGAGTGGAGAGGCAAGCAAAATAAGCCCGTGCAGGCACTGCGGCACGATGACTGCTCCCAGAAGTAGCCGTAAATTCATTGATACGAGTAACCCTTCTGCTGGGTTTCACTGCCGGACATGCGTTCGGCATTTCAATCATCACGGTAGCCTCCCAACCGAGACAGATCTTGCAGCGTTCGAGTACCGCAAACAGATGCGGAGTAGGCGTCCTACTGTTGCCTCAAAAAATAATACACAAGACACTACGATGAAAGATCCCACGACGCACAGCCATTCCAAGTCCGGCGATTCGAAGTCCCCCAAACAGATGAAACAGAGTCGCGGCGAATACCCCTGCATGCACTGCGGTGACAAAACCATCTCCAGCAGTAAGCGCAGGCTCGTTGAGCCCCAGAATCCGGCGGCAGGATACTACTGTCAGCCATGCACGCGGTCCCTACTTGAAACAGACGCCTTGCCAAGCTCTGTCAAGATTGCAGCGCTCAGAAAGCTCAGAGAGACCCGTTCGCAAAGCAATCCCCGAGTCTTGAAAAGCCCTTGTCTCCACTGCGGTGAGATCACCGCCCCCAGCAGCAAGCGCCGACTCGTTGAGTCGAAGAACCCGCATTCGGGGTATTACTGTCGCGCCTGTGCGGACTGTTTAATCGAAACCAATTCCTTGCCCAGCGATATACGCCTCGCAGTTCGCAGAGCGCGAGAGCAGGTTAGGTTAAAGAACTTACAGGCCAGTCAATCCAAAGAGTCGCAATCCCCGGTTTCTGAGGGAGAAGTTACACCAAATGCGCCCACGGACAAGACCGCAAAGGCTTGTGCGCACTGTAAGACCGAGGAAACCACGTCGGGCCCCTGAACCTGGACATGTGTTCTTTGTGCGTTGGGTATTTTGATATCAACGGCTCATTTTTGAGGCTGGGGGGTACCTTTGCGCAGGTACGACAACAAAACCTGTGCGCATTAGAGCGGATATCAACGCTCGACGGATTACCAGTGCAAGGCACGGCGTCCTCGGAGCCCCAGTATTAGAAAATCAATGATTCACCCTGGTGCCAAGTGCAAGGGCTCTCTGTAAATGGACTTTGGTCCCAATATATGCGCGTCGTCATCCTCCCTGCGGGGAGTGGTCTTATTCGCTCGAATTTGGGTTCTGCATTGACGATCATTTTGTGGCGTTATCCGTTAAGCCTCGGGATGTCTTGGAACTATAATTAGAAATGGAATTGTATTGTATTTAGAGTATAGAGTATGAAGTATGGAGTAGTAGATAGTACAATATTCAATTATTGGGGATTACCCTAACATCAAACCCGTTTTAAAGAAATTAAAGAATTAAATAAACATGGAATATTAAGTACTGGAGCCTCAGACACGGGAATCTCAACCAATCAAAATCCAGCAAATTCAGGGAAACAACTCCACTTGGACGGCTCAGGGACCTCCAGAGCCAAAGAGAGCCAAAAAGCGGCTCGGCCAATCAATCCCTCGCCCTGACTGGCTTCATCTTGATTTTCCCTTAATTTCCTTTCCCCCCCCCCCCCTGCTGTTTCTTTTTTTTTTTTTTTTCGGATTTCTTCTTCTTCTTCGTTTTCTCTATCCTCCTCTACGGCTAAGAGTGAGTTGGATTCGACAATCTTGAGAGAAAAAAAAAAGGCGAATCTCCCCGGAACACTACCATCTCCCGTGTTTGGCCCCTATTCCCCCGATTGCCTGACTATAATCCAACCCACTCGAGCTAAAGTGGCATGCTCTGAGACCCTCACAACTCATATATTCGTGAACCGAGAGACTTGTCCGAATAACAACATCACTTCCAAACTCCCCACGTCTGATCTACAGCACCTGTTGCCTTGCCAACTCCAGACCCCCCGTCATCTACGACCCGCACCATCAAGCTTGGCGTTGCTTGTTCCTCGTAGGCAACAACGCAAAGCATTTGCGCGCCAGTCTATTGCAATAATATACGCCTATAATATTCTCACAATGAAGCCATCTACCTTCCTGGCTTTTCTCGCCCCAGCTACCGTCCTCGCCGACTCACAGCAACCCGCCCCAGGCGCCAGCCTCTCCTCTGAATTCGCGCACAACTCGCCCGCCGTCTCATTACCAGAACTTCCTCCGCGGGAACAATTCGCTCCATTTGCAGACCGCGATCTACCGTCTGATGAGATGCGCTTGCTCGCTGCTCGCTATGTTCTCCAGGCGCGCAGTGAGGGTTCCCTCGGCCAGACCCCATGGATTGGCATGGCTATCGGATTAACCTTTACTGCTTTGGCGGCTGTAATGCTCGGGTAATGGCTATGGATGGCTTTGAAACGAACCCGCCTGAGACATTTCGACTTTCGATACACACCTTTTTCCGCCTCGACCTTCTTCTCTTTTGATACGACACGTGAAACGCCGGGCACTGCTCGAACTTTGTTTATTTTTCCGCTCAACATACTTCAACCTTTCATCTTCAGCTTCAGCTTTTTGCAGCGGATTTTTACCATTTTGTCTTTTTTTTTTTGCATCCATGGCCTTGTGTTCTGGTGTGGGATTGGATCTTTGAGCTCCTTTTTTTCCTATTGCATTTCCCGACTGCCAAGTACTATGTGTACTTGGTGTCGGGAGTATAGAGTTGCATGTTATACGCATGTTGTACATGATACCTTTTTGTTTCTGATGCCCCTGTGTGTACATGGGATTTACCTAATTAGTGTATATAGATATGTCGAATATGAACTAACTATACATATTTGCTTTTCTTTTGTTTCATTTTTTGTTCGTTAGTCGACGCCTCTTTGCACTCGGACTTGGTTTTCTTTGTTACTCGAAATTCAAAGTTTCAACTCAAAGAACGTTATGATCGCCTTCATTCTCGCTGCGTCTATTGGTTCAACATCTGAAAGAACCCCCTTCTTCTTTCCGTTTTGACTGTAGGCAAACAACCCATTACCAGGACAAACGCAAAAACCTCAGGACCTGTCAGATTCCTGTGCTGGACTCCACATTGACATTCGAGTGTTTCCATTAATTCCCATCAGTCTCCGTCTTTGAAACACTATCAGAAAGAGTGATCTTTCATTTGTATGGGATATACCCCTGAGTCAGACGATACTACACACCCTCGCCATGGCTATAGACGAATACCCACTCTACACACCGATGCCCTCGCTCGGCCACGAGCTAGGACTAATGTTCGGCTTCCTCTCTCTCTGTATAGTGGCTATGGTTGCATATATTGCTCTCTGGCGTGGTGAGTTATCCTTCCACTCACTCCCCTTTCCATATATCTCAATATCAAAGCAAAGATCTACAAATCTATCAATGGGCTATTCATATCAAACCATACACACACTTCAATCTACATCAGTTTAATCCCGATTATCATTTTATCCCTAACAACCCCCAGTATCCCAAACCCGCATACACGCCCAAGACGTCGCCCGTCGCAAAGCATACCGCGACAAGAACCCAACCCAGACACCCCTAGGAACAACAACTTCCGTAACAGCAGGTCCACTCCCAAGTCTCAGCAAAGCGATAAAACCCAACACAGCCGTGCAGGAGAAAATGCTCGACCGTATCGGTATGCCTGTGGACCGTGCCGAGCTTCCTGTCCACGGGATGGAGACGTACGCGGCTGGGAAGTGGAATTCGAAAACCCACATCAAGTGTCCGTTTAGTCGGACTATGCCGCTTAGTCCTGCTAGTCCTGCTAGTCCGGAGGGGATCACGCTAGAGTCTATTGTTGGGGTGGTATTGGAGGAGAGAAGTTCGAGTCGGAGTCGTTTACATGTTGATGAGTTTCGGTCGGCGAGTCCGGCGAGGAGGTTTGGGAGTGGGATTGGTCCTGCTGTTGAGATTGGGCCTGCGCCTAGTCGGGAGTAGGGGAGGTTTGTGATGCTATGTTATGTTATATGAAGGCTAGGAAGGGAGTTATGGGGTAATGTTGTCTGTAAGGATTGTCTATGTCAATTCGATTATTATTATGGAGCCTTTTGTCTATACTTTACATTATACCATACAGCGATCTATCCACACACAGCCTCGTCAAATCCACGCGTCCACAACAATGAGCCCATGATAATAACCAAAAACCCAAGCGCGACAAGCACACTCGCACTTCCGTATATATACGCATAGCGCCGATGAGACAGTCCTTTCAACTCAGCAACCCAAGTACTGATAGTAGTCGTGCTCCCGCAGAATCCATCCATAACACCCTGCAGCACCTGGCAACCCGTCAGAGCAGCAGGAACTACAGCTCCAAGACCACTAACATGCTGCAAGTCATAGCAAAGACCCTCAATGATAGTGCCAAATATATTAACCACGAATGTGCCGAGCGGGAAAGTCGGAATCCTACTATTCAGATGCAGCGAGACATAGAACCGAAGAAGACAGCCAAGCGGTGCAAAGACAAGAGCAAACACCGCCCGACCGCGCCACACATCCGGGCCATTATGTCGGTCTGGTGGCCAGATAGCCAAGAACACGGCTCCGAGCCAGCATCCGCACGCAAGCACAACGACAACACGGTCAAGAAACCGTCGCGTGAACGTGGAGGGCACGGTGGGTGTTACGCGTGTTAGAGCGAGGGCAAGATGCGCGCCGACGATGAGCGCCGACAGGCTCAGCGACACGTTGAGTAGAATCACAGCGACCAGGGCCATGAAACTATACCCGCCATTACGAGATGCGATGTGTGATCCGGTAGACAGCGACGGATCTGGAAGTGCATTTGCAAGGGCGAGAAAGACATCAAGGATAAATGTTGAGAATGAGGTGAAACAACCGCAGAACCCAGTCGTTAGACCAATATATAGAGGGATGGTCTTCTTCACGGCCTTGTGTTTCTCTTTCCTAATCTTGGCCTCATTCTCGACTGGGTCTGAAGCTGGTTCCTTGGCTGCTGTTTTGCCCCACTCTTCGCGGAATAAATTCTGGTCTTCACTTAGGAATCCCATTACCAGGCTTCCGCCGACATTCGCCCATAGTACCCCTGTCACGACAGGGGCGCCTGTGTAGAATGTCAGGGCTTGTAGGCCTAGGCGGGCTAGTGTGCCCAGAAATGAGAAGAAGATTAAATAGGAGACGGTGTAGATGTGGGTTGCCTGCTTGGAGAGGGGTTGCGCAGCAGATGCGGGTGGTGCAGGTGCTGCGGGCGCGTGGTCACCCGAATTTGGACATAATTCATTTGGACTGCCCCTCGCTGTCTCTGTTAAGGAGTAATTGTTGTAGGCATTGCCATTGCCCTCTTCGGTGGTTGACATTCCTAAAGTTGAGAGGTAGGAAGAGTAAAAAAAGGATGCCAAGAACCCGGAGACCGGAGATCAGGTGGAGTCCGATAAGATCGGTCGTTTTTGTATACAAAAGGGAGAGGGGAAGATAACAATTACTTCTTCCTCTTTCTCTTCTTCTTCTTCTCTTTCTCTTTCTCTTCTCTCGTTTCCTCTCCTTTTCACTTCACATCCTCATCTACACTTCACCATGTCTCTCCCATCAAATGTCCACGTCTCCGCCCACCCTTGTCTCCAAGCCAAGCTCTCCTTAATCCGCTCATCTTCCACCACCCCGCGTGAGACAAGAGGCTTAGTCCATGACATTGCCAATATCCTAGGCGTGGAAGCCTTCTCAGGACTGAAGCTAGTCAAAACAGGAACGGTAAATAGATTCCCAAGACAGAAATCCATCACTTAGCATTACAGATTACATCTAACACTCATTCCCAGGACACCACCCCTCTTGGAATCGAGTATGAAACCCAGGGAATTGACCCAGAAGACCTGGCTCTAGTGCCAATCCTCCGATCCGGCCTAGGAATGGTTGATGGTGAGTGATTCACTTCCGCATAACCCCCGTCAAGCCAGCACTGCAACTGTAACCCTTGTTATTCCTGCAATGCTACCTTATTACCTTGTTACTCTATTCCCAATTCCCAGTCCCTTGACATTCCCATTATTATTATCATATTCAACCCCTATCCCAATCGCAAATTCATTTACACAGCTTATCTCCCCTGACATTTCCCCTATCATCCCCACTTAGCCTTATCCCCCACTCCAAACACCCCCGCTTACGCCCCCACAGCCCTAAACGACCTCCTCCCAACTCCAGTCCCAGTTTACCACCTGGGTCTATTCCGAGAAAAGGTCTCCCTCCAACCCGTAGAATACTACAACAACCTCCCATTCCACCGGTCGGAGTTATCACCGGCCTCTCCAGCCTCTTTGAACCCAACCACCAACACCGCAGCTGCAAGTCTGGCTGTACTGCTGGACCCGGTTATCGCTACTGGAGCGACGGCTGAGGCGGCGATTCAATTGCTGCGTGACTGGGGTGTGAAGAAGGTTATTATGATTAGCTTGCTTGCCTCGGAAGCGGGAGTTAAGCGTGCTGCGGGGACTTGGGGTAATGTTGAGGTTTGGGTTGGTGCTATTGATAAGGGCGTTGATGAGAAGGGAATGATTGTGCCTGGTATTGGAGATATCGGTGATCGGTTGTTTGTTGCTGTTGGAAAGTAGCTTGGCATTATCAGCATTGACATTAGCATAACACATGGCTGTTTCGAGTTCAGATACTAGAGATAGTTATGTACATATCACTACTACAAATTGGTCAACCTTGGAAATGATCAAGGCTACAATAATTCGACTCTACAATCTAGTATCTACTTGTAGGAAAAATGTAGTCCCCGCCATATAATTCATCGATAACGTATAGTACATAGAAATGGCATAAAAGCATGTGCAGGTGAAACAAATGCGAAAATCTTCAAAAAGCGATGCTGAGCGTAAAAAGCATAAAAAGCAAGAGACGGGGTTTATAAGGCGCGCGGGCAATTAACATCAAATACAGTGGCTGGAAACCAACCAAAGAAAGGCAGATGGCAAGAAATGAAAAAAAGAGCAACGCGAAAATGTCAAAAGGTATCGAGAGCACAAAAAAGCAGATGGACGAAGGGGCACGATTAGGGGTTAATGTGAACCATAAAGTCAAACTCCACGGAGTGCGAAAGTACACACAGGACCAGCCAGGTGTCGAAGACGGAAAGCAGAAACACCACACTGGACTCCCTGGTGTAAGTAAAATCAGGGGAAATGCAAATAAATCAAAAAAGCAAACGACTAGGAACCACCGAGAGGGATATCAAAAGGGCGAAGTATTCCAGAAAAGCCCAACACCCCACTGGCATGTCCCTAATACCTGTCCCAATGAAAGCGTCCAACAAATGAGAGTAAGAAATTCAAAACGGAAATTGCAAAATATAGCCAAAGATCAAATCGACGAGATTGGTCAAAAATCTAGTACGCAGTGCCGACGCTAGCAAGCGACTTGGTTGGCACTGCGTGGATCGGCTGATCCTTGCCAACACGGAGAGAATCTTCGTAGCCGACAAGAGCCTGGGAGTGGAGCTTGAAAGATTCGCCCATCAACTTGGTGATTCTATAAAGCAATTAGTTATTTTGGTCATCAAAAACAAGTAGAGAAAAGAACATACCCCCAGACAACCACGCCGTCTAGGATGTTACCCCATACACGGGCGACTGTGGAGCTGAGTTTCCCAAACGCGTCGATGGCATCGTCATCAAACAGATTGCGGACCTTGTTGTAGAGGGCCATTTCAGCCTCAGTTGCCGGCTCATCGTCATGTTCCAGGCGGTAGAGCCAGAGGCTCAGAATGACCATCAGATCCAGGCCGCAGAGAGGGTGCTCAACACTCCAGTTAGTCGCGGAGGTCTTCGCAACCCAATTAATGCCCTGAATAGCGGCAATTTCAATGCATTCGAAACATTGTTGGATGACCTTGTTCATCTCCTGCGAGCGCTTAACCTTCTCACGAGCAACGGTCATGGCAGCCGCCACCTCGTAAGAGGAGTGGTACCGCATCGCCTCCTGGATGGACTTAAGGTCAACTGCCAGGCGAGCGCGGGTGTTGCGGTAGACCGCCATCGAGTTGAAGATCAAGGGGTGACCCTTCTGAGGAGTGCTAAGCGGGACCACGATTGTTTCCGGTTCGCAAACCTCGAGGGAGCTCTCCCAGGTTTCGAGGGCTAGGCGCAGCTTGTATTCGGTAACCACATCTTGAAGCGCCTCAAAGCTGCGCTTGTGGCTCCACACCTGCAGGAACAGGGCGTTGATGAGAACACGAGTGGCGAAAGCACTGTAGCGGGTTTGCTCGCCTTGGAAAAGGAAGTCGTGGGCCTCGCGTACAGTCAAGGCGCTCGAGACAGTGCCACGGCGCCAACTCTCATCATCGGAGGCGTCCAAGTTCCAGAGTGACTCTGAGGACGGGAGCTCCAAGTCGTCAAACTCATCGAAGCTCATGGCGGGAGTATGGTTGAATGTGAGCGTCAACATGCCGAAGAAGATGTACACGGCGAAATATGTACGACGGCAGGATTCGTCCTCAATCCATTCCTCACGCGTTGGCTGAACATTGTCACGAGCCTGGGTCCGCAACTTGAGCTGGTACCGGTTGCCGGCGACCATGTTGGCGAGGAGACTCTTGATCGAGCAAGTCCATTCAAGGCCCTTCGGGTCACCGCTCCAGCTCTCAAATACCATGTTCAACAAAGTAGCTTGCATCAATGACAAGGGGCACTTGCGGGAATCGAAGTTGTCCTTGTGTTGCAGGAATTGGTTGACCAGGACCTTGGAGCCGACATGGAGCATGAAGGCGTGCTCGCGCTCGAAAGTGTAAAGAGCACCAATCGACAAAACTGCAAGCAACAGTGGTGCCGGGACTTGCGAAGGCTTAAATGATTCCTGGTGAAGGAATGGCAAGTGAGGATGGTACAGATTGAAGTAGGTGGACAAATACCGGTTCAGCGCAACCGTGGAAGGAAGCTGGAAAGTGTCGGGAAGGGCACCAAGGGTATCTGATGCCTGGATACGGTCAACAACATAGTTGCGTTCCATATCATTAGCGAGTTGGGGAGCCTTGGGAAGGGTCAGCGCTTGACTGGGGCCGGGTGAGCGACGGTAGTTAACCGGGCTAACGGGGCCAGTCATCGAAGGATAGGGGGACAGCGCGTTCGGGGTAGAGTGCCCAGACATAGGCAGCGAGTTGGACATGAGAACGTCCCCGAGGGGGCCATGTCGATCGACGAGGGTGGGCATCGATCCCGGTTCCGCGGGAGAAATAAGCGTATCCCAAGGCATCTGAGGCAGTGTGGCGTTGCCTGAGAGATAGGGCTCGAAGGAAGCGCGTCCTGGCGAAAGCGAGTCGGAACGCTCGGAGGCCTGGCCAGTCGCCGCTGCTGCAGCCTTATGTTGGAAATCTGTCATCAACATGGCTGCAGTTTCAAGGTCGACCATACCATCGCTACTTGTGCTTGCCTCGGTCTGCTCCAGGGTCGTCGGGTCAACAGTGGCCGACGACCTAGCTGGGGCAGACGAGTTTTTCTGAACCCCTCCACCACGTCTACGCCCCTCTGCGACCAGGGGGATTCCGCCGTCCTTGGCGTGAACAGTTCGGTCATGTCGCAGAAGAAGATCGCGACGAACAAAGGTACTGCGACATTTTAAGCACTTGAAGGGTCTCTCTTTTGTGTCTGTATTTTCGAGTCTGTTAGATTGGAGGGGGAAAGACGCGATCTAGGAGTTTTATCTTACGTGAGCGCTCATGGCGACTGCGATGTTCACTTCTGCTGAACGCGCGATTGCAAAATTGACATTTGTATTTCTTCTCTGGGGCCGATGTTTTCTTGGCCGGTGAGTTGGCCGTCCCAGGTGCGGAAGGAGCCATATGTGCGTGTGTCTCTTAAAGAAAGAGCGAAATTGACGGTGGTATTGTCCCCTGGGTAAGCTCGCACCGGTTCTGTAGGCGTGTCGACGACAGGAGTTCGTTGGGATGTCTGATCATTCCTTGAGTGGGGGGGAAATGGAAGTAAAGAGTATTGAGAAAGTGGTGTCCAGCCACAAGAGAAATATTAAAGAAGCAAACGCTGTTAAAAAAAAAGAAGGGCGGGATGATCAACCGCGATTAGATGAGGGAAGCGGAGGGGAAGAAGAGAGGGGAAGGAGGATGAGAATAAGAAGGAATTTGGGATTTCGGGTTTTTGGTTTTTTGGGGGGGGTGGAGGGGGGAGGGGACTGAGGGAAGGGAGGGGAGAAGGACGTGGCCCTAAGCTGATTTACTTTACGCGATGAAGCAAAGACCAACAGAGGGGCGAAAGCGGGACCGATCACAACTAAAAAGACAATTTAAGAGGGGAACTAACAAGGAACTGGTACCCAGCCCCCTTTCCGGCCACGCACTTTTTCTTCCTTCAACCACTCACTTTCTCTATCTAATGTGCCCCCCCCCCCTTTCTCTTTTTCTTTACGATGTACACGGGTACTTTACCATACAGAATCGACACGTAATTATTCAAAAAACAAAAAAAAGCCCTATATGCACATTAGATTTGTCCCGATCGCAAGCCCACATGGCTCAATTACCCTTGGATCTTTATTAAAGAGATAATTAAACACTACATGGTCGATCATTTTATTTACATATAGTAAACTTCTGCGAGGGTTACAATGTATTTTGGGCTATTTTATTGCCCCTCGCTCAAAAGTCCTTTGTTTATTTAGATTATGTGGCATGTGAGGCGGTGATTCCGATCGCACACTTTTTCGAGAGGCTTAGCCCCTTATTCTCTAATTTCAAGATTAACTCTCCCTACAGGGGAATTATATTCAAGTTCGGTGACTTTTTGATAAAGTCGTTGATAGATCTCAACCATGGTTCATATCCGTTACCCCTCAACCCCTCCTCCCCCAAGATCTACAAGACATTTTCTATACTTCTTCTCTTATACATGTAGTTGTCACACAACTCCGAATCCATGGATGCTTTTGAGAATGAGACAGGGATTGGATTTCCCTGAATGTGAAATATATTGAGAATGGGGACTTTGCTACTCCGTACCCTTCACAGAATACCTCTATATCCCTATAATGAAATAGTTGCATCAATGTGGGAGATCTAGCATCGAAATCAAGAATTATGTATGCTTGGGTGCCCATCCGCCCCGTCTCCTGACAGATCATCCTACGGTACTTTTGCCGCCTCACAAATTGACTGGTCCAGATTTAGTCTTACCTTTGGCCCCTCTCAGCCTATGATAGCTATCCCCCGCCTTGTGGCTGTTCATCTGCTTGACTGTGCCACGCTCGAGATTATGTGTTCCATCATGCCATGAACATATATGTACGCATTATGCATATCGATGTACCTTCCCTGTATTGTCCTCGAAGCATCACCTGCCGGACTGCATGGAGGAAAGATCTGCAGAGTAGAATGCAAATTGGAGATTTGGATGGCATCTTCTCCGTAATCCACTCCCTTTTAGTTTATGCATTGCCAACGCCGAAAAAAAAAAGCCACGGCTACCTGCGCTACAAATACTATAGTAGGACCTAATGCCCATGAAGTTAGTTTTTACCCCGATCTTTCCTCTAAAGCTCCACACAGTGAAGTTGCAGTTTTATACACCGCAAAAGCTATCAGCAATACAAAGTACGAAGTACT